AGGTGGGTTGGTGGACGGGCGATGGGTCGAGCGAGGGACTCACGCATGCGTGCGTCGGAGTTGCTCACGATGCCCGTGCGGATGTCCACTGCGCGGAGATGCTGCACTTGTCAGGTGGGGTGGCGTTAGCGGCGGACATGAAGATCGAGAAGAGCAGAGTCACAGAAGCAATGCGTGGTGGGGTGGGCTGCGCAAGAAGGGTGACAGGAAGCAAAAGCTGGCTTAATTCATCCACTCGGAGCAGAACAGTAGCAGTGGCTTTGCTAACCATACTGATCAGATGAGGAGAAAAAGGCCCCCAAGGTGGAGGCCTGATCCAAATTTCCTAAAATCGGAGATTATCGTCCAGTATAACCTGACCCAAAATGTCCGGATCAGATCAGCACAGGCCTGAGCACGGATTTCTATCAAACGTCCTGACGCTGGGATGTGGCCCCATGTGCAAGGGCACTATTCCTAGATCAATCCGACCGAGTCTGAATATCCAACGATATTCTCGGTACATCTTTTTCAAAGCCCAGCCATAACGTCCGGATTTAGAATCCTGGGACAAATGCCCAGATGGTGGTCCAGGAATAGCTGTCGCCGAGGAGGAATAACACCCGAATGAGGCCAGTTCTGACCCCGCTTCCTGAGGACCTTTTCCCCCCGAAATCGGCTCAGGCCTCCTCTTCAATTGTCATGGAATCCTGGAGAAAGTCAGCGCGGAAATAGTGTAGGCCGTGTGGCATTCCCAGCCTGGCTTGTTGTAGATGCGTGAACGAGGCTTATATGCGTCCATCCGAGCCCCCACTGCTTCTGCATACTCGGTTGGACGAGGGCGGGAGGTCTACGATCGAGCGCACGCAAAGATGGAAAGATACGTACGTGCAGGAAGCGCATCATCAAAAAGCTTGTAACCCTCGCGGGACGAGAAGCGGAGGAGGAGGCGCCGGACAATCTCTGCGAGCGAGCGGTCGACGGCTGTACGGCGCGAGCGAAATCCCCGAAATAGGATCATCGGCGTTTCAGCCGGGAGAAGGGCAACATCAGGAAGGAGACGTGATATCGTCCGTTTGAGTGCGACGGGCAATGATGGATGGGCAGTAATATACACGTACCCGCAGGATCCGCGCCCGCGCCAACGGCAGTGCGGCGGATGACCTCGCCCCACCAGCCTTCGGAGCCGTGCTGGTGGCTATACGCGGGCTTCTCTGCTTGCACCTGCTTCAGAGCTGCCCGCGCCCGAGTCCCACATGTTAGCTCCAGCGGACCGCAACGCAAGCTCGCGCGTACCGAGCTTGAAGGCGCGTTTGAGCGCGACAGGGTCGAGCGTGCCGAGGTAGGGCTCAAAGCTTTGGGAGTATTGGACGTAGACCGGGAGGCGCGGGGTGAGAAGGGTGTGCAGCGCGTCGAAGAGGACGAAACGGATCGGATTGAGGGCGCTAGACATTGTGTTTACAGCAAAGCGATTGTCATTGCAGGAAAGGCACTAAGAGTGAAGCTCTTTTCCCATCTAGTGAGTAGTTTTGGCTTGGAAATGGCCCGTTTCGCGCCTTTCCTGGGCGTTAATTTACGCCAAAGACCCTATGACAACTGAGCAACTCGGAAAATGACAAGGTGTCGTAGAAGGAGATCCACAAATCTCCACGTCTTTCTCACAATAGGAATCTTTGCAGCTATGATTGCGATGTCGGCCGGATGAAGCTGCGAGAGTAATGTTGCAGACTACGCGATTGGAGACTGTGTAAGTGCGTACTGATGCCAACCTTGAGGAAACCTTGTGGAAAGAAAGGTGAGGCCTAAGCAGGCGAGCCTTCTCCTTGCCACGCGAACGACTGCGTGAGCGCGTGCTGATGTCATCCGAGATTGACTTGAACGCTCGCCACGCTCTCTCTGTGATGCCCCTCGCTGTGCTCGGATCTCGCCCGCAGTCCACTCTGTGAGTTTCTCTTCGTGCTCATACAACACAGTCCCTGTTCGCCTATTGCGCAGTGCGACGACCGTCTACCCTGCTTGCCTCCATCATCACCCTGTCGCTATCGACCACCAGCGCCCTTTCATTCGCTCGTTCACGCTCACAATGTCTCGCATCTCGCTCCTCGCCCTCCGTCCTCTCCTGCCTCGCTGTACTCTCTCAGCCCATCCTGACTGGCAACCCATTCGTGCGCTCACCTCTGTGCTCTCGCTAATACCGTCGCGCTATCAGATCGCCCACGCCAGATCACTCGAGGCGTCCACAACCTCGCTCCGTTCTTCGCCGGTGCTGATGGCATGAAACTCCCATCAAGTCAGACTCAATCGCGTCAGTGAGCGGGATGAGAGCACATCTACGCGAGCTATGCCAGACGGTGAGTGTTTTGTCCATGCTCCCTCCAGATTCGTGGTCACGCCGCACCGCTTCGCCTCATAGACGGCCAGCACCACGCGTCGCATGGTCGCTCGTGTCGCCGTCTCGTGCAATGCACGCACAGTGCAAACGACCGCCCTTTTGCGTGCTCGTCGCTACGGTTACCATTGCCGCAGGTGGTGCAGACCAAGATAAACACGCACACCGGCCATGGTTCGTCCTGAACGTGATCGACTGTGTATACTACGAGAACAGCTACTGCTATTGCTAATATGAACATCCATCATCCTCGTCCATCCTGGCCTCCAATCGCCTACCACCAACGCGATGTGAGCCTAGGAAGACAACTGACGGCGCGTACTATGAGCTTGTGCACCGGGAGCGATCTCCACGAGCAGCCGAGGACATCACTGGGCGAATCGCGTGCGCAACGGTGAGGTCGAAGAGCATCTGCGTGGGAGAGCGTCGCGCTGTGAGCATAATATTCAAGTCATGCGAGACGATCGCTTACTGACTGCTATGGCTGGCGAATAGAGAAGGCCGACGTATGGTTCTCGTGAGTAAGCAGCCTGCTGCGAGCGACGCGTTTGGCATGCGGTGCGGTCCAGTATGCTCACAGAAGAGACCGTGAGCGAAGTGCCCGGCCAGATGATGGGTCGGGACCTGCTCCGCATGTGATGGCAGATTAGCCTGCCTGCGCGCTGCGTAAAGCATGAAGAATCGACATATCCTCAGTTCCAGTTCACATAACGCAGGCCGGCATCTGGAGACGAAGCGAAGAGTGTGGTTATCGCATACGCAGAATGACAGCGCAGGGTACCAGACACACGGAGGCGAGGCGAGGCGTGCAGCCTCGTGATCCCCCATGTGAATTGCGGGTCGCGTAATTTCTTGAAGAGCCTGGTGGAAATGAAGCCGCGTAAGGGTGATGATTCGAGAATGCAGACGGCGAAGATCGGAATGCCTGAGAAGTGTCTTTGCGGTCTTTATATGAGCGGTGGGCACCTTCTTGTTGAAGTCCTCAAGCAGGCCTGACCTACCTATGCAGCTGCGTACGAGGCACAGACCTGACTGAAAGGCGAAAGACTGCTCAAGGAGCAAAAAAACCTTTGTTGGGCGCAGGCTCTGCGGTGAGCCTTCCCGCATCCGACACTCGGCCTTAATGTGTCAAAGATGTCGCAATGTGATGAGAACTGATGCATCGAGACGCCGCATGGCGTGCTTCTGCAGAGACACCAGTTCACCGTATCCCCAGGCGTCCTCAGGCCATTATCTACTGTAAGTCTGTAAAATGCAGCAAAATGTCAACTCATTCTCTGATGGACAAGGCGACTCGCAGTGCGCACCGCCTCAATATGCACATCACGGAGAGCCCCATTATCTCTCGCTTTCATGAAATTACGCTGCGGCCCTTCGTGAGCATCCAGGCCATTGCATAAGCGTGCCGTGCACAGGCTTCTTCGCTAGAACCCTCGACAAATGTATTCGCCTTCTGGGTAAGCCTGCATGATCTGCGCATGAGGTTCCATCATGACTCATCGAATCACGGACATTGACAGTGCTTCGTGCTTAGCGTGAGTGCTAACGGTTCTCTCAAACGTGCAGTCAAAGCCCACACTGGCATGTTGAGGGGGAGGGGGAGAACAAGCAAACAGTCACGCCGCTCATGTGGATAGCATACCCGGCATGGAGGAATAACGGCCAGTGAGATTTGGACAGTGCTGACGGTGCAGACATGAGGAGCTGGGGCTGGAACGAGGCGAGAAGCAGATAGTAGCATTTTATCGCCGTTGCGAATGCGTGAAGCCGCACAAGGTGGTTCCGGGGGGCACAGATATATACATATTTTCTGCAGAGCATAAGACATCAGTATTCCAAAGTCGTCCCCACCAAAGCCCCAGCAACTCAAAGGTGGCATCGCAGACTGCACGCACATCGCGCTTACCTTTCATCCGTAAATGTGACCGTACCTTTGCAGCGCGACGTGCACTCTGCACGACGACAAGGTCTTTGGAGGCCAATTAAACAGCACACACACGTCGGCGATCAAGAAATCCATGAGATATTGCGCCTGGCCACATCGATGCAATCGTGATCTTCTGATGATCTCACTGTGGTCTTTTGGGGTCCTGGTCATGCCGTGCAACGTGAAGAGTGCGGCACAGGCTGCGGCAGCATCCTTCCTTGATATAACCGTCAGGTTCGCTGCGTGTGGGACTTCCCCAGGCTCAGTGTTCCTCTGCCTGCCGTGACCGTTTCTCATAACTGCCTGCCTGGCCGCTTACCATCCTTCTTCAGTATGAAGCTATTTTATCTGCCTTATCTGCCTTTCTCTCGACATGGCTTGCTTGACATTACCCGACAGACGTCCGAAGCTCAGCATCAACAATGATCACTCACCGGTTATGTGCATGTGTTCATTTTTCTGACCGCCAGCTTGCGAAAGCACAAGATATCTTTTAAAACCTTTGAGTCATTAGCATGCTAATCACTCATGAGGGTAGAGGCCTAACATAAGGTCCGAGCGCAACACGGTGCTAAGTCAACATTATGGAAGACCACGTCCACCGACATTTTGCAGAGTCAAATAATGTCACGTGCTCGATACCCTGTGGTATGATGTCAGACATTTTTCTCTCATGTGTTTGACAGTCTCTGCCATGCCGGTGAAGCCTAGACTAAATGAGGGGCTGCCATTCTGAATTACGGTTAAGGTGAGCAGGTCGATACTGGGTTATTACAGTCACCCATGACTAAATCTTGCCATTAGGGTCATCCTATGAAGAATGTCTTCTCACACAGCAAGCGTAGTGTTATGCATGAGTGATCTTCTGACAGCAACTCATTGAATGCCAACTGACATGCCACACAAAGCCATAGCACGGACACGAGTGGCGTTTTCCTTTGGTGCCGGCAACAGTCAGATTGGACACTATCCAGGCTCCGAAGTACGGTCATCAGATGTCATCAAGCCAGATTGCCACATTTTGCTAAGCTCACACCAGAACCACCGGATGAACCAGGAACAAGCGAACGAGTGTCCAAAAAAAACAGATTGTTTGATGTATACGGTAAGCTATGAGTTCAGTTTCGCTTATTCGAATATAGTCTGATTCACAATTTATAACAGCTACGTGAATGCGAGGAGTATGGCTCGGGCAGCCGTCAATGTGCCAGACTTCGTTTTAGGGTGCAAGGTAAGTAACATGCGAGATCAATCGATTTGTCGCAAATTAACGATTCTGCCCTGATATTACAGGTCCAATTTCGATCATAATACGGCATGAATCCAGATAAACAGAGTGTCCAACTCACAGGTATGTAATGGATTTGACGTTCTCGATTAGACGTGTTTTCGACTATAGACTGTGGTCTTGCTTATCTGATAGGCAACGCTAACACTCATAACTGGCAGCATGTACAACGTGATAGCAGAGACTGCGCACAAAGTATCGGACAGCCTGCCAGATGTTCATATTTTGATACCAAAAGTATGAAATCGAAGATGGGCCTCTGACTTCATGTTGTACTGGTTAATGCAGCCTTGGGGGTGACGCGACGCAGTGGGTGGACCACTAGGTGGAGAAGAGGGATATAGGCATGGTCGGCGAGGCAGGAATGTCAGCAGCAGGTAGAAGTGGTCAGAATATAACTGGTTAAACCAACACGGATGATGATCATATCTGGCCGTGATTGCTCCGTAACAAGCTGAGGTACGTTAAGATGAGTGTCCCTCTGAACCGGTGTCTTTGCCTTGGACACCCTGATGCCCTGTGAACTGTCCTTTCTCAAATATTCCTAACGGTCATTTTGTCACATGAAAGTAACCACATCCGCCCGCTCGACTCCCAGTTCCGATCGCTCCCCGGGCAAGCACACGATGCGCACCTGAGGTGTGTAGATATCCACCATACTAACACCGTACACCTTGGATCTGATGTACGTACCTTCGCAGCTTCATCAAGCTCGTCGACCCGAAGAACGAGCATTATACCGAGGCAGTGGAGCGTTTCCGCGTACTGTGCGAGGGCCGGAAACTGGTCGCGAACGTCGATTATCGGGAGGGGCCCTTGTTGCACCTGCGTCTGTTCGATCCGGCTCAGTCTCAGTCACCAGAGACATCGATCAACGCGGACCTGCTCCGCGAGGGCCTCGCAACAGTCGACAAGAAGGGATGCAAGTACCTTGCAGCGTATCCCGCCGTGGTCAAGTCCATGCAGGAGGCCGTTGCAGCAGCGAAGCATGACCATGTGGGTATGTTTTACTATGGAGATGTTGAGGAGGATGATTAGGTGGGCCGGAGGTCCTCAAAGTGTGCCTGGGCAGGTGTTAGGCAGCTGGGAGAGGGGGCAATGCACAAGGCTGGATATTGTTACAGACTCTGGGTTCCATGTATTCTGAATGAACAATGGGCCCATAATATTGATCATCACTCACAATATACAGCACTGCAGCACATTGCCAGGTACAATCTACTTTGAGGATTACTGAAGTCGATCTTCGACCGACTAGTTTGACGCTCCATGTGACGCTGTCACGGTGAACATCGCAGAGGGACCCCCGATACCGGCACCATCACAAGCGCGCAGACTTTTTGCAGTCGCGCATTCCTGTAGCTGTATCTACACACCTCTTGACTAAATATTTTGAGATCTGAAAGTTTCACGAGAACAACTAGAACACCGAGAGAATAATGTGAACACGCGCTTTGTCACATGTCGAGCTTTCAAGGCTCAACATCTGTCTCTCCCCGTCATCGAGAGAACGAGATGCACGCACGCTTTACCAACAGTCAACATTCTCACTGGGGTAGTACTATGATCCGGAAACACTGAGTCAGAACATCTCGGAACATGATTTAATAGTAGCTTTGATACAAGCTTTTTAGCTTATCATGACTCTTGGTACCATGATCTTTGAAAAATGCTGGCGACATTATGGAACATGATCCAATCATATACACACAGACAATCTTGACTACGTGATTCAACAGTTAGGCATCCGTCTGTTTCCATGGCATCAAGAGAACCTTGTCTCACATATGCTTGATCATCGATCCAAGACTCAGGTTCTTCGGAACCTCGAACTTGATTCCGCAGCTAACACGAGATCAACTGACTGCTTTCTCTCTCTCGTTTATGTTCGCTCCTGGAGCTCACATCGTCAGCTTGTAAATCAAGCAGTGGCCCACTCACCGTCAATGCATTGTACGACTCCCGCAACTATCACACCGGATGCATCGCATCAGGAAGACCCCCCCCCCCGGGGCCACAGAGCACGAGCACGGGAACATTGTTGATGTATAATGACAATGGAAATCCGGTGCCACAACGGAATGCTCTGTTGTTGTTCCATCATTTCTATAGTGCAATATATACTGGATGGGTACAAACTAAGGCTCTGTAGCATGTAAGCACTCGACAGTCATCGCCGAAATCGCGTTGCTGCATATCTTTGTGTTCTTAAGATGACCGCGTCCGCTTTCCATGAAACCGACATTTTCGGCAAACAGACAATTCATGCTCGACTTACCTATGCCAGGCCTGTCCGATCATTCGGTCGCTCTTTAGCTGTACAGTGAGGGGCGCCATCACTGTCGAACTTGCAGGCCTTCCACCATGGATGAAAGGATGGCTCCGTCCCTGCTAACTCGCTGCTCCAATGGCATCCGCAGGCAGTGTCGAATCCAAGCAGGAGGACCCCATTGCGGGCTCTGATCACCGCGCATCGCATCGCATTAACTACCTGCTGTCCAAGTTTTCGAGCACGGTGCTTCAGGTGGGCTGAATCAGCACAAGTTATGGAAGAGCACGGTGCTTCAGGGCCGAATCGGTGTAAGGCCTGGAAGAGCACCGAGATCATGTTGCCGAAGCGCGGAGTCGCATATGAGGCATTCAGAAGCGATGGCTGGGGAATTGCCCCGGAGCTCAACATGAAGTGTGACGCTATCATGGCGGAGGACGCGATGAATAGGGATACGATCTCGAAGGAGCATAGCATGCGCACGCCATACGCTCATGCCATCGCCGTGGATCTCAGCGATGGGCTTAGGCAACTCGGAGGTCGGGTACGTTCAGTTTCATGCTTTCATGACGGCGCGTTGAATGAGCAGATGCTCGTCGGACCTGCAATGGATGAGATGTCTATGGGAGATCAATCGATCATCGAGCAAGAGGGGCATTGCATAACTTGCTAGAGGTGAACGGAGGTATGGTGTTGTGGCAAATGCGCCGCTACTCTATTCTGTTAATGCTGGCAAGGCCCGACGAGGGCAGTCACATGATCAAGGCACTTTTCCGCGTGTGGTTTTGTTTAGACGCTCTGCATGTCAGTGTGTACCCCCTTCCCCCTTCGTTCTCCTCCATAGATCGTAACTGTCGCATATATTCTGGGTGATGCGGTGGGCAGTGATGACCGCGGCGACTCTGGCTCGGGACGCCGGGTCACCATAAGCAGGTTCCGTATTCCCTGACGACTTCACTTCGCGCCTCCCCTTTCCACATGTGATCGAAGCGAGGAAGACACAGCTACGCTCTTCACCGACTGAACTAGCCTGTGGGGTGCCAGAGGGGATCGATTCCGTATACGGCGTCCACGGCCAAGTACCTCCCTCCCGGACGTATATTTGCCATATTGAGCATCTGGGACAATGCGTCTGAGCGGACATTGCGCAACCTATTTTGGTCCTTGTTGAATCGATACTCGCAGACGTTGAATATCGTAGGATCCAAAACGGTGAATGATTCGGAATATCTGGATAAACAATGTCCAGTGAGCTCATGGACAAATGAACAATCCCAAAATGCATGCTCACTTCGCCTCCTTCCGCTTTTTATATTTCTCCTTACTGTATTCTGTCTTATTATAGACTAATTTCTCGCATCCGTATCATCTGTAACAATCCCTTTAACGATGAAGCATGGACAGATGTCACGTTTTGAGACATACAGACCAGCCCTTTTGAGGTCCTCGATCTCTTCGCAGGCTAGAGGTTGGACAAACTGGCCGTCATTTATAGACTTATTTGTCGCATCCGTATCCTCTGTAACAACCCCTTCAACGATGAGCCATAGACAGATAGAGGATTCCTATCTACTTCCTGCAAAGTGCGAGGAGGTACGGCTTTGACTCTCTTGTCGACAATCTCGTATGTCAATCCAAACGGTTACCCGATCAATTCGTTAGCATAGAAAGACCCAAACTTCCCAAGTTCGCGGTGCTGTGGTAAAGTCAGTGGATGGTTTCGTCCATGATCTGAAGTATGGGCGCATGAGTCTTTCTCTAGTTTTCACATCCCCGCTCGGCAATCTGAGCGCGCAACAATGTGCAGCCGGCTTGAATGGTATCTTCCCTTGTGGTGTCAACAGCAGTTGTGCGAGAAGACCCTTCGCCAAGGCGCATTCGGATGCACAACGGACTCGGACAAGATCGAAATTGATATGAATTTGATATGAATTTGCAGGCTCGATCGACGCTCGCGAACTGACGTGGGGCTCGCGCAGCTCGTCTCGACGGGCTCGACCTTGTGAACGGGTGACGCTCAGCGCTCGGCGCTCAGCATCCTCGGAGCTGCTTGGAATCGTGTCTATCAACGCCGCAGCTGTCTACATCATTATCCTCTGCGACGATGTCGGGGTCCCTCGAAGAACAGTTGGACGCCATTTTGAAGAGGCCACAAACTGACGCACCAACGACACTCCTCCCAGACGAGCTATCTTGTCTGGTCAGCTCTTTCTTGCCGTCTAGCGCACTGTCTCTGCAGTCGAAAGCCTATATTACACTTTCTGCTGTCTGTTAAAAGTTTCGACATCCATCGAAGGCGTTCTCTACGAAGCAGCAAGATGCTGCAACACATGCCATGCAAAGGATATTCGGCCCTCCAATAGTATCGCAACTCCCAGACACCGCGGAGACAGAAATCCTTGCAAGCCTATCATTCCTTGCTGCTCTCTTCGAGGTTGATTGGCAAGTAGCAGCAGACATATTCAGGAAGATGGGGTGCTTGATTCTGTCGTGGATGCATTGGACCTACTCTCGAAATCGCCCCAGATCTCTCGTGGTGTCGCTCAATTGCTCGTGCAAGCCAGTGGACACAAGTCGTGCTGAGCCGTCATCTCATCACAGCATCTGCAATGGCTGTCTGCGAAATCGCGTCAGACCGCCGACAGCATCCTCCGTGCAGCTGCGGCCGTTGCCCTTGTCAAACTTTCGTGGGGAGCTAGTGCCGATGCCACAGAGATTGCAGGTGACCGGGGAGAGACACCCGCAGTGGTCGAGGAGGAGCTTGTGAAGTTGATGAAGGGACTTGTGGTTGACGGCACAGAAACCTCCTCTCTTGCAGATGCCATAGAAGGTCTCGCATACATGAGCCCCGACCCCGCCGTCAAGGAGCAGGTAGCAGACGATCCTTCCTTCTTGAAACAGCTTTTCTCGCTAGTGCCTCGTCGGAAAGGCCTCGTCATGCACGGCTCTCCCACCGAGGATACCGCGAGATCCCCTCTGTACGGCATGGTTATAATTATCTTAAACCTCTGCCCTCTGCTGCTACCGACCACGTCTCATGGAAGAGGAGACCAGATGACAAGATTGCGACGTATGGCGAACGTCCCAGGCTCTTCCTCCAAAGCCTCCGAGGCAGTCAATCCTCTGGACGATGGTGACCATGTACGGATGCGAGGACGCAAGCTCGTAGAAGCGGGCGTTCTTGATGCTCTCACTGCAGCTGTACGTGCCACAGAGAGCCGTGCTGTCAGGCTTGCAGTGGCAAAGAGCCTCCTTAGTCTGGTTGAGGACCACGAGAATCGCGGCAAGGTATTGCAGGCAGGCGGGGCGAAAGAATTGGTGCTTATAATCCAAGAAGTCTTGTCAGTCCCATCCTCGAAGTCGACAACGTGGCAGATGTCGCAGCTGGACGTGTCAAACATTGAGCCAATGCAAGCTCTCGCAAAGCTGGCAATCACTTCTTCTCCTGTCCAAGTTTTCGGTCGAAACGAGGGAGCTCTTTACGATGCCATTCGTCCGTTCTTTATCATGCTCATGCATCCCAGTTCCAACATGCTCCAACATTTCGAGGCCTTCATGGCCTTGACAAACTTGGCTTCACAAAGCGGGAAAGTTGCCACCCGGATTGCCCGCATGGAGGGCGTGTTGAACAAAGTGGAGCTGCTCATGTTGAAGGAACATACTCTGATTCGTTGAACCGCTACGGAACTTATATGCAATTTGGTAGGCGGCTGTGAGGAAGTTTACAATAAGTATGGTGGCGAGAAGTTTTCGGCTTCAAAGTCGAAGTTGCAGGTGCTCGTTGCACTGTGCGACGTTGATGACCTGCAGACACGGCTCGCGGCGTCCTGCACCATCACTATTCTAACCTCCTCTCCCGATGCATGCCAGACCCTTATCGAATTGCAGCACGAACGACACCGGGTGCTCCCCATCTTAGGCCAGCTCATTGATCCCTCCGTTGTCACCGTGGCGGACCACCGTAACGAAGATGTTATTGAGACACCCCCTTTAGAACCCGATCCTGGACTTGTGCACCGAGTCGTCATCTGCATATGGAATCTTTTTGATGCCGTGCAGGGCGCCGCTGCGCGGAAATAAATAGCTATGACAAAGTGGGAGTAGTCCAAACACTGGTCTCGTCAAGAAATCCCCTCCAAATATCAACTCGCCTGAACTGCGTCCTACAGCAGGAGCTATCAAGTGTTTATTGGAGAACGGAATAGAGATTACCATATGACCAGGTAAGCAAGGAGGCCCTCTCACGAGTGTAGTGTGCTTACACCGGATCGTGTATTTCAAAATAGTTCATGCTCAATGGACGTCGCATATTGCATAGTCTCTGGCTTTGTGTCCTGCTCGCTGTTCATCTATCCTGCAATGCATGGGTTGTCCACCTCCTCACGGTTCCGCTCACAGGGCTAACGAATCTCATGCGGTACCCTATGCCACAATTTCGCCGCTGTTGTACGGTCATACTGGATGTTTTGACTCTGGAATTTCTGATTGGACATCGTACAGAATCGCTGCCGGCCCGAATGACCCGTACGTTCCTCTTTCACAGTGCATGCCGCAATACCCCTATCACGCCAGGTTGTCAGTTGCTTCTAGCGCAGGCGAACCGTCGGGCAAAGGAGAGCGACATCATGACACCATAGACATCTGAGTCGAGAACGTGAAGCGGAGAGGCACTGTGCGGAGAGCTATGTTCCGTTGGGTCACCGTTCATGGATTTGTCTGCAATGCCCTATAGTCCCATGATCGATGGAGTGACCCGAGAACGCAATACATTGTCCGAGCCGAGTTCCCGTCCTATCTAGGATCTCTGCATCATCTACGCTTATATTACCTGTATCGAAAGCGGCGCTCGTTGCTCCTTCTGCGCTACTAGGGATCTCAACATGATACCTGCTTTTACATTTGTCACGACGTCACTCACCGAACTCGTAGCTATCCGAGCACGTACGTCATCCAGGTCCATGTAGGGGGCCCTACCACGCTAATAAGCGTTAAAGGCGATCAGCCTAATGATGTCGCCATCTACACTGGAATAGACGAGCCAGGACGCTTTCTGAGAGCATTGACGTGAGCGGAGACTTCCACAACTTTGCAGCCTGAGGCTACAACGGATGTGCAAATTGCAGCTACTTGCAGGTCCAATGTGCAGTCAATCGACTGTGCGCTCACTACGCTACTGTCGGGCTGCTACCACCTCTCGGAGAGAATGGATTACCTCCACCGCGAACGATTGCAGTTTTGACGTCTACCGTGATTGATGAATCGCTCCTGGAGATTGCCCTTGCGAAGCTGGGGCTTAGCCCGCTGCTGTTCTCCGTCAACAATTCAGTTCCTGCAGTCGCTCACCTATGCAAAGATTACACACTCAACGCACCTCATATACGGGTCGAAGTTTGTAAATAAAGCACATGAGGCGCGGAAGATATTGGTAGGGCAGGGTCATAACGTGAAAATCGTACCGGATAAACGGTTTCCTCTGTGGGGACCGCACGGCGCAGAGAGAGCCAGCATCAAGTCGTTTTCTGCGGTGCTGCAAGCAAGAGACGAACAAGATCGAGTTGCAGTAATTCTGCGTTCATCTGGATCAGTGCGTTGTTGTGCGTTATACTAGTTGTTACACTTGACAGCTGACGGTAGGGCTTGTGTCCTTACTTAGACTGGTTTCCCAAGCCCTCTAAGTCACGCATCTAGTGATGATAGCAGATGTTGCTGGCTTTGTGAGGAAGACCGTATTCAGTGCTCTTCCCGTCTTCCACGGCTTTGGTCATTACAACGTGTGCGCATGCACTCCTCCAGACCATCGTTTGAAAATTCACCTTTGTTACCTCAGATTTCGTTTCTATTAATCCGGTGTTCCCTTTGTTCTCATGCCGCTTCATCTGCCATTGACGTCCGTTGACGTCCGCGAATACATGCAAGGTCATAAAGGCAATCACAGTTCCATGTCCGCTTTTCTTTGCTGTTCACTACGTCATCAAGGTATAGAACATTATGCTGGAAGTGCGATTAATGCTCAACTCTTTGCAGCTCCTTGGAGAGACAGAAGCAGGAGTGAATGCTCTTGCGGCCTTCGAAAGCATCACTTTTCCGGGCTCCCGTGCCCGTAAGCTCTCTATATAACGTTTTGTGAAATCTAAGCATAATTCCATGCTGTTAGGACGACTTGGGTGATCGACTGACCGCAGGGAGCCAATATAAACGTTATATATGGCACGGCTGAGGTAAGGCGTCGTCTTCCGTACGTTTGGACCACATCTCAAGAGCATTCAGACAGGCTCTCTAATCAGATCGACACGCGATTTCAAGAATGACAAGGCATGGAACTGGCTGAGGCTACAGGGGCCTATAGCGGATTACTTGGTGATGGAGGACCGCGGTTCAAACACGTTCGAGTCCGTTGTCGAAGATGGCTTGCCTGCGAAGATCCAATCGCACCGCCCTGACGGATCGTACGCGACGAACGATTTCTTCTTGCGGCATCCTGTGCACTCTAACTGGTACAAGTACATTTGGCAGCTGGACGACATGCTGGTACAGGTGCTGGGCGAAAAGACGAACTTAGGTAAGTATTTTGAACGCTAATGTCAGATAAACATTGACGGAATGCCAATCCAAAGTACCAAACGAGCTCTCCATCCGTGGCAATAGTCCTTATGTGGGGGAGGCGATCGCCTTTGGGGAAGGCAGGCTGCAGGTTGGGTGTCTGATTCTTCCCTCAAAGCTCGGTAAAGACTTGGCGAAAACATTCATGGAGAAGGTTTGGCCCGGCATCGAGGACGCAAATGCTCAGGCTCCGACACATTCAAGGATCCTACCAGAGATGGTATATATATCTTGGAGTACTTCGATCAAGTATTTATTTACTTGTGCTGCCTCTGATACAGGACATTACGCTTTGCACAGCTATGGAACCACAGTAAGTTGTGGATAACAATTTTGGTGGGGAGCATGTATAGACTTTGCGAGTCCAGATTCCGCAAGCCACAAAGATGTCCATCCTCCTGCCAGCGTGCTACGCAAAGTTTTAAGACATAGTAGGTGCGCCACCAAGTCGTCTGCAGCGTGCTTCTCGACCGAAGTTGGACCTGCAATACAGACTAAGTATACGACCGCTTGGAGAACGGCTCCCGTGCGACTAAGCTTGATCTCAACAAGTCTGCGTTGGAAGTCTTCATCTCGAACGCAATTGCTCAAGCGCTCGGAGGTTGAGGGCAGTCAAGCTAACAATGACAGCTGATCTCTTCGCGTTCGGCGTTGACCCCCTTCAAGCCACACGGATCCGTAACATATGCCAGAACGAGTTGGAACTGAATGGTAGGACATTTGGACAGAACGGTGAGACCATCGTGATAGCATTAAGGGGCATATTCTGACCTTTCAGGTTCACGTAGTGGTACACGAGAACCCATCCGTTGAGAAGTGAGTTGCAATTGTTTACCATTTCAATCTTGGACTCATGTCCTTCACCTCAGGCTTGCTCAATATATCATTGCCATATGGTTTGACGGAGATGCAGCCAAGTCTGATGAAGATCAACATGCAACAATGCTCGCTATGACCGAGAGATGGAGCGCGAGGCTTGACCTATCACAGAAAGCATCTCAGAATGGCCAGGAGATGGTACTCGTCTGATAGACCATCGTACGTGCACAACTTACATCTGTCTTCGGAGGTTAAGCCAAAGTGGTACTGTGTAGGTGTTGACAGGAGGTTCCCTCGCGCACATATGCTCCAGCAGCTCGTCTTACTGCCACCTATCTCGCGTGTCATCTGTTTCTCTCGAGCAAAGTCGCATGCCGATTCTCTCGCTCGGCTGCAGAAATCTCTTTCTATTCGACGATTAGCTCTGTTGTCGGAGGAATGGACGAAAGTCGAATCACTTGCCGCAAACGTGAATGAGGACAGACTTGGCCTTTCGCCTGACGCATTTTTGAATCTGCTATCCGAGGTGACTGAGGTGATAAGCGTGAATGGCCTTGATGTGATTGAGAACGGGGGATTCATTGCAATACACTCGTTCAGAATGCCTGGCCGGTGAACTTCAAGATGAGTGTCGACTCGTATGATGAGCAGCACATCGGAGGCACGCTCAATTTGATCAACCCATGCCCATGCTCGATGAGGCCCCGGCGACCATCTTTCCTTTTCAGCTCGTCCATTGCTACTCGGCGGGGTCTACACATCCTGTTTGCAACGAAAACTTTCCATCAATGCCATTCACAGCGCTCGGAACCGGGTACGGGAGGATCAAATGGGTTGTAGAGAAGCTATGCGAGCGCGCGGCGCAGGATGCATCAATCAGCATAGGCGTTCTCAGAGTTGGTCAACTGGTCGGCGATACTGAGAAGTAAGTGCATCGATACTGTAGTATAAAACCTTCTCGACACAGTCATGTCTGGAACGAGACGGAAGCCTGGCCGCTCATGTTCAAATCAGTGAAGGCAACAGGAGTGCTGCCTCGACTAGATGACTCGCGCAGCATCAGCGTTGTACGCTATCCCTCGCCACTAATAGTCTGGCATACAGAAGCTGCAATGGCTCCCGATGAACGTCGCAGGTCGTGTAATCGCTAAAATTGTAACGTAGCCCGAACGACGTAGGGCAGCTGTATAACACGTCATCAATCCTAACACGGAAGCCAGCTGGGATACTGTCTTGGCAGGATTGAAGCAATCTGGCGTAGTGTTCGAAGCAATGGATCGCACTGAGTGGCTCGACCGCTTGGAGCAGTCAGATACAGACGGCGAGCGTACCCCAGCCATCAAGCTTTTGGTGAGAGATTCTGTTCAATCTTCTACGAGGACGAGGCATGCTGAACACGATTTTCGCATCCATATTACCGCAACCGCTTTGGTAGCGCAAGCAAACGGGAGCCGGTGAAGTTCAGCGTGGACAAGATGAGCAAAGCCGCACTCGAAGTACCGCTAGTGCACCTGCCCTCTCAGAAGAACTCGTCGGCAAGTGGGTGAAGCATTTTTAGATTGAGACATAGTTGATTGGAATGGTTGGGCAGTATACACCGGCGATTTGTATGTATTGGTACTATGGAAGATATGCCCTCATAGTGAGGTGATATGAATACATACACATCGGTGACTAGTATGCTTCCTGAAATCAATTTATTCCCTTATCTTGCATCGTGTGCATTCCTCTGCAGGTTAAGAACTGGCTGAGATCGTGAATAACCGCAATGCCCATCGAATAAGTCGCATATTCTGCATCCTGAAACAAGATATAAACATGGGCAGGCAGAAGAAAGACTTCGTAGGTTAAGCCATCTTCTTTGAGACTTCAGAGTCCTCTGCCTTCGCTTTTATCAACCTCTCCGAGCGCTGCTGTCAGATGTCCAACTGGAGGCGCATCTCAGTCCATGCATCGTCCTCGGGATCCTATTGTTCAGTCATGGCACGGTCCTCCATTCCAAGTCTGCGGGGAGGCGGTCGGCGAGTATCTAAACTGCTGGATTACTCGCACTTGTGACCGTCTATCCGGGTGAACGTCGCACAGAGCTCTCGCAGGGTATGTGATCAGGAAATCTCACACTGTGACACAATTGACCTACTAATCGCCATGTTTCAGACGTACCCTAATCTAACAGAAGGCCCTTCCGCGTACGATCTGCTCACGACATAGCGCTGCAGCAAGTTTAAAAAAATGTATTACTGTGACATCTGGTGAATGCGCACCGATTCCCCTCTAGCTTCTATGGGAAATAACACTCGGTGTGCAAGGGGTGTCGATCTGTCACCAATCATCATGGCTGCCTGTGTTATTAGCTCAGGGGACTCATCAACGTGAGGGATATTCTACGTGCCATTGCCAGCAAGAGAAGCACTTGACGAATAATGTCCGAAATTCTGGTCCGTGTGGTGAGTCATCTTGATTCGCTTGGCTGTTTGGTGCTGGTTGTCGCTGCCGCTCCGATCCTCAATTGCACGCTTCTTGGAAGACGTTACGGATGATGCCCGCGCAAGCTGCTCGTTTGGCGTCACTCCGGGGCTATCCACGCGCTCCATGAGAGCTCCCGATTCTTGTGGCGATGTACCCTGCTTGATGCGACTCTCGCGGTCGGTGGGCCCAGGCCGATGTAGAGAATACAATCGCCCCAGAGAGCTAGCTTTCTTCGGCGCCAGCAGGAAGTGTGCGTTGGATGAGAATGTAGACGTGAACTGCAGTGGAGTATTCTCCTGTTGCTGTGCAGCTGCGATGTCAGCCTTGTCTGCGATCGATAATGCTTCATGAATTACGATATACACAAGATTAAAGAAATTTCTAACCGTTTGCTCGTTCGGTCAGTTCAAAGTCAACTCTCCAACCCTTATCAGGGCGTTCTTCCATGTAGAACGGAGCTAAAAGTTGGGATTTGGTTGTACGAGCTTCCGGCAATTGCTTCCCAGTATGGCCCTGTTCAACGATAGCGTAGTAAGTCGCGGTCAATTTTTCAATCGACGTGACGTACGAAAGGGCCTGAATCCACCTCACTCAGCACGATACGTGCCGAAGGATCGTTCCAGAGCGTGACCATCAATTCCTTCGCGTGGGGGTCTTGAGAAGTCATGATTTGCGTTAAAAGACCCTCTACTCGACGTAGCCTGTTCTCAATCTCGCGCAGATATCCTTTTCGTGGTCCCCGCTTGGACATAACTGATATGAAATAAGAATATGCAACTCCAACTACATTGCTCCACATACCTGGAAAATTGCAGTCTTCGATAGTAGACTATTAGTGCAAAAACTGGGCAACATCGTAACATTCTTACCTGCGAGGTCTTGCACACAGCGAGCACACTTGATGTCTCTTGGAAGGAGAACTACACACTTTGCTTTAAGCTTCCGACATCTCTGGCAGGCTGAGTCAAGGAATATCTGAGTTGCGTGATCGTAGTTCAGACATGATTGCATGATAGTCACCTATGGAACTCCTTGTCCTACGTGGGGCACTCATCCGACCTAGATTTCCCTCTTTAACAACAAGGTGGTGAGAGGAACGGTTCAGTTCAGGATCTTGCGTCACGCTGGACATTGAACTTGGGCTCATCAAGGTAACAGGAGAACCTGGTTGAGTCTGTGATTCAACAGTTGCTGTTGTTCGAGACGCGTCCGCGCTTGCGTGACCAACGAAAATCAATCGTAATCTTTCTCGCCATCCCGGTATTAGGCGACGTGTGAGGAGCATAACCGTTTGCTATATTTACAGCCTAGAATGCCGAATTGCCGAAAAGGCTACTACCATCATTTGCCCTCCTCTCTATCCTTGATGTTTATCCCCCGAAACAGCAACCACTGGCCACGAAGTGACATCAGAAAGACCACTTTACCATTAAGTGTCGCCAGCACTGATCAACGTTAACATGATGCTGGAATGTATACTAGAATCTATATTAGATCTAGGATATGTGTCTTACACCCGTTGTTACGTAGTCATTCAGCAGACCCGACGTGGGTGTGCTGGCATTTCCAAGTTGCTATTGAATCCAAGCTTGCGGTGGTTCACAGAGGCCCAATATCATGGCTCGTCTGCAGCCGACTGTTGTGAGCCAGTACACTACCGGTGATTACGTCCGATCGAGAACATACCTAGATAGTCTCGCAGCAGTCATCAGATCATTCACGAGTCTTTCACGAGATACGCACGGATTGTTGAATTAAGGGACAGATGCGGAGCAGAACTTGAAGTCACCAGTCCGAAGATCAGAGTTCTAGTAAAGCAGCACCTCAGTAGGTTCCAGATTAAGTTAGATACAGCGTGAGATGACCTACTGTTCTTCTCTTTCTGTGCCAAAGTTTGACAAATAAGTAAGAGCACATTGTGGATCCCACTGCAGCAGGATCATCAAAGATCAGGGTGAGTACCATGTGCGATTTAAGCAGGTACAATGTGGTAGCTATGAAGTTTGTAAGAAACTGCAAAAAGTAGAGGTGCCCGCTCAGTGATCCGAAACTGAAAGGCGCAACAACTCCTCACGCAGACGCCGTGGCTGGTACTGGGCCATGTGCGAAGCGAGAGTTTATGCTGGCGAGTCCACCAGCTGCATCGCCCTTCAGCTGCAATATCAATAGAGTTGTCAGCCATCGCGGTTGTTGCTGAACCAATCATGTGCAGATAACTTGGAGGAACGCTGCCAACGCTTGACAATCTATTCCTCAGCGGAAGATTTCAGCACTGATAGCTCTGTCGATACAATGTACGTACGAATTTGCATTCATAGAGATGAACCTGATTATACACGCGAAAGTATTCTATTTCGCTGGATGCTACTGGCTTCTATCCGCACTTATTGGCGCTTGCGCACGTCCTGCATATCAGGAACAACTGATAGAATCTTTGCAGATATTTTATGAGTCGCAACATCTCTGAGTGGAGTGTATGCTTACCATAGGCCACTTGAGACACTTCCTCTCGAGACCAGAGACGGTTCAAATTTGGATGAGCAAACGAATCATTATTTACAAGGCAATGTCAATAGTCAAAATAACTTCAGTGCATACAATTTGGTTGGCCATTCAAGTCGATATTTGAATGCACTAGAACGCGGCAAATTGAGAGAAGAGGTCCATGGGCCACTTCTGTAAACTCGGACGCCAAGCGTCTGCGAATGTTTAGCTTCATTTGACCCACTTCCTGCCGTAAAGGTCAGCAGCTCGTCGAGAGCGACCCAGAGTCCCGATGTTGGACCCATCGAATTGGTCGAAGGCAGTTGTATTTGGTAACTCACGGAGCCGATGTCAGACGTTTGCCGAGCAGCGAGCGGTAGCGCTTCTGAAGCCCTGGAGCGGCGTTTTCTATTGATTCCATGAAAATGCACGGAAAGAGCACCGATTTCGAACACGCATGGACCCGGACTCACGATGGACTTTCCTATACCACAGGCGCAACGACGTAAACACAAGCCCGGAAAAGCATTGACGAGGTTAACGCAACGATTCTAGCCTTGTGATGGGTACTATTTCTCAGTCGTCGTGTGTTGCAGAGGAATCCGGATTCGAACCACGAGGTCGGGCAGGAGACGACGTTTCTGTGGTGGGTCGATATGATGCTATTCGGAAGAGCTTCGCATGGAAACAGAGACAATCAAAGAGCGCGTATCTTAGGCGACACTAGTAGCGTTGGTGTGTCGCTGAGCTAGGATCAGTTCAGGTCTGCGATCTGAGATCTGATCCCTCAATTAGTGAACACATTATCACGAAGTGACACGTCAAGAATGTTGCATGTGGATGACCGATGGCACGGCCTGTATGGTAGAACCAGAAGCAAGAGCAACGGAACTAAGCGGTTCCTCTTCACAACGGCACCGATGGTTGAACTTACTGCCTCGTTGTTGTCGGATCTGCAGGCTTGGCACCGCGCGATGTGGGTTGCTAAATTTGGGCCAATCATGCAGCAACAGCTTCCGGAACCATTTGTGATAATGTTCGATCGGCGGGCGCTGACTTGGCTAACTCGGCGCCGCTCCGATGCTAGATGGATCGATTTTACGGAAGCGAATTTCATATTTCAGCTTAGGTAGCGCCGGCTAATCTGATGCCAGTTACCTTGTCTCCGTAACACTTCGAGATATGCTCCTCTAAGACATCGGCATATCAGCCGCTGACATATCGGTCTTTGACGTTCTCGAGTCTGAGAAGTGCTCTGTCCAAATCCATAGGAGCTGAACGCTGCGCGCTCATCCGCGAGTCGGACGCTACAGACTATACCTAATGTGCGTCCGAGAATCAAACACCTTGTTCACGCCCTGTCGATTTTTATGAAAGCCTCGAGATCGTTCCGCTGAAACACTCCTTCAGAGCACGCAAAATTTAGTTGATGTTATGCAACGACATACCTAGGAATATCGAAGAAGATGGATGGTAGTCATGCATTGTCACAAGGGGATCGTGCTAGCACTGTGGAATAGTCGGCGGAGCTCCCGCGCCCCATAAAAGAGGCTCTACATTCTTGACACTCAGACCAAGAAACATTCACGAGGCCCTCAAAGCTCCGGGAGAATGATCTCCAGTAGAAAATCCCGCAGAATGGAAGAAAGAAAACGAACTGATGGCATTTTGCAATCAGCGAAACGTCCAGAGTCATCGTTCGCACACGGCCTACGTGAATGAAGGCAAAACCACAATCATGAAAGCATGACATTTTAGGCAAGCGAACCTGTCCCGCATCCGGGCGTACCCAAAAAGAAACATCCACATCAAGTCGAAATCCTTCGATAATCACGCCCATTCAGTAAGACACCGGAAGCTGGACGTGCTCACCTCGCATCAGTGTGGCCGTATGCACCGTTGCCGTGGAGAGCTTCACGTTACCGCGTTCCACTTGACGGACATGCAATTCACGGTGAGAAATTCACTTCACTTCCCTCCCTGCAATGCGTGTGTCATGCTCGAAGGTTGGGATTGTAGAGCAAGCCCACACGAGTAGCAATGGGTGGCAGTACTTGCGCAACTGCAGGCTAGCCTCCGTAGCGTATTCGGGCAATGGAAGGGCGGGCGGTCTCCTTGAGTGTCAGGTCGAGATAGTTGATACACACTTAAGCAAGGAAGGCTTGAGCCACGCCTTCGATAGTGCTACACACCAGGAGCATGGTGGGTAGAGTGCAAGAGATATGCTGTCTTTCGCCGCCTGCGCAGACAGCTACAATTAGTGACATGTCGACATGGAAATCAAATTATCTCGTACAATCACCATTCATTCTTTCGTATCATAGCTGACGACCTGTGCACGCAGTTGGAGTGCGACACTCCGGTCACAGGCGCACAAGACAAGACACGAGCATTCTATACAAATAACAAGATTAGGAACCTTTCATCAACACCCTTTATCAGTCTGACGGCCGATAGTGTGACTCACAGTCTTACTAAGTGCATGAGCATGTAACTTCAGTCAAATCAATGAGTGATGGTCCGTTCCCTAGTGCTCCATTCAGAGCGTCACTGCGACAGATGATGAGCATACTGGTAGGTAATACAACCGTCCACCAACGAGGACTTACCGAACAGCCCACTGAGCGCTGCAAATAATGTCGCTGAAACGGCGCAGACGAGAAGCACGACCCGGTCAATTTCGGTCCTGGGCCTATTCGTACTAAACCAGTTGCATCGGGCCTGACTAGAACTCTCAGAACTAGGCACGCAAGGGACGGGCATATCGTATAACGAAGGTTGGTACTGGGAAGCTCGATAGGCCGGACACCTGATTGCAACACCATCTATGTGTCGATGGGCCTCAATACAGTTCGCGAATCCATGGTGTATGTCGTTGATGTATCGCAGAGACAAGCTGTGTATTTTTACGCCAGCTGAGAGTAATCAACATGTAGAATGTAAGCGCGTAGCAGTGCAGTGAGGCGTATTGTGCCAGAAAAAAACGATGCTGCTAGGCAAGCAGTGGAAGTCGCTGCGAGAGAATAGGCAGGTCGACGAGCCTGATTGTCCAGGTCAACATAAGTTGTCTCAAGAATAGTTGGCCGTGACATTCGCACGGTGAGGCGATGCATGCTTGAACCCGCCTCCTATGCCGTGACTGCGAGCGATCCTGGTGCACATTAAAGTCCTGTATAAACGAGAGCAATGGCCCACGTTGAGCACAGTTAGTTTGTCCTCTGTCAGTCTGCTTCGGTCATGATCCCTTGTAACAATGTGCATGTCCTCGCAGCGGTTACAGTGGAAGACTATCGGCTCGCCATGGAACGTCGGGGACTCTCCAGAACCCACACTCCTTCTAGTGACTCGAGGGATGCAGACATGCATGGCCGACGAAGTGCAATAGGGTATCGTCCCAACGAGATCTATAGCACTGCACAGAGTAGTTCTAGTCCTGCAGCAGAAGGCAGAGGTAGTCAATGTTGCTCGTCCTTAGTCAATGGTATGCCTTCTTTTCAAAGAGAGGAACAGTTTATGGATCCATCTCTTGTAGCGACGAATGCCACAAACCACCAACCCGTACCAAACGCGCGTCCTGCAGACATTGCGAATGCGCTACACTCATGGATCAAAGCGTGTATACCATTGTGGCAGTGACGACATCTGCTAGACTCGCAAGAGAAACATGAGATATTACCTGCAGGAGCGAAGCCAGGCCGGTATGCTGCAAATGTCAGTTTAAACATCACCAGATTCATGCCATGCAGACCTAGGGAATAATTATATGAGGATTTGATGGGATTCTACAAGCATCCTATCCCCGTCATGCCGAATCCAAGAGCCGGGTGGCAAGTAAAGCTGCGACAGAACTTTACCCCAGATGACGGTATACCGACTATGGCGACTGGAGGGCAGGAGCCGGACACTAGCACTGCTGCTATACGAAGTAACGAGGAACGCGGACAAGCTATCCGATCTACGAGACTCACCATGTCAACAAGGAAGGAGGTCGATGTGCCGTACACGTCAGCAATGTTGGCCAACGTCCCCCACATCATCGGGGAAATGCACATGGATTGAATGTCGAAAATGAGCCTTTGGAACCGCTTCATAGTCATCAGGGACTACTCTACACATCGTCGACGAGGATTCATGGCGAACTGCATGATTTGGTGCAATTTGAGCTGGAGGACGGTAGAATGCCGTCAGGATCGCTGCGTCGCTCCGAGGTGCTTGGGGAACTAGGTGATATGATCGTAGCGAAGGTATGCCTTACGCCAAACTCATCCAACGCACCGTACTCAAGCAGCTGAACAAGGGATGACAAAGGCGAAATGTCAGTAATCTCGGTCATCACAGCAAGACATCGCACGCACCATTTCGCAGAAGTGCTCAAACTTCCTCACGTCGTAGGCAAGCCGGCGTATCCGTTGCGTATCCGGTCCTTTCACTAAATCGCAACAACAAGGCTCCACCAGTGCTACACAGCCTTCCTGCTCGAGCCCTCCCCGCTCACCTCTCACCGCTCATTGCAGAAGCCGTTCATTATAGACGAATGCATAACGACAAAATTGACCTCACAAGGAATTCCATCGCGTATCTTCACTCCATCGGGTCACGAGCGACGGATGGGGCGTTCGATCTGATGCGCAGAATCAGGGAATGTTCATGGAAGTTGATGACGTCCCTACGCGGTTGGTCTGCTCTTCTTCGATTGCCGCTGGTACACCTTTGGGATGTGGTGGAGAGGGGAAAGAATTCTGGATGAGGTGCGAGGACCCGATTCATCCGTGGAACGGTAAAAGCGCATCTTCATCGGGATGTAATGGCCTGAGAATGACTTGATCGTGCGGAGTGCAAACGTACACATACCATTCGATGGCACAGAAGATGCTCTATACATTCCTGCCCTCCTCAATGCCTCCACACCTCTATTGGGAGACCCGCTACATACCCAGAACCAGCACGGTGGATTATTGCCTACACCGGGGGGCCTAAAAACCTGCACACCAAGGCCGTGCCTTGCTGGCTCGTGCGCGCAAAACAAAAGGTGTCTGGATCTGGCTACAAGAAGACATGGATGTCCGCGTGACGTGGTGGTGGAGAACCTAGTCTGGCTGCTAGTCAAAGCCTTATGAAACCGTGGACGAGAGAATGGTTGGAATGTACGAGGTTTCCAAGAGACAACGAGGCAGACGTTTAAACGACGCAAATGCGCCTGTCTTGGGCAGAGCAAGTTAGATCACTCAGGATCTCGATCGAGCTGCTCTCTGTGGCGCTGCCCGCTCAGGCGCATAGATCTGTGCCTTGGGCCTTTGCCCCGGATATCCTCCTACTACTCTTGTGTGTCGTTCTACTCTCTCACGGTGAAATATCTTGATTATTATGCTCAACTTTCAAGTGGTGGCTGCTGGAGAGTCCCCAACACGAGGTAGTTCCATGCGCGCCTTTGCCCTGCCCTGTTGGGCTCAGCGCTCAGCTCTCAAATGCGTCTGCCTCGGTGTCGAGGAAGAACAACGCGGAATGCAGCATGACATGTTCGGCAATGTCCATGGGCGGAGATGATTACTTTGAGCGCAACGATGACCAGTACCGACCCTGCGAACGATAGAGAAAAGGTATGGCGCTGGCCTCTTGCACCTTCAAGATCTCCATGGGGGTTCTTCCATATTCTGCTGATTCTGTAAATAACGCTTGCAGGAGCATCACTGTACGAAATTCTGATGTATGACACTTTGTGAACAGCCTTTCTATGCGGATACATGATCTGGCACCTTCCGGTTCCATCACATTTGGCCGGAAGTGCTCGTGGCGTGCTTGCGGTGTGCTCTCTTCCATAATGTGGGCGTGTGCATCACAAGTTACTGCGAAGCCATTTGCGCTGGGAGCACGGACCCTTGATGCACCTGATTCTGGGCATATCGCCCTGCATATGCAATCAAGCTCGTTGGAGATCGATATGCCCCAAGAATATCAATCCGTGGCTTCGTATATTTGTACATGCTCTTTGTCCCTATAAATCTGGCACGGGTGGAGTACTCACACTGAGGTGAGTGATCATCATTCCCAACCTCGGGCACTCTATCATTCCACCACGCAAAATGCTGGTAGTTTACAACTTAGTGATCCATCACCGCGAGCACCCGACGTAGTCTGAACTCCCCTGATTCCTGCTCGAGTTGACTGCTTTGCTGGCAAGGGAAGCAGGCCTCTGGCATTCGATGGATACGCGTGAAGGGCTGGCCTTCGAATGACCCAACGCGCCATCTCGGTATCCAACATCGATGATTGGACAATTTCAGACAAGTGAAGTGCAAATGCTGAACTGCCTCCTCTCAATTACGACAAAGCACGCTTTCTCTCGACAGTATACATGCGCTGCAAACAAATGTTTTATATAAAAGGGATTTTACCCTACTTGAGCGTTGTTTTTTCAGCGTAATGGGGGGGGCCCACAAATTGGCCCGCATAGGCACGTGATTCAAGGATCTCCCAAGCGCGCGCTTGGCAGTCTCCGACGGAACTGCCCTTATTCCTTCTATTCACTCGCTTGAAGTGTGTGCGTCCGCCGATATCAGGATGGACAGTATTGTGGTTACGCTTTCTTTGGTGTCAGCGAATGTTGGCAGATCACACAACCCATTGTCTCATGAAACATACTCGTATTCACCACATTCAGGCTAGGAAGGGTGCATACATAGAAGAAACCATCTCCACTACTCTGCCATCGTCTGGTTCTACATTCCGGCTCGGCAATCGCCACGTCTCGCCCCTATGCCATCTTATTCTGAGCAACCATCCCATCTAGGCCTCTCGGGTTTTTTGCACTTCGAATCTCCAGCGTGTGCTTCAACACTTTCTGTAGCTTCTGCTCATGGATCATCACCATCTCCTCTTATCGTCTTGGATCCCACGTCCCCATCTGCAAGGTGCTGGCTTGGAGATAACGAAGCTGGCAGAGAGACTGTAGGGCGGTGCTCATATCCAGCAGCGGTAAGGCTTGAACCGACGATTGGGATCTTCATGTCACTGATCATTACGTTGCGACGCGCGACAATATTCTTGATGTCCTCCACGCCCGGATTTTCGGGCTGATTGGGAGGATAGTCCAAATACTCTTTCGCATCAGCCATTCTGATGTCCACGCTCTATGTAATCAGTAAGCATACTAGCGCAACTCAGCGGTCCCTTATTCGCACTGTACTCACCGTAATTATGGACGACGCCAATTCTTGGAACGTGCTCTGTGAGCTGCCGGGTCCGCCCTGAGATGTATTATTGGTTGCAGTGCCGAGGTCTGCAAGAAGCGTGTGGCATTTAGTTTCTCCCAGAGGACGCACGGGTACGCCATAGAACCAGGCCCACATCTAAAGGAGATAGCTGAACGGACATCGTTCTTTCAACATGATCCGTGATTAGCTCACCAGTCGTCTATGCACACAATCTCCCCCTTCCCCCTCCCCATTGATACAGTCTGCCGGGCAGTGCCAGCCATTGTCGCTCGATGTGATCTCCTCAATTACCAGTGGCATCCGGGCGGCAGGTGTTGTATGTGACCCTGCAAGGTCGAATCCGCTCCAGTGGTGTAGGATTTTTTAGATGCGGTAAGCACGCAGGATGTTGCGGACTGACGTACATCTCGCTAACATACTGCTTGATCCCTTTCGGCCGTAATGTCCTGTGTACTTACGCAGCCAGTGCCGCTATAATCGTACGTTATTGATACGCTACCCGGGCGCGGAGTGTCCGGTTGATTGACACGCAGTGGGCATTGCACCTCTTTGTGTGTGCTTGAAGGCGGGTTTTTTGTCTTTTTCCAGGGAATGGCCATGGTAACAAGGTCTAGATGATGAGCGTGGCGCGTCTCTGCAGCTGAACAATGAGACGAGGGCCGATTAAGGCAAGATGTCAGTCAGTGGACCATACATCGGCGGCAGGCTCACGCACTACCTGATCTCCTGTGTCCTCTGCAGGCAGCTGGTGAAAGTTGCGATAAAGGAGAGCCGTGCCAAGAGGGCGAGATGCACGACCACATTGGCCTCGGCCGCCAAAGTAACCGTGTCCGATTTAGGATATTGAGTGGCAACCACTCACGGAGTCTCAATGTTCGTGCGGTGTGTTCTTATCATCGGACAACATGTGCATGAATACGATCGTATGTTCTACATATAATAGTGGGGCAATATGACTGAGTACATCTTCGAAGCATTTTCTGCGAATTCTAGAACCTTTCTGACATATTTACGCCTTCCTCCTTGCACTCCCTCTATGTTCCGATATGCAACCCCTCTTGTTCAATGCTTACAGCATTCTGCCACCGCCGAGGTGCGCTAGGCCGTCGTTCGGCCGTCCTCTCATTGGAGGATGTCCCCACGCGCATCCTTTATATCTCTTTCTGCAATCCTATCCTGGATGCCCTCCAGCCGTACCAAGTTATCTATGTGAGCGGGTGGAAGCGGGCAGGATTTTAGCAGAATGACGACAGGTCCGAGCGCCCGAGATTCCATATAGTAGACGCCGTCAGGTGGCTGCTTCGGAGTCCAAACCATCTCAAAAATACCTTCGGCGATTCAGTGATTCAGTCGATGGTGGAGACGCACTCGCCGATGTACAGCAGTCACATGCATTGTCTTCTGCCAAGCTGTAAACGAGGGTATTTCTAAACCGTGTACCGAGGCACAATCAACTCTCGACCCGACCCGACCCTTTCACGCAATGTGCATCGTCTCACAACCACGATCACCTTAAACAGAAATCTCCTGAAATTCTGCGGAATGTTTCTTGTTCCTCCTAGACATGATGCCGCCTAGCGATGTCTAGACCGTGGTGGAGCCGAGCTCAGGAAGTTCGGTTTCGAGATGTTTGCGCGACGGAAGGGCGAGCATTCTCGCTTAGTTCTCGGTTTCAGATAGAGGTTGGAAGTGGAACCTCGGACTCGATAAAATTCGGCGCAGTCACGTAGACCTTGTACTTCAATTGGTACGATCAGGAGCACATACTATGGAACGGTGACCCAGTCTGCCATTTCAAATTTGCGGATGCATTCGGTGAGAATCTTCTTCGCTATCCGTGACGAAATTTGCTCACTGCGACGATGAGGCACGGTAGCTCATTTCCACCACGATGCCCATTGCATAATAATGTTACTGCCTATCCCAGCATTCGACTTGATCAGATGGCTCGTAAGCCCCACTTCACTGATTGATTGATAGACTCCGCTTTGGTTTGGAAGAACCACCTACGATATATGTTCTTTTGATACGGAGCATGCTATGTAACAGGCCAGAATCCGTGCCACACTCAGTTTATGACATGCGACAGCCTGTGAAAAGAAGGCCAATCAATATTTGATATTGCCGTCCGCTTATCACCCTAGATCGACTTTGACGTGCTGGGTAAAGCTCACGTTACCATGTCGGCTCAATTTCCTGGAGCGTCATTCCAAGCAACTGTTTCCATACCTTAATTTGTTATGCAATGCGCTGAAGGTGTCCTTGGCATTCCAGTCCGAGCCGTGGAGGTCTCCATGCAAGGCACCTGCTGAGCCGATGTAGAGCTGATTGTCTGCTCAGGGTCGTGTAACAGCCCACGTGAGGGCAGCCTTGCTGTCTGGTATCACCATCGATACGTTGGCGGAGACAGAAACGGCATACTGCGGGACTTCTGCAAAGACATCGGATGCCATGCGCTGACGTCCTTCCTCTTCTCCACGTTTCGTCTGCGGTCTTCCAAAGTCCAGCTTTCCCCCATTCGACTTTCGCTAATAAATTATTCCGATAGCGGAGGGTCTGCTGCCCAGAAGTTTGAGTTGAATCTCGCGAGCATGCGGATGTTCCATATGCCGATCCGCCGTCCCACTGTGATCTTACAAGACATTGTTCAATGGCACGAATTCTGGCCCTATAATAGAGCCTCACGCAAGGCGACGACTACCTCGAGCCTCGATACTTTGCTGCATCATTGCTGTCCTGTCCACTCACTACGGCCCCATCTGCCATGCCTTCGTGGATGGAGTCTAGCTGTCCTCGCCTCAATCGCTCAATAGGTAAGGTTCTCCCATATGCTCACTTAGTGATTGGCTCCAAGCCTCCAATTAAATATGGTGTAACTGGAGTGGAGATTCATTTCAAAATGGCATTCCGCCTCTACAAGGTAGATCCCTTGCCAATCGAGTGTTGCTTGTTCTAACATCAGTTCCAGCTGAAAAAAAAGGGTCAAAATTTGGCAGCGTACCTGAAGACTCTGTGCCGTTCACATGGATCCTCCAGTATTGTCCCCGATTATGTCAACAGGATCCGGGAGCTTGAGCAGGAGAATGGTATCCTTTTGGAGCAGATAGCCTTGCTCCGAGAGTCGAGCAGCTTCTCTCGCTTCACGGAGGATCTAGCACCGGCGAGTTCCCAGCAGCACGAGGTGCGAACAGCGGCCTGACTGCAAACTTTCATATCGGCGCTGACATCGGTTTGGCTGCCTTCTGACAGCAAAGACCCCTACGGAATTCTCTCGACCGTTTCCACTTTCCCGCCATCGTGCGCTCGACAACTTGTGCTGGTCCTGATTGCACCTTTTACGATGTTCGTACCTGTCCTCATTACCGTAAGGTAAGGCATGGCTAATGGGCACATCGCAGTATCCTGAGTTATATCCGGAATACAGCGTGCGCACTGTTTTGTCGATGGAAGATCTCTTCGCATCGAGTGGTATGATGGGAGGATATGGATATGGATATGGCGTGGCAGGGTACTAATCTTCATGGCTACCCTTTGCAATTGTGTCTTTACTGCCTTTCCCTCCGATAGAAAACCATGATAATTTTGTTGCCACCCGCGCAACCGATCATCAGTAAAGCTCAAATCTGCTTGCATAGGCTTGTTTCCCCTTGTTGGGGTCATACAAGGAGATAAGTCTGAGAAGTTTTCAGGACCACCCTGCTTCGGACAGACATAAATAGAATGTAGAAGAAGGCAAACCTTGCGCTCGATGCAAATCGAAGATGATGCATGGACATCACTTCCTCTACAAGTTCTGTTCAACGAACTACTCGAACAAGAGCGGAAAGAGCACCGGAAGCTTTGCGAATACCTTTTTACAATTCTCACAATTGGACACCAGCGGATGAAAAGATGAAAATACTTGATGAGTAAGTCCGTTCACAGGGAAGGTGAACCTCCTGGAGGGCGACGTTGGTCACACCCAGCCTCTTCTCCTCTCCTTTCCTCCTCTCCTCTTCGATCTTCCATCCTGCTAGACATGTTGATGCACTGATGCGCTGATGCGCTGATGTGAACTAGTCAGTATCAATACAGTGCGAGAAACGATCGCTTACATACGTTCTCTTTTGACCTATCACGCAACAGGTGCGACCTTCCGGCAGTGACGCCGTGGAACTCGAGGGCGACGGAAGCGTATGACATCGGCGAAGGAAGTCAGGGGAGTCGGCGTCGGTGGTGACGTGACCCGATTTTCGGAAACAGGTCGGGAGACGGTATGAAATAGTATAATGGGAAGGACTCGAAAGAACCCATAACAGATCTCGTAGTGGAGGACGAGGCAGAGAGGATTCGAGGTCACCAATTGCGGTTGTTGGGTGTCGAGTAGAGACACCCACGACTTGGGGGACGCGAGAACTCCAATCGGATGACCATCCTTAGTCTCGATATAAAGGAAAACGTCGTGCTCGTCCTCGCCACAGGCCTCGGCAACGACGCCGCGCATTATGATCGAGTCGTCAACCATGAGTACGATGGTTACTGACATTCCAATGGACAGATTGCCGGGGATCGGGCATGTAATCGCCCAGGTTGGTACATAACGGGCAAAAGTATAACCCAAGGGGTTGGAGTAAGGGGAGACGAAGACGGAGTCGATGGGCAACTCCTCACAATAGGAAGCGGCACTATCGAATCCTATAGCAGACAAAAGAGGAGTGAGGTGGAGTGTTGAGGACAACGTAGCGCAAGTAGACATTGCGATGCAGATTGGACGCTGATGGATGTAGAAGTGATAGCAGATCGGAGTGGTGATGTCCTTTAAATCTGCGTGGGTACTATGACCCAGAAAGCCGAAGTCATATCCAGCGCCGACTGTGGCCTGAATCCAGGGACTGCAAATGTGCGAGCGCATCGGCCGGGTCACCATTGATCCGTCAGAATGGGTTGATACGCGAGCAGCAGAAGATAACGGCGGACTTAGTTGCAGGCGCCCTTGAATGTAATGGACTGGTTAATCCTTCATGCAATACAATATACGTCAGAATGTGGAAACCCGCATGGAAAGCTTACATGGAGCTGGCTAGTAGGTCGGATAGTCCCACAATTTGCCTAAAATTCATTCTTTACTAACGCCCTTGGAGACCTCTCACATTTATCAGAACGGGTGGTCCATGGTCAGCGATTCGCAGACTTTTAGAATGCTACAATCCAAAGTTAGCCACAAGACGACTGTAGTGCACCAATCCCCACGCCGCGACTGAGAAGCAAACTCACTACTGTGTCAAGCGAACCCATCGTGGGAGGCCTTGACCAAACGGATAATTTCTCCCGCCAGTCAGAACGGCAATCGGTATAGAATGAACATGCGGTCATGGTACCACAAGGCATCCCGGTCCAAGTGATACTTCCTAAATGCCACCGGCAGCCCCGTCCGCTCCAGAATCCACGCACGCCAAAGGGGTCCGTTCGACACGTGGTCACGTGATCGTATCGATCGATGCGGCGCAGGGCGACCCAAAACTTCAGGTTCTCTCAGCTTCGTGACCATTAAAAAATGCCCCTCCAACTGGATATTAGCGGTTCACTCCCCTTAATTTCCGTGGAGACTCCTTGCGACGGCTGATTATTATGTCCCAGTTCGTGCCCCAGCCCTTCCCTGCCACCAGCAATGACACACTCTACATGGCAAAGACAATCCGCACTGGTCCTAAACAGCCCGATCATTACAGTTCGAAGACTATACAGCTCATTGAGGTCCCGGCGCCGCCACGCGTTCATTGTCCATACGCATCGTCATTCATAGGCAGCCCTTTAACTTCATCATTCTCTTCATCGACTGGAGAGCTTAGCGAGGATTCCGCATGCTCATCTTACTGCTCGTCCGGCTCAGAATCTGAGACACAGTCTCAATCGTTGGTTCCGATGCACGAGACACGCTTACATAGGATCTTGGCCTGGCGTGAACAGTTGGTGCATACTACAATGGAGGATGGTGCGTATCTTACATGCTCCTGTCTTTTCAATGTAATCATCGATGACGCATCCAGTCTTGTTGATGGATTTGCTACTTCCATTGGAGTGCAAGTCTTATCGCACGGAAGACCAAGTCGACGCCAACAAAAGCGTGCGTTACGTGCTAAATTGATTTTCGCACCATACTCTCCTCATCTTGCTCTCTCCAGGCTTCTAATCTGTCGATGCTGTCATGTCTGCACTCATCAGCGCCTCAGTCTCAGTAGCGCACCAAGTACACAGTCTTGCCGGTGAGGTATCCGTCTCGCGCATTGGTGTCTGGCTGGACTCTCATCCAATTCATGCATAGCGTTACGTTCACACAAACGTATAATCCCCAGTTCCCAGTCCGATTAGAAATTGAGCTGGCATTGGCATAGCAGTCTTGGCACACCGCATATTATTCCTGGGATGCTGACTATGCGTACGCTCATACCTTAGTACTGTATTTTCCAGTGCTGTATTTGCCGAAAAAGTTATAAACCTACTATCCACGCGTGTACTCCACTTTCCGCACTATCATCGACTCTCATAACGTCCATGCCATGACGAGCATTCATGCTGTTCTGGGTATGCCCATGTATATTGCATCAATACACTGTAATTAAAAGATGCTTATCAGACGACGTGTGAACGACGGCACAGAAAATCTTGCGCCTTCGGGCCTCGCAAACAACACGAGGCACTGCTTGTTCTGGCTTGGGACTCTATGGGCCACTCACTGTTGTATGGCCCCTAGTGGCTATACTCAGGATAAGACATATACTCCGCAATCTTGGCAACCGCGCTTTGCCCTTCTTCCATAACCACAACAATGCTATTTTGCAAGGTATATCCCGCCTACAAGGCATCCCCACAACCTCTCATAGCGGTTGAGCATGGAAAGGGCATGTTCAACTCCTCTGCCATCTACAACAAGTTCGAACGCTCCGCCCGGGCCCTGTTCAAGAAACTCAGCTACCCTCGTCCATGTCAGACCTCAAATTCTGTTACTCGATGCGCCGACAACGTTCAGGACAATTTCGGAGAAAAATCTCCCTCTAGAAACGCGAGGTGGCAGATTGTGGCAAATCCAGCCGATGTGACTTCGGGTCCCCGAACCTCCCTCTCGATCGGTCTTCATCTTTGGCAAAACTCCTGTAGCATCTGCACCTTCATCAACACGTTATCATCGCGTTTGACGCGTCCTGACCCTTCAATCGTGCCCATCGGGGACGTTCTATCCCCCCGAAGATGGTATGCCACAGTTCCGAACATCCACGCGTTCAATGCGTGCAAAGCTCTCTAACATATCAAATGCGGCAGCCTTAGTTGTGCGCGATGTCCTACCACCATGTCACATTACCACCATCTCCGGCTCTCTCGACGCGTTTGGCATGCTCGGACACGTCGGGCGGTTCTACCGTCATTATTTCACATGAAGATGTTGGCATTTGCCATCCCCCTTCGCCATCCGTTATGGTCTCTTGTGTCTCGTCCTTGCCGTTTTCTCCGTCTTCGGACCGCCTGGCCTCTGCTAAGTTCAATCCGTATACAGCGGATGGACGATCCGATGTTTGTCTTCCATTGTCCGATGTCTCTTCACTTGAATTGCCGCGCATCCCATCGCTAAGCAGCAATGAAGGCGCATCTTCTGATGGTGAAAGTTCGGGAGCACTTGCATCAGACGGGGGCGGTCCGTCACCGAAGCTTTCCGTTGAGTATGTGTTCCCGTGTCCCGTCGCCCAGCCCGATGAGTATGCCCCACCCCTCAAGTACCGCCATGATTATATCGAGCGTGGCGTTGGCCACGATGACGACGAGCTGCTCTCCGACGACACGACGACACTGGTTCTCTTGATGGTGATGATGACGGGCGTCTCGATGATGAAGGGCAGGCCACCTGCGACCTGTTCTGCCGACATGAAGATACCACCTACAAACTGCTGATGAAGCTTGGCAACGGCGCATGTGGACGTGTGATGTTTGCGGAGACCGATGACGGACAACAGGTTGCCATTAAGGTCACGCCGAAGCTCAAGCAATACCGCTGTGGTCGCGATCTGATCTTGCATGAGAAATGAGTTATGGAAACAGCAAATAAAGTTGGAAGTCGCTACTTGATGCACTTACAGGCATCGTGGGAGGATAAGAAATTTTTGTACTTCGTCATGGTAAGTTTCCTCCTACCTTCTCGCAAAGCCGGTGAAGATGCAAGTTTTTGCATTGTGTCAACAGAAGGCGTATCTTGGCTCGTTGAGATATCGACTTGCGTCCGTGCCGTTGGATCCTGTGGAGGCTAAGTTGCTCTGCGCGGAGATGGTAAGACTATCGACATGTCGACATGAACCATTGAGCCGTGAAGTAACGAGATTGGCAGGCATATGCAGTCAAGGAGCTCCACGATAGCCGTACAATCCATCGTGATATCAAGCCAGACAACTTCTTGGTCGATGAGAAGGGTCACCTAGTCTTAAGAGACTTTGGATACTCATACGTGCCCAAGCCTCACTGTACAAGTTCGAGAAAGCCAAAACATTCACGTCCGTGGGTATGCCCGGGTATGCGGCACCGGAGGCCATTGTGTCTGAGTCCAAAGGCTAAACCTGCGCGGTCGACATATTCAGTTTGGGGCTCGTCTTCCTGGAGGTCCTGGGGGGTTTTCAGATGCCATACTATTGTGCGCTTACCTTGCCGGCCCAACTCGATATAATGGACGTGAAGCATCTGGAGCTGGACCTTGAGACTATCATCGAAGATGCGCAGGGTAGAGATCTCGTGCTCAACGTACGTAAAACGTGTGTTGGCCCGCGAACGTTGTGCTGATTCATCCATATCAGATGCTGAATACCAATCCTACTAAAAAGGTTCGTCGAATGCTGTTCTATGTCATCCCTTTTTCGACGACATAGATAAGGAAAAATCGCCAATCGCGAGCTCTCCTGTGAGTCGTTGATCTATTGCCTTTTGCGCGGGAGCTGAGAAACGTTCTGTAGATCCACGCAAGCCAGCCTTCTACTTGAATCTCCCCAAGCAAGAGTCTGTCAAATTATCGTTCTCGACGTTCTACGGCGGTTTAGACTCCGCCTATGAGGATTATCACAAGGATGAAGATGCCCGGCTACTATATAACGATAATACCACTCGACAACTCATCACTGGCGGCGATGACGATTTCAAGTTCTCCCGTTGAGCTCCATACATTATTAATACATCCTTACTTGCATTCCGCTCTAGAGATTAGCTGACTCAATTGTGCTTCATCTGTAATTAATGCATTCTACTCCGGCCTCCCGCAATGTATTCCTACCCTTATTTCAGCCATACAGAACGAAGTCTCTCCCCTCGATGTCGGTAAGAATCCACCAACAATGCTGAAAATTGTCGAACACCATCACGGTTCCAATTACTCATCTGCAAGTGCTTCAACAGCTCCAGTAGAATCTCCCTATTCATATCGTCTATATTCATTGAATGTGCCAACTCTACATGTCTCTCACAGCCCTGGATGCTCTTCGCTGCCTGAGGATTTACGAGCGACACAGGTCTGTCCATAGCTGTAGTTTCATGGATCCGACATGCTCGCGATCTGCATGTTCACTTCAGCTTATTGCCCGGATTCCCCTCCAAAGCCCAATTGCGACTTTTATATAAGTCGTTCTCTCTGAACTGCACGCGGGGGAGTCCGGCGTAGTATTTTACCTCGGACGCACGGGCATATGCAACATAGAGTTGCTATGAAGTTGGTATGTTCTCACTGAGTGTCAAAAGTGCTTTCAAAATGATTACTGTCCATTCGTTTGACGTCATGCAAACGAGTCCAGCCACATCTCATCGCCTATTTCCTACTACGGATTAAAAGCAGTTTGATACAACACTGTAGCGTCGGATCGACGTTGGTTAAGTGAGTCAATTGTGAAAGTGAAAGAAACTGTTGTCCTCGATAATCGTCCGTGTGAACATCACGTATATGGAGGATTGATAGGAGAAGACATTCCATCACCCATTGAGCAGAGGTCTCGGAACGAGATGCTGCCTCGTCCGCGCCTTTGACTGCAGAGGATCATCTAGTATGAATCCTTTACTAAGAAAGAGTAACCGCACGTCTCATATCTTCACACTCACAATAGCTTTCTCGTTCTCCATTCTGATGTCACCAGCTGCACGAATGGCTCATGAGATTGTGGAAGCTTGCAACTTCTCGAAGGTTCGTGCAATGGAGGATACGTTGCTTTTCACTCGAGGCTCTGCCTCACCACCTGTGCGATATGCAAACACCTGCGAAAACTGAGTTCCAAATGACACCTTGGCTTGATGGGCCAGTTCCTGATCACGAAGCTTCCGAGCTTGCTTGAGCAGGTCAGAGATCTTGGTGATAGGCAAACGCTTCCCATTCGCACTATATTTCTCCCAGAAAGCCGCAGGTTTCAGGGCTCTATACTCTACAATGAGGAACTGACAATACACTCAGGCAACGTGCAGCAGAAGGACGAGAGATATGAGAACCTTCCATGTTAACCAGCGCTGCTTGATTCCAGCCCAACGTCTATCTCCACGGTATTGGTATAGCTTGAGCCAATGAATGAGCGCAATACTTCTATCGCGCAAGAGTAGTGGAGATGAGTTGTCCCAGGATGGTGAAGAATCATCCCATATGCAATCCAATCGGTCCAGATCGTTTGTGAATGATATGGCGGGAGGATCAGGAACCTCAGAACTGTCAAATTCTAAGGCACCTGAAGCCAGCTCTATGGTCATTTCGATGCCTCGTCTCGATAACGATAGCGTAGGACTTGGACTTGTTGTGACACTGGATGCAGGAGGCAGTCCAGGTGGTGCATGCATTGTCGGAGGAACAGTGGCGAGGCTCTGGGATTGAATGGTCTCTAAGCGTTGCTCTAAACGCTGCATACATGCGAGTAGCTGATCCGTGAGAACGCTTTGAGGGGTTGATGCGGTGCTTATGCAGCTGGACGGGTCTTGTGTTGAGCATTTTGAGAGTCGAGGATGAGCAGAATCACCGTCGGTTTCTGGTCCTGGCCGGTTCCCGCTCCGCGGCAGCGCTGAAAATGAGTTGCGCGAGGACGGAGGGATAGAATCATTGCCGTTGAATGACGATCCTGAATGAGAAAAGAGGACATCCTCACGTGATTCCGTCGTAGCAAGCCTCTGCTCGTTCTCGACTATCGTGCGAGCCTTCAACACACTGTCAACGCATCGCCAGGCTGTGGTTGAGTTATGACATACCCAATCGGCCATTTGCGTTAACTGAGTAACGGTTCTCGTATCCTTCGATCTTCGAGGAAGCGATGACGTAGGCGAGGAGGTCTGGTACGTCATGATTTGCTCTCTACGTAGGGCAGAACGCTTCCAGTGTTTCCTGTGTTCCTTTTGAGATAATGAGTGTCCTTCTGAGTAGCCTTTCGCACGTGAAGGCATCTGATTCTGATTTCTCGGACCCTTATGAGAGCGTGTATTGACGGGCTTCTTCCTAGTATCACCGTTGTTACTTTTGAAAGCAATAGCGACACATCATCAAACACTCACAGTTCCCATGCATCCATGTCTTCGCTGAACGATCTCAGAGCGGAGATATAGGAAGCTTTGTTCTGGCGCGCCGGTTTCAGTCTCCACTTGCGGACGAGCTTCAGAAGTTCGGGACGTTTCATTGGCCCTCTTGTTGAAAAAATCAACTTATAGTCATGACACAGCAAGAAGATTCTACCAGTACTCACAGATCAACTTGTTCCGTACTCCATTCCCCGTTGATAGTGAGCTCAAAGGGTAGTGTAATGATGTTACTCCCTCCAAAAGGAGCGCTGGATATGTCGCATCGCGGAGGTGAGTTCACCACGGGATTTGGATCAGAATTTTCACGGAGTGATAGTGCACCATTGTTTTCAGTGTCTGAGCTAATTGTGGTAGTACTGTCTGTAGTATGGGGAGTGATGTCAAGTGAGATCTGAGCAGAGGGAAGGCAAGCCAACGTAGTTAGGGGATCGTCTGACATACTACTGGATCAGTATGTAAAAAAGCAAGAATCCCGCGTAAAAGTATCGCGAGAGATCCAGTTTTATATGGAGCATCAGCACGATCTCTTGAGTCAAGACAAGGCGAGACGGACTCTTAAGACGTAGGATCAAGACGCTGGAGTGAAGGAACATGGCGCCAAACGTTATCGCCAAGGGAATCATGATGATTCCAAAAACATAGAGAAAGCAGTCTAAGTCAGGCTGTTAGAAAAAAAACATGACAGTGTCGAGATTTCAAAGGTGTCGCGACCGTTGAGCGAGGCATTTCTTGGGCACTTCTGCAACGGCGCGATGTACACGTGACCGCAACAGGCGCCCGATGACAAGGGGAAAGTCATTTCTCCATGCTGAACGTCAAATCTTGCCGGGGAGCGTCAAAATGCCGTCTGTAAGTGCTCTTACGGATTCCTGCGCTCACAGGGGTTTTCCTGTCATTCTGCTTCATCAGTTGCTTCGTGGTGCTAATTTGACGTTCCGGTATACCGCCGAAAGCAACGCGCTCAAGCTTCATGTGAAATTGCGTGAGTGGGTCGGTGCTGTAGCACAAGACCATCCAAATGCCTATCCATACAACAGATCGCGGCGAGAATCGCGGGAGGGAAAGCACGCAGTAGTGCCTCTGGCAGCGAATGAGGTACGTGTCTTTCTGCTTGACATTTAAATGTAACAGACACGGCGACAGGTACGTCGTCTTCCCGCGCTAGGACAGCAGCTGGGTGAACCTGAGGCGCTCACTACATCCAAAGAGCGCTTGTTGTTACTCGTGTGTGGCTTCCATGGTCGAAATCATTTGTTCGACTCTGACGGCTCCACTTCATCTTCGCTACAGGCCGAAAGGACCTGTGTCCTAAGCGGTCACTCGAAATGCGACCACCGTTGACTCAAGACAGCCTAGTTGGAATGCACCATGCGGCTATCAAACTCTAGGAGAGATCCTCAAATCATCGTTCAATCCTCTATCATTGCCACATCATTTTCTGAAGGCTTGCTCGGCACGTCATCCGATGGACTGTTTCAGCATGGCGAAACATATGGACATGCACATGTGCCCTTATTTTTGGTATGAAGGGATGCGGGCAACCGGTTTCCATCAGTCGTCACATGGTGCACTCCGCCTGCGCTCAAGCTACATCGAGGTTCTGAACGTTAGTGAAGTCGATGTTCAATCGACTCGACTGCCTGGATGGTTGGCATGGACATAGCATCTAGCATCTTTAATGGCCACACGTTGCTAAGGAACCGATAACCAGATCTTCCGAAGCACGTGAATCCCCTCCAGGTTCCTGGCGCGAGCGCGAGCGTGAGGGCTTCAATTCGTGGATGATGGCTCTCGCTGTGATCACGCTTGACGACAATCTGACTGGTCCATTTTTCTTCGGCTCCGTCTCTCAGCGGATCTCAAAATGCTCACTGTTGTAGTCAAGACATGCGGATCTCGACCTGGCTGTTACTCTCCGGGCCATGGTGAACAACCGCTTGAAAGTGTATGCGGCCTACAGTATCTTACTCTCCCGGAACTTTAGAAGCCGAAGCGTTGAGCGAAGATTCCGAATTTCTGATGGCTGGAATCATGTGATCATAGGTTACTACGGGTAAACGGCTTCCTAGGGCATTTGGCCCGCATAGATCACGACCGCAGTGACGGTCCCAACGGCTGCGTGCCATAGAGGCCTCTCTTCTGTCACCACTTGCTTTGGAGCTAGAGACTCATTGTGTTGTTTGGAGGTATCATTCGAACCATGTGTCTTCCGGCTGTAGAATCATCTAGAAACCACCTTTGCCACACAACATAAAAGCCAAACATCTCGTACTACTCATCCAAGCTAGCACATCGCGTTTTGTGACATATTCCCCGAAGGTATCTACGACTCTCCGTTAATCGTCCGCATTCACAAAGTGCCCAGTCACGACAAGGCATGGCGGGACCGGGTGATACCCTTCTCGCATTAATGAAGAAACGAGCTTTCATTATCACCGCGGCACAGACGGTTTTGCTCGCTGACCCGCACTGGTCGCGTCATGTGTTGCTGAAGGTGCACCAGAGTTATGAGCCGGTAAGGACGGTCGTTTGATGACTGTAGCAGAGTAATCTGACATGATTACAGGCCACAAGGAACGATACAATCCGATCTGTTGATGGCAGCTACACCCTCAGTGCCACAGTCTTGCTGCCGGGTGATGCTGAAGTGCCACAGTTCTTGCGCACTAGTCCGATCGTCATCGTAGAGCATTTTATTGGCACTGGTGGAGATCCTGCAGCACCCAATTGGGTGAACTGGCCGCCGGACACTGTGTGGGTTGTCCGCATCTCCAGACGCGCAGCATCACAAACTTTCAAAGAACTGGCTGAATATCCGGAGAACCTGGAGGTGGTATGTCGTCCAATGTAGCATTGAGGCTTGGCTGCTGACATTTACTTCTTCTCGGAGCCTGGGTTGTGCCCTTCTATCCTTGAATGGGCAAAGAGCATTTGGGTGAGTCACATTCATGCAGTTCTCGAAGTCCCGTTCTCACTCGCTGTTCATATCAAGGAGGGAGACATAAGCGCAGGCACTGCGGGTCCTTTACTTCCGCCTCCTTCATCTGTAGCACAAAGGATGCGCCCCTATAGATCACGGAAATCCCGGGATAAATCATCTTCAGTTGGAGGGTATATCTACCTCCGTGCCCGCGCTGTTCGCCGCTTCTGTGGCTCTGCAGATGACTATTTGTACCTACGCAATCGTGCAGTATGCCATGCCGCCATAAAGCTTCGTTTATAGGGAATCGCAAATAAGCATCTGCATTAAACTCTCAATTCACGACGATGCAATCTCAAAGGCAGAGGACACCTGAGGTTAATTTTGCAACTAGTAGCTGACGGACGTTCGACGCGGTGGGAAGGCCTATAAGTATTCGCTGACTAGTTTTATTGCGATGGTTGTATTCGCGTAGATTGCCCAATACATTGTTCGTCAACAGGGCGATCGAACACGCCAGTTCAGCGGCTCGAATTGATCCAGGAGAAGCCTTGACTAACTCAATCGTGCGAATGTGCCCCGTGCAGAAACGTAGAGGCTCGCTTGGGAGCTTCGGTCAGGTCGGGAACAGTGAAGTTCATGATTATTTGGCAGAGAGGATGCGGGGGGACGACACGATCGGAAGGAGACTGTCTGGATAGAAGTTAATGATCAACTTGATAAGGGACGTTCGAGCGGCATGCGGAAACAATACACTCAAATCAGCTTCACGGGAGAGGCAGTCTTCTGCGGTTCTAGAGCTCGTTGCAGATTGCCAGTTTGGTATACCTGATCCCAAGGGCTGCGCTTTTAGAGGCGGTTTTATGAGGATCGCTCGAATGCGTCGTGATACACATCGTTGTATGAGGACGATGAAAGCCTTCACGCATCATCAACGACTGAGAATGGTCGCGGTCATCTTTGAGTGTCTCACACAATGACATGGTTGACTCGATGTATCGTTTACAGGTAGACAAGCATTTATGAAGAAGATAAGGAAAGCCGCGTACGCTTTTTAGCCGACAGGCACAGCCAGCACGCATGCATGTGCTGTGAGTGCGACGTGGAGAGTTACAGCAAAACAGCCGTCTCTGTGGCGTATGCTTCGGCAATAGCACCTGCATCAATCAATGATGGTCCGATGCAGCCTGAAAGCGTCGTTTCCACCGTCTCGGAGGACTCGCACACGCCGTTCCTATCGAACTCTAGTGACGGATAGGAACTGTCAACAATACGCATATAGATTAACAGTCACGGTGCCAGCAGGAACGCACCGTTGTGAAAATACAGAAGAAATAATGCATCTGTAGAAGTCGGTGCATGACATGCTTGCCGGACTCAGAAGTGAGATTATTGTATTGGTGAGGTTTGCTTTTTAGGTCCCCTTCTAGCAGTGCTGAAAAAAGCCTGACAACGTTGCAGTTCGTGCCAGGCACGAGGAAATATGCGCGGTTGACCACCCACTGAGGTATACCGCCGGCAGTGCATAGAAATAGTATCTACATTGGGATTGAGAACGTCAACTACAAAACTCACAAATTGGTGGACTAATGTGAATGGATTACACATTTTATTCACAGCTCAGTCCCTCGATGTCGATGACTAACTCATTCAACAACAGCAGGCAGGAACACGCACAGATCGTATTCTCACCACAAGTCTTAACGCCCTTCGGATGCAACGGGCCACAATTCACTGCCATGCATGGCATGGGTGCCGTATAAAGCTGTTGGGCAGGAAGTGGCGATGGGATAGCATCTTCTCTAGACTCTGACATGCCCAGGCCTCGCCATCCCGGAGTACCAGCCAGAGTAAGCACGGGATAAGATTCGTCGTAGTTCAGCTAGAAGGAGACACTAAGAATCGGATGCACAGGATGGTCTGAGAGTCAAATGCTCCAACCGATGCCGCGTGCGGGTCGATCCAAGTCACGACCGCCACCGTTGATGCCGACCGGGTCACGTGCGCGCGTTTTTCTTTTGTGAATACATTGATATACCAGCTGGATATACCACCATTCGCTCGCCTCTACAACATTGCGCAATGTCGACTGTCCGACATGGTCATATGCGTACCAGCGGTTCATCAGCGCACCCACGTTCCCAGCGCCCAACTCGACAGGTCTTGCATTGCACGACACCAGCGCAAAGTCACCGAAACCCTGACATGTGGCCGGTGCTGCAAACGATCAGCAGCATCTTGCGATCTCGCATCACCGCCCACCGACCGCTACTGTCCATCGACCCTCCTCATAGCGCTCGCCAAGCTCGGAGACCCTAAGTGCTGTAGATGGGATCCCGCGTCGCGTGTCAGCCAGCACGCCATCACCTTGTCTGTTTGAGGTGCGTACTTCCTATTGTGCCATATTGCGTTGCTCAATCGCGTGAACCATCGCAGTTCAGGGCACGCTGCTCTTCCTCTCATCTTGTTCGTGACATCGACGGCGTGACCCGTGCGGCCGTTACAAGTGATCGGAAAGGCTGTCCTATTAGTACTGCATTACGGCCGCAAAGCACGGAACGGAAGACTTTCGCTGCGTAGCCGGAAGCCGACCTTCAACCGAAGGTTACGATCGCGACATCGATCTTCTTCCCTGTGCGGACGAAGGTTGGGACAAGCCACAACGTCCGCGCGACTTGGAATCCGACGCCCTCAATGCGCTCTGGCCATGCCCATTAATATGGCCGTCTGATGGACAGGCAAAGCTATCTCCGCTCTGTCGAGAGTCTCGGAGCTTGACGGCTCGTTTGATGCAGGTATGCTGTCTTTTAACTTGCGCTTGTCTTTCTGCCAGTCTGATCGTACGGTGTCAGAGAGCGCCGACCGAGAATGGGCCTGTGATGATGGCCAAACTATCCAGCACGTAGAACTAACAAGCACGATGTGAACTTTGCGCCGCGTCTGCAGACTGCCGTCTGCGTTGCGACGGGCTGGCCGCCACACAGACCGCACAGTTCCAATGGCGTATAACCGGGCTAGTGCGTTTAGCGGATACGTGGAGGGTCGCGCGTCGTGCCGAAGTGAGCATGGCGTGCGGTGGATGCAATGCTTGAAGCCAGTGGATTTGCTGGATGATGATTAAGGGCAAGTGAGGATCAGAAGGATATGGCTTGCGTGCAGTAGGATACCTAGAATCCTCGCGCTCCGAGTCACTCACTCGTTGATCAGCTAGTCGCTGACGCGGAGAGCGCATGGGATCCGCCTTGCCAAGGGAAGCCCTAATCTTCGAGACGCACCGTCTGAGAGGAAGTGATTGTCGCAGGCCGGCGCGAACTGTGCACAGCCTCTCACGGTTCCGTTTATGCACGCGCATCGCGTCATTTGAGGTGCGACCGTCAAGACTGTTAGGAAGAGCATGTGCCTCGGTCGTCATGCATTTGGACTCCGAGGCGCATGGACGGTGCTGCCGCCTTTGCGCTCGGGAATTCTCACGCACGTGTATCTCGATGTTATATACTTATTCTACATCGTTCAATACATGAATAGTGCGATCATCTTGGCCACGAATCGTGCAGAAACCGCTTGTTGGCCACTTGGGGCCTGGGTGCGCATTGCAAGATATGTACGACGAGTCGCGAATGTGACGTAACGTTCACAGGCATGTGTTCTGTGCAAACGACGAAAATTGTAGTGAAGCGTTGCGTGTCGAGTGTGCACGCTGCTTAGCGAGGTGCAGACCCGCGAGGGAGAGCATGCCGCTGTGAATGACCACGTCAGCACACGGCGCACGAATCGAGGCGTCCGGGCAGCTGTAACCAGAAGGAGCGAGCACGAACCCAATCTGACGGTCTTGAGAGCGACAGGCAAAGTAATGAGAGGAGGCGACCGTCGCACTCCACCAGAAGCTGGAACCATGTTTATCACACTGAAAGGCCACCAACGACGGTGGCACGTTTCAAGACATAAAGGTGATTGTGTGCATCGATATCACCGATAAAATGCATAACAGTATAGCATCCTCACAAAAAGGGGCCTAGCTCCTAGGAGCGGGATTGAACGAGCAAATGCAAAACAAACCAGATGAAGCAACGAATCCCAGAGAATAGAGCATTTCGTAGCTAAACCTGAACAGGCCCTGCACTTTTGTCCACCGCAGAGACTGCATGGTCAACAACAGGGATCCTAGCAATGAGACTTAACGAGTAACGGATACAAAACGGAATGCATTCAGCAAAACAAAAGAATGTCCCTCCATGTTATGCCGTGGAAAGCTTCCCCTTTTTTTCTGCAAGGTGACGTCAGAGCACGGTGGGAACTGAGAACTTCTGGGAGACGCACGTATGCGACGGCGTCGTAGTCGATGCCCGCCTCCTCGAGCTTGCATTTCTTCAGGCTCTGGCGCTGGAGCAGCCGCTCCTCCGCCTTCCCCTGCTCTTTCCCCGTGCGTTTCTGCATTTGGTCAGTTACCAATAAAACGCCATATCGACGCAGGTCAACGATCCTATTCTCAGCGCACCTTGTCATGCTGCATTCTCACAACGCGCGGCACGGTGCGCCACTTCCTGTCTGCGCCGACCCATAGCTTGGGGTGAACTTGATCGTTCGAAATGACCTTGCACTTGAAGATATGTCCCATGAGGAGGTAGTTGTCCATCGTCTCTGCGACGATCTCCGCAACGGATGCGGAGTCGAACTCGATGAACGCGCAGTATTTCGAGTGCCCAGTCTATGAATGGCATCGTTAAAACGGATGAGCGAACAGGTTGTGGATGAACGGCATGAGCGGCGTACCTTCTTTTTGCGTGAGATTCGGAGGCGCGTGACGTTGCCGAACTGCGAAAAGTATGCGCGCATCTCGTCTTCGTAGGACCCGTGCGGTATCCTGCCGAAGTAGATCACTCCACGGTCTTCACTCTGCACAAAGAGCGGAACTCAGCACAGAGAGTATGTCAAGAAGGAAGTCATGCACACCAGATGTTTCTTCGCCTTCTTCAGCTTCTGCTTCACGACCGCATCATCCTTAAAGATGGTTGGCAGGTCTGACACGCCAACATTCTCCCACTCTTCCGCGCTCTCATCGTCGGAAGAGTCGTCATCGTCAGTGGAAGAGTCGTCATCGTCATTGGAAGAGTCATCGTCGTCCGTGAAAACGCCATAGAGACGTTTAGCATCCTCTCCTCCTTCGTTCTCCTTGTGATTGGGTACCAACGACTCCATGACTTCTTCTTTCTCTTTGTTGCTACCGGAGGCAACTGCTTCTTGATCCTCGTTCTCGTCATCACTAGCTGCCTCCTCATCCTCACCCTCATCCTCATCATCATCCTCATCGCTAGTCGCAGAAGCTCCCTCCTCTTCCTCTTCCTCTTCAACCTCCATACCATTAATCGAAATAGCTTCTTCCTCGTCATCGTCCTCGTCGTCCTCGTCGTCCTCCTCGTCCTGGTCGGACTCAGAAGCTTCAAAAGGTGGAGGTGGGGCCTTCGTCTTCACCGTCTTCTTCACTTTGAAAGCTGGTGCAGGTTTCGCCGGAACCTTCGTCACAAAACCTTTCGTGGCTTCCTTGGCGGGTATAGTTTTCGACTTCTCCGCGCTTGCCTTCGCAGAAGACTTCCCGGTCTCCTTCGCAGGGGCGGGCTGCGCCTTCACGCTCTCCTTGGCTGGGACTTTCGATACCGACTTCTTCCCACTCTCCTTCACGGAGGTAAGGTGTGACACCTTAGCACTTTCCTTCGCAGGAGTAGGCTGGGGAGTGGGCTGCGATGCCTTTGTCTTCTCCACGGGAGCAGACAGTGATGCTGTCACAGTCGCCTTCACAGGAGCGGGTTGAGACGCCTTCACCTTCTTCTTCTCCGTGGCGGGGGCAGGCTGCGATACCTTTTCCTTCTCCCTTGCAAGAGCCCTCCTTTGCTGGAGCAGCCTGCGAGGCCTTCAGGGCACTCAACTCAGACTTAGCCTTCTTGCTGGCAGGCTCATCGGGTTCGGCGAGCGCTCCAGGTGCAGGCGGCTTTTCACCGCTCTGTTCCGCCACAGCCGGCTCTCTATGCTTACTTCTCTTCCTCTTCTTCTCAGAAGTCATAGGCGCGGCTTCAGCGGTGGGAGCGGCGTTGAGCTGCGTGTTTTTCCCCTTCTCCTGTCCTGCCTGTCCGTGCACCCTCGTAGCTGCCTCTGGCGCCTTAGCAGCCTGCAGCGCTGGTGTGGCGGCTGCACCAGCCTGTAGCTTCCTCTTTTTCCTGCTCTGCTTGGTGGTGCCTGCAATACTCGCATCTCCCGCAGTCGGTCGCGGTTCGCCTGCTGCTTCTTTAAATGTGTCCTGAATGGGGGTCCCAGGCAGGGCAGACTTCGAATCTGCGTTTGCCTTTCGTTTGCGCTTCTTGGGCTGTTCCGCAGGCGCAGGTGTTGTTGCGACAGTTTTCGGTGGCTCCGCAGGTGCAGGAACACCCGCCTGAGCCTTCCGCTTTCGATTTGTTTTGTTTGCAGATGATTGCATCCGTTCTTCATCCTTGCGCTGAGCGACGGGTGCAGAGGCATTCGTCGGAGTGACAGCTGGTGCGGATGCATTCGCTTTAGCCTTCTTCCGTCTCTGCTTCCTCTCTCCAGCTTCACCCTCATTTTCTGCCTTTTGGGGTGGAGATATAATAACTTCAAGGGGAATGGAAGCGGATGCGTCCGCTTGATCGTGCCGTTTCTTACCTGCTTTTTGGCGAGCATCATCGTGAGTCGATGGCAGCAGAGGCGGCTGTGCAGCGATCGCAGAAGGAGGTGAGGCATTTGCGTGTACAGTCTCGTCTTTTGTGGACAATGCTAGTTGCTCAGCGGACAGTGAAGGCCCAGACGTATCCTCTCGACGTTTGTTCTTCTGTGGCTTGGGCGGCTGATCTGCCGGCTTCGGCATGCTAGGAGCTACATCGGACTGTGCCGCTTTAAGAGCGCGCAGTTTCATGCGCTTCATCAACTTTTGTGGTGTCTCGGGATGTACAGACATCTTGGAGAAAGAGGTACAACAGACGAAGCCTAGCGCAGATAAGGAAGAGCATTTGGGACGGCACGATCAGCACGTGGCGTTGTATACCAAAGGCTTCTGATCCAAACAATGGATCGAGATTCGAGTTTTACTCACCGCCGACGACTTCTGCGGCCCAGGCTGCAACCTTCCGCGCATCTTCACTGAAGCGCTCAGCATGCGTTTGAAGAGTTTGCACCATCGGGCTGGACAGTACCGCGTTCATGAACATTCGATTGCGGTGAAACGTGCAGTGACTGGCTGGCTATTCAAAAGCACTTCGGGATTACTAGGAGAAAGATGGCCGCTAGCATTTTGAACGAGATGTCTACCGTCTACCATCATTCAACATGTCATCATGTGTATCCTGGTACGTGAGGCGCTCTATTAGCAATCATGCCTGGAGACCGACTGTCCCACACTTATGACATCGAATGTCCACAGATAAATGTGCCGAGCAGCTGTGACGGACGGCACTGCTTTCTTTTGTTTCGATGAAACTCGATCTTAACGTTCACGGTGGCGTCGACATACGGCAGCCAAGCATGCCACCGTCGCGATCCTGTTGATCGTTGCGATCCGTTTCTTGACGTCTCAGCTGGAAGTCAGCGGACGCAAGTTGCGACTTGCTCCTGGACCCAGCTCGCTCCCAATTGTGGGAAACCTGTTCCAACTGCCCGCGATCTTCAAGGAAAGGACTTTGGCAGAATGGGCGAAGCAATACGGTATGCGCAGGGTCATCCTCATGCATTCAATATATCGACGAGTGGGATAGGGGATGTCATCTGTGTCCGATTTCTCAGGGCGCCAGTAATTATACTGAACACGTTGGGAGCTGCTCAGGACCTCCTGGACAAGAGGAGTTCGAAGTACTCCGATCGTCCTCAAATCACCATTGTTTCTGACACGTAAATGTCTATTCCCTTTTGTTGTCTACTGACGACTTACCTTGAGATCAAATAGGGCAGGATGGGATCGGGATGCCCTACGACGACCGTTTCCGCAGATATCGGAAGTGGATGCACGACGCACTTGGCACAAAGGCTGGACTCAAGATTCTCGTTCCGACGCAGCAGAGAGAAGCATACAACCTGATATCCGGACTTTGCGAGAAGCCCCAGGCTTTGCAGCTCCACATCAACCGGTCAGCGCTCAGTTCCGTTGAAGGCATGGATAGTGTTGAGACGGCTTCTTCGGATTCGCAACAGGACTGCTGGTGGAGATGGGATACGGGCACACTATCACGACGCTGGACGACGCGTGCGTCCACCTCGCTGACTGAGCCTTGGGCGAGATCGTCGAGGGCGGATATCCCGGCCTCATGTTTGTCGACTCCATCCCGATGAAGTATTGGGAGATTCTATTTCGTTCAGTTACACCGACAGAGTCCTCATCGCGTACCGCTTCAGTGAAACATCTCCCCATGAAAAGGTTCCTGGGACCTGTAGGCTGTTTCCTTCGTAAATCACGCCTGATCGTCGCTGCGGCTCAGATGATGCTAGATACTCCGTTCGAAATGGTCAAACAGGCCATGGTACGCGGTGTCATTTTTCCTGACTATTCAAAGGAAAGTAACTTTTCGCAGGCAGCAGGTACCGCCAGCCCTTCGCTGACATCTTCTGTGCTTGCAGAGATGCAGAGCCAAGGGAAGGTGATGGAACAAGATGAGAGCGACATCAATGGCGCTGCCGGAGTGCTCTATGCAGCCGGCACAGAAACCGTGAGCATCATTTTATTGAGTTTTTGTTTTCGAAGTTTGTGCACCATCGTTGCCACTCAGACGATCTCGACCTACAGAAAGGCTCAGGAAGAGATGGATAGGGTCATCGGGTGTGGATGTCTTCCCGAGCTTGATGACCGGGCGTAGCTGCCATATCTCGGCTGTATCTTGAAGGAAGTATATCGGTCAGTACATCACAACTGTTGCTGTACTCCTACTATTCACTTGTGAGATCTCAGATGGGGATGTCCAGCCCCTCTTGGTCAGTAGTCCCGGTTGTCACGCCTCTTATATCGCTCATTCAAGAGTCATACAGGATTGGTGCACAGACTCATGTCCGACGATGAGTACCGCGGATATGACATAGATGAGGGCTCGACAGTGCTCCCAAACATCTAGTGCGAATCTATTCCTCGAGCCACGTGTGTAGTTGCTTACATCGATCGATAGAGCTACGACCAGAGATGAGCGTTGTTACCCGGAACCGGAATCGTTCCGCCCGGAGCGCTTCTTGAATGCTAACAATTCCGAAGTACCGGATCCATGCAACACGGTCTTCGGGTCCGGACGGCGGTGAGTGTCAACCTGCTTCGCGCTAAAGTTCAAGGCTGAAGAACGCACCTCGAACCAGCATCTGCCCTGGCCGCCTGATGGCAGACGATACCTTGTGGCTTGCTATGGCAAATGTCGTAGCCACGCTGAAGATCGAGAAGGTCGTAGGGCCTGGTGGTGAGAAGATCACGCCCGAGGCAGATTGGACTTCTGGGTTCATCAAGTATGTTGCTTTGACTAGGACGTGAACCTGCTGCTGACCCACACTCTCAGCCAACCAATCGACTTGAAATGCGATGTTCGCGCGAGGTCGCAGGAAAGCTTGGATTTGATTCATCAGATGAGCGCGCACATCGTGAACGAGGAAGTCTTGTACGCGTCAGGTCTTCAATACGTTTTCGTATGACTATCCTAATCTGATGGAATGACAATGATGATGGCGATTTCCATTCTGAACAGCATGTGGGGCTGATACCCCACGGAAATGTTCATATTGTCCAGTTATGCATCAGTCCTGCTGCGTTTCAGAATATGCTTCTCAAGTGGACGCCCGAGCGCATACCAAAAACTAGCGCGTGGCTTGTTTTCGAGCGTCTACGAATGGCAGCGATCAAAGTCGCAGTCTTTGATAGATGAGGCAAATTCCCCTTTAATACCGGCGAACCGACTGCGATGGAGCCGCACGAACCTTCATCGCCTCATCCAGAAAAACGATTTGGCTGGTAGGGTCTCGTTTTAGCTTGAGAACGGTCTCAAGAGCATAGACCTGGACGTGATGAGAAGTGTGGCTCGATACACGCGCGCCGAGAAGCACCCTTGCGCGTAATGATACATGAGGACCTACTTTGATACAGCAGCTTGTCATTTCTTCTACGAGGTTCTCCAGGCTAGCCCAGAGAGCAGCAGCGTATTGAGGGGCCGTAAGTCCGTCCGCACACGGGACTTGTATGTTAGCCCCTGAGACGTCACATTAGACTCTGCGAAGACTGACAATCATAATATGCTACAGGCACCAAGAGGAGAACACAGAAAGAGGGGCGTGCCTTTTGCGAGGACATCTTTAGAAATACGCGATATGTCAAACGCGTACCGGAATCTACTCTCAACTGCATCTGCCAGATCATTGATGAGCTCCTGCACCAAAATTGGCAGAAAACGAAGGTTGTGTGCGGTTTAAAGCGAGGATGCGAGAAGAGACTGATTCTAGTCGGATAGAGTTCTTTCAGTTCTCATTAGACAAGGAACAATCGCAAACACCTACGAATTCCGCGAGTCCTGTCATAACCATCACTTCCATATCTGCCATTGCACGTGCTCTGACGGCTTCAATGTATGGCAGATGAGCAGCCACGGCCTTCACGCAACCCAGAGGTATCGTATGGCCCCGATCCTCCGATGTATTATCATCTGGGCTGCCCCGCGGGTGAAAGTCTGACGATGAGCTTCCAAAAAGAGAAGCTGATGTAAATATATTTAGGGGACAGGCGTGTCAGAACCTCGACAGGCTATTCCAAATAAAATGTGAATGTACTGACTCAGTTCAGCAATCGTCAATGCAGCCTTTGCTATGGTCCGCTCCTTCTCGTCCTCTCCTTCTCCAACAGATGTCAACTCAGTAGGCTGTATAAGGGCGAGCGGTGACTCGTTCGGTTTGGACTGGTCCTTCTTGGATATGGCGGTTGATGTCTCCGTATCAGCAGATTCTCCCTTGTTCATATCTGCTAGCTGTACTTCCAACCGTCGAGTTAAAATCACAAAGCGCGACATGCGGCGCAGGATGTCTGATGCTTGCTGAATGCGTCCAAGTTTGGAAACATTGTTTTGGAGCGATTGAAACAGCAACCGGATCTTGGTTCTCAATCTGAATGATGCTAGATAGGATAAACTGCATCCACGGAGCCCAAGATAGCATTGGACTCATTTTCGTACGATGAATCGAGCTCATCGAGCCCATTCTGAACTGATGAGAGCGAAGCCTCGAGCTCAGTCACTCCGGCCGCTTGCACCAGCAGCTCCTCATGATGTGTAGTGACCTGGGAGCGTTGTGGTCTGATATTGCACACATGAGAAGACTTCCATGACCACATAGCACTTACCATATTCTTCAGCTGCTTCTCAATGTCCTCAGTAGAGAAGTTCAGCTTCGATATGGCGACTGAGACGTCCTCGTGTGCTGCTTCCAGGCTGGAGCCCTTGCCTGCTTTGGACTTCCCAGCCTCTCCGGCTAGAATGGCATTCGCGTAATCGTCTGGATCGAACTCGGGACGCGCGAAGACGGCATGGTCTGCACGCTGGTAAGTCATGAGTGCATTCGACCGCTGACTGGACTTACGCGGGCATACCGGACATGCCGGACTGTATGATGTACTTATAAATGTAGCATCAATACAGTCCAGTCTACAGCCCTACAGGAGGTGAGCTTGTGCGACGTGAGACTGTCGTGTAAGGTTGCAGTCAACGTTGGGGTACGGATGGGCGCTTGTTGAATTGAGCGTCATATACGCGCCACGTGCACCGCGCCCTGATCTGAATGTGCATCTTCCGATGTGTCTGTCGAGCGTTGTCACACCCAGCTTCTGGCAACAGTATGTCTTGTATATACAGAATCGCGAACTTTAGGGATTGCCTGATGCTCTACGATGTCTCGATACGTTATGGAAACTTGAACCTAGCCGCATCTCTGGAAGCGGGAACTTCACATCGTGGTTCCACTCGCATATTCTGTACCTCTGTGCAAATTGTTACATGGCTACATGCATTTGATATTGTCACCGTAATGGCAATGCTGCCGTCCAAATACCCGAAATTCTGGGAGGTTTGCAATGGGGTCAAAAATCGACCAAAGGCTATCGGGCAACAGGCATGCTTTCTACCGTTTTCGCGAGCAATACACAGAATGCACTAAGTGTATCTTTGGATGCTCGTTATCTGCCACTCTGCGACCCTAATTTTGTTGTGGATGGACGGCCCCCGTGCCACTGATACCGCGGTGCACGATGATGCGATGCAATGGTAAGCTGCGGCCAACCCTCGGTGTCTTACTCATGTTCTTCTCGCAGCGCCACATCCACAGGCATGAAATCCTTACATTGTCTCCTTCGCAAGGAGTTTTCCACTAGGAAGGGACCACTGACGCGCGCGATGCATCGTGATTCCTCTGCATGGACTTGCTTATGCACATATGATATCATAAACAAGTGCGCAGTCCTCACTCGTCTACGAATCATGATCCAGACTACGCTCTACTACGCTAACAATCCACTATTGTGGACAGTCTCGTAAGCTTTGCGAGATATCATAGGGTTCTGGTGACATTGCCGGTAAGCGCCCCCCACACGAACGTGCTTGACACCTCGGATACCCGTCGGCGGTCGGTATCCAGGCACACGCTGGTCCCGACGTTCAAAGTCCATGCCACATATGGTGCATATGGTGCACTCGCCTACTGATACTCTTCGATGCCGCGTCAAGCAGCTTCGAAACCACCTTTTGACGCCTCGCAAAACTCACACCCGCAGCCCTCGGCCATGCAATGGTCTACAAATGCATCCGTCGAAATCGTAGCAATGATCTGCTGGTTGCGTCCTTTGGCGCGTCAAAATGATGGCCTAAATGGCGATAACTGATGTTGAAAGTTGATGCGGACGCCGTGCCTTGCCTGACCGGTCGACCGGCTGTGATTCGCGGCCGACGTGAAATTGGACGACTGTCTGCGGTGTATGGTCAGTCGTAAACATTACATACGTGCAGTCTTGTTCTTTTGCACAACGAGGAATACAAAAAGACCGTTTCTGCACAGAATCATAAAAGTATCCCGATTGACAGAATGATCATAAACTGGGTTTAATCGGGTCAGTCTCGTTGCCACATGGTCGACGATAGCCTTGGAGGCTGGCATGACGATTGTGCTCACATGTTCGTTCGCAAGACACCTTCGTTCGCAAGACACTTTTTCTATCCGCAAGAAGTTTGACTGGCGTTCGAGCGTCAAGCACCTAAGTAATCCCAGGATCGCGCGCCTACAGCGCCTCGGACCCGTAGTGGACTCCAAGTGGAAGCATCCTGCCTCTCTTCCCGTACCGCTTACATGCCATCCGACGATCTCTCCTTCTCCTCGTGAACTCCGTCATTTCGAAGTCTGCCATTGCAATGCAGCTGGAACTGTGCCACAATCGTATCTGTGCACGTGACATGCACAGCCACCTAGTATCAATTCGTACCGGCCTCAACCATCTTGTACGTAAGGCTCACCCCGTAAGTGCAGCCTGTCGCACTGACAGCGGAGTCACAAGGCTGTTGGGAGCGGACTGGACTACTATCGTGCCCATGCGGCATATGATGATCCGTGCGTGTGCACTCCGCTCTGCAATCCATATCAAATTGTTCGACTCAGCACCACATGCTTTGGCGTGATTGCAGCAACTTCTACCAGTCCATCATTGGTCGGCTGCGCATAACCTGGGGTGCAAGTTTTCACGAGACACCGTCAAATTTACGGAGGGCTGGTGAGCGGCTTGACATTTACATTGACGGCCTTCCGTCCCTGATTCGAGCGCATCCAGGTCAACGTCAGGTGCTTCCAATAGACCTCGGCAGCGCAGCGGGCGTATGAGGCATATCGCTATTGGAAGTACCATCATCCCTTGTACGAGCCTCTTGGCGGGAGCCCTGAGATGGAACGAGAGGCGATGATCGCTATGACCGTTGCGGAAGGCATGTGCCCCCTTTCACCTTCCGCCAAGGCGTTCTCACCCAAAACCACATACAGCCACCCATCTATGGCAGTACACTGGGCGGTTCTTTGACCAGATCGGCCTAAGAGAAGCCTCGAAAGTCGCAGCGGCAACTGCTGAGCGTATCGCAGACAGGGTGCGTCCGCTTCTCTTTTATCTTTTATCAGGGCATGGGCCCCATGGTAACATCACACCACGTGATGCGCTCGATCAGGTTCTTGATATTGGCAGCTACTACGGAGAAACCAGATCCTATCATTCGTGGAGGTCGGAGGTGTCTCTTGCGAACCCCTACATCAGCGGTGCGGGCATGATATCACCATACAGTGGTGCATCACCACTTCCTGGAAGCTATGGAGTAGTGCCAGGATCATACTATGCACCAGTAGCCGTGTACGGAGGATACGCAGCATACCCGTCGGCCGCCGTTTACCCCGCCGCCGGCTCATACTCCGCATTTCCTGGCGCATATACTGCCACTGTCTACGCAATGAATGGCATCATTCCGCAATATTACGGCACCGGATACATGCATGGAAGGTACTACGGTGCTGAGTACCCAGCAACTGCAGGGTCAACCATAATACTCAGGCAACCGGGCCATCATCATCATCATTACTATCATCGGCCTCACAGCGCGGTTGGATTTTGAGCGCCACGGCCATCAGAAAGAACGTGTGCGAATTGAGTGGAGGCACAATTTGTGTAGCATGCAAGGCACCTCATGATTCCCTGGAAAGTTTGTTTCGCCATCTTCTTTACTTTGACCCAGATCACTATGACTGACGACTGAGCCTGGTACGACCTAAGTCAGTCTTGATGCGTTTCCTCTCGGGTCAATCCTAATTGCTCCCACCAGTCCGTCTGACCCTGAGAACTTTGATGCTTGAAATTTCAACATCGACTCAAGATTCCTGTAAAAGAATGTCTGGCAGTCATGCCTCCACAGTACTAAAAGGGCCTGACAAACTCACGCTTCGTTGACTCAATGTCGTAATCCTTGACACTTAAACCTTGACGGTGACCCTACAATCCGTCTACAAAACTACATAGATCGGTCCTTCTTACGCCGAACCACATCCATACTCGCATCATGGGCGTGCAAGGATTATGGCAGGTGAGTCTCACAGAAGAATTTACCAGACTTTGATATAGATGTCCTGTCATGCAGATCTTGCACAAGGTGGGGCAGTCGCGTTCGTTAACACACCTCGCTGTTGTGGATGGCTTTGAAGGAAATCAGTCCGGAAGGCGAGCCTACCGCGTAGGTATTGATGCAAGTATATGGTTTTATCATGTTGGCCATGTCAAGGGTGGAAAGAACCCTGAACTACGCACATTGTTCTTCCGCTTGCGACGTCTAGCAGAACTTCCTCTGATTCCCCTCTTTGTGTTGGATGGTACCGAGCGGCCGAAGATGAAGAGGGGGAGCAGGGTAGGCAAGTCAGGCTTTCATAAGCTGACTGCCGGTCTGCAAAAGCTTCTCGAAGTCTTCGGAATGGAATGGCGGATCGTGAGTGTCTGACATCGAATTCCTGTAACTAAGCTGATGTTCTATCCCAGGCACGAGGAGAGGCTGAAGCCGAGCTGGCATACCTCAATCAGATTGGGGTGATAGATGCTGTCATGACTGACGACGTAGACACCCTCATTTTTGGTGCTCAGACGATCATAAGGAAGTGTGTCCATTCCCCACCTGGACATTGCCTGAGACTGAAATTCATCTGCACGCAGTCCCAATCTCAATCTACTGGGAAATAAGGCATATCCAGCGCTCAACTCAGATGGAAAGCCAAGCCAGCATCATGTCATGTTGTACACCGCCGATCTGATTCGCACTCATCCGGATGTGTCTCTATCCAGAGGCGGGTTGATACTCTTTGCCCTTTTGTCCGGAGGAGACTATGACAGTGTAAACATTCTCGAAGCATTATACGTGACAAATCCTGATTTTGACGGACGTTTTAGGGCTTGAGAGGCTTTGGTCCTCAAATATCTCATGCGTTGGCTCGATTGGGGTTCGGTGACATGCTCCTTGATGCATATGAACAGCATGACCAGCAGGATCTGTTGCCATTCCTCACACAGTGGCGTGCAGATTTGAATACCGAGCTTAGGACGAACGCTCACGATCTCCTGCGCTATTCCTACCCGTCCTTGCATGTACCGGACCACTTCCCAAACATGCAGCTACTGCAGAGCTACATGAATCCGCTGAACAGTGCTAGTGGTGGCCGTCAGGGCGGAGGTACTCTACGGGATAATGCTGACCTAAATATCCCAGCGGCCGCAGCGTTTTGCGAAATTTACTTTGACGAGTGGGGCTATCGGTCTGCAATCATAAAACGATTCCGAAATCTGCTGTGGGAGGCTGCGGTGGTACATATCCTTCGACGTGCGGCACTGGAGGCCGACGAAAAGGAGAAGGAAAAAAAACTTAAAGCTGGTCAGGCTGATGTTACCATCAAAGGCCCCCTCACTCCCTCACGAGGTGATGCCATTGGAACACCTTCTCTTCTTGTCAACAAATACCTCAAGTCGGGTGATGTCGACTGTCGAGCTGCAGTATTCGTGAACGGAGACAACCACGCATCTCGGCGGGCCCACGAGCATGATCCAAATCTCATCAAGAGGGTAATTGGCTCTCGCCGACATGTCTCAACGGACAACATCCTCGAATATCGAGTAGAGGTTGATCCGGCCCAGTTAGTCTCTTTGGCCCACTCGGGCATCGAGGGAAAGCATCCTGAGCCTTTCGGCAACGCCAGCGCGCACACACTCCCCGATCTACCAGACCTCATGATCCGTAGTTCTCAAGGCTCACAGCAGGGAAAACGAGCTGCCAAAAAAATGCCTCCAGACCCGCATAGCATTATGAAGATATGGATACCAGCCTCGATGATGCACCGGGTGCATCCAGAGCTTGTGGAGGACTATAACGCTGATGTGGAAGCAGAGCGGACCAAAAAGAATGTCGCCAGAAAACGAAAGCAGCAGTTCGAAGAGAATGAGGATGCGCGGGAAGCCAAGAGGACAGCAACAGAGGGAAGCCGATCTGCGAGCCGGCTCATATCCAGTTGATTGAAGAGAATTCAGAACGCAGTAATCGACGGCGAGATATGCTTACAAGGACACCACTCACAGTCTACAATAAAACAGATGCTTTCCGCAAATGCAATTCGAGAATTGATATATGGTAGTACATATGCTCACAATCAGCCATGCCCATGTCCGCCGCAGCTTTCACATACCGACTCTTCATCCTCACCGTCTTCCCCCTCTTCCTCTTCCTCCAACTTCTTCGCATTCCTCTTCCACGTCTTCCTCTTCGCGGTGCTCACCTTCCGCCCCTTTGCATTCTTTACCTTCTAAACCACTGCTGCGATCTCCGTCGTCCACCCCTCCAGGTCCGCATCCTTCCCCTTCGTGAGGGGTGAGAAACGGTTGAGGACTTGGATTTCCTTTCTCCACACGATCACATCCGAAGCGATGTTGTCGAATGGGGGTCTTGAGGATGAGCGGGATGTCCTTAGTACGCGGGTCTGAGAGGATGTGGGCAAATGTGAGGCCGAACTCACTGCTGTCGGTGCATTGTATGATCAGTCCTTGTTCTAATATGTTTACGGAGATGTTGCTATAAGGTGCAATCACGGACAGCCCGACGTTTTGGTGCCGGTCCTGTTTGCTTCCCAGAGCAGCCTTTGAGTCGTTGAGGTGCATGCCGCGGAGGTACCGCGGGCCGACTTGGCGCTCAAACTCGGCCACTGAGATGCGCACGTCGATAGAGATACAAGTGACAGTCGCCCAGGTTGGCCACCCTCTCGTGTTGCTAGAACAAAGGCGTCGTCAATTGAGCTCGACGCTTTAGCGCAACTTACTTCCACCATCTTTCATTCTGATGTCATAGCTCTGTCTTGTCATGAACTGTGTACACCTCGTCGCATGTCATCCACCGCAAGATAGGCCGTTTTCTTGAGGTGTAATGCGACTTCATAGCCAGAGAGATGCGACCGCTTCGAGGCATCTCGACCCTCAGGAGGAATGGGTCAGAAGACGTGTTCGATGTGCGACGACGGACCGCTAGAGATAGCATACAAGTACTGATGCATTTCGCGGAATAGGATAGCGATGCATATCAAATTGCAATATAGGGAGGTCGGTCAAGCGTGTACGCTGGTGATGGCTGAATATGGTCGAATGGAAGCGATTTTGAACACATATCGGGCCTTGCAAACCCACAGGGCTCTCAGCACTCGCAACGGCGGTCCCGGGATAGTTCACTCACGGTATCACCTCGCTTGAGTTTGGAAGGCCTATCGCTTCCACGCTAAACTTAGCGCGCCAGCGTACCCGCATCGTATACAATCTCGCCGTACCAGTCCACACACGAACCGCAATCCTCACCCTGCACATTCTCTCTCCGCTTCACCTGAAAATTCGTATAGTACTGGTAGAATGCTTCTATCTTCGGTGTGGCGACTGGCGTGGCGACGTGTTTGGCCTTCAATGGCAGGAGTGCAGGGGACGACGATTAAGGTTGAAGAATGAGTCTGCGTGTTGGCGCGCGTCGAAAACTTGCGACGATGGCTTGCGAGCGTTCTGTAGCTTGCACTTGCCCTTTTCGCGTACTTGCAACCAATGGCGAGTGGGACGTTGTGCAACACAACGTCGAGCAGTGGGTGAGAGGTCGGCGATTGACGCAAGCGCGCACGACTGCCACTGACGACGCGCTCGTCCGCGTCGCGACTCGTCCTGCGTGACCATGTCGATATTTTCTTTGGTGCGTGCAGCTGCAGGCCCCCTTGAGCTTCTAGCGGATTTCTCGTCCAGGCTCGCTCTGACGCATTCTTGTCAGTCGTCCTCCGTACCACCCTCGGCGACATCAAGGTGCACCTAGCACCGTGTCTGAATAACTTCCCCTTCCATCATTGCCAGATCGAGGTCTTCCGATGCGAGGCTGTGCCAAAGACCGCAGAGGTGTGTTGATGTCCGCATATCCGTGATCTGCGGAACCCTGACCACCAACACCGCTTAGAACTTCCTCGCTCTGTGCGCCCCCGGCTACTACGATGGCTGCATATGGCACCGCAAGATCAAGGGGTTCATGATCCAGACAGGTGGCCAGAAGTGACCCGACTGGCTCAGAAAAGGGCGGACAGAGCATCTGGGGACAGCCATTTGCGGGCGAGATCCGCTCAAGGCTCAAGGTGCGTGGTAGCCACGTACTCATGTTCAGACCTTTCATTCACATTCCACAGTTCAACAACCGTGGCATTGCCACCATGGCTAATGCAAATTCGGACACAAACAAGTCCCAATTTTTCATTACATACTCTAAGCAACCGCACCTCGATGGGAAGTACACTATTTTCAGCAAGGTATGATTGCAACTCTGCCATAGTTTAGATATCAAAGCCATCATAGACCGCGCTTGCGGTGTCATTCACAACAAGCACAAGAAGACTGAGACTACGTCTGCGCCCCCTCCGCCCAGCGACCCCCAAAGCCAGGAAAATTTGCTACTGCTCCCACTCGATTAGGACAAAGAGCGCAAACGTTACTGGGCTGTAGATGATCCGTGCACGTTTTTCTTTCTCTTCGCCATGCGTTTTTCATATTCGCGCGTATTTGCTTCCTGAGGTGAGCTCAACTATTACTCGGCATCTTGCGACCCACTACCAATACAGTCTAATGTAATTCTCACTGACGTCTTTTCTCCATTTACATGTAGACTCTCCACGGTGATATATCTCAACGAATCCATGGAAGACCACTGCGACATTTCAAACCATTTAGACCACACGCGAGGAATATATGGAGGTCGTCGATAAGGTTAAGGAGGCTGCGCCTATAGAACCGAAGGAAGGTGGACGAAGAACGAAATTAGAACAAGCACATCTTGCACTCTTGAAGCTTCTGGAAGAGAGAATTGAGGTGATTGATGCCGAAATAGCGGTGAGTAGGTCATATCTCTTTACATGCGAGAGGCAGCATGGTCATCAGAGCTCGGAGCGCCACGCGCAACATTGCTGCCAAATCTTCTCATGTTGAACAGCGCTGTTGACGCACGTGACTCACTGGTGAACGTGTAGCGAATCCAACGCGCCCGTAAGAAGATTGAGCGACGGAATCTCTTGATTGCTCAGGCAGAAGTTCGAGAAACCCGGACACGCCGGCGGACTATTTGCCCTGACTATGCGTACATGAACGATCCCACCAGTGAGGTGAATTCTATATCATTTTCTCCCTATGTTACGCTAGAACATTGTGCAGTTCCAGGACGATCAAGACGAATATACTTATCAAGAGCAAGAAGACGAGGATTATGATAAACCAGCAGACGATGACGATCTGGCTGAGTGCCGTGGTGCCAGCGGTCGTTACCCTGGCATCGGTCGGCGGCGGTCAACGCGAGCCACTCATGCAGTTGTCCATGCCAGATGGTCCAGTGGAGCTCAGGATGATTGGAACGAATGGTGCGGAGAACGCTGTTCTACTCGGTTAGGAGCGACTGCAGACATGCAATTGGATGGTCCACCAAAGCGAGCGCGGACAGAGGATAGTCTTGTCAGCAATGGGTTTACCGAAACACAGTCGACAACCGCACCCGCTCAGAATGGCAACGGGCTCAAGATCAAGATGTACGGCGCAGCAGCGGTTAAACCCACAGAGATGGTTGTGGAAGCAGTGGCGGGAAAGAAGAGAAGTAAATATTGGTGTTACGCGGTGGAGCCCGTACCAGCTCTGCAGGTCGCACCGGATGATCCCCTTGGGCCCCGTAAACGACGACGGACGGAGAAAGCCGGCCTACAAAGTAGTATGTATCCGGAGCAAACACCGGATAACGAGTCTCATTCTGGGACGAACGGAGATGTTGTGATGCACGATCAACATGAAGAGGATGGTTTGTCAACACGAGGGTCTCCCATGGATCAGTCATGAGCTTGTGTCTCCATATTGTTGTACGCTTTCACGTCATTTTTGTCTGCATTCGTTACGCGCAGCATTCACCATCATATTCTTGGATTGAGCATGACCCACACCGTCTGACCTAATCATTGCTACAGTAGCTAATCACTATGCTATGGGTGAGATACATGGATAGAGCGTCAGATCCCATGCCTTTCTGGAAACATGCAAACAAAATGAACCTAAGCCTCACCTTCGTCGAATGGGAGGCCATTAATTGGTTAGTGGAAGTATCGGCAGATGCCGAGGCAGGAAAGTCACGAATCATGAGGTTGGACAGCGTCGCCTAGCGAGGCGCTAGGCTTGTCTACCGACGCTCACCCCTCGATTTATGCTCGCAAAGACGGCCAGTATGCGCTCTTGAAGCAGGCCAAATCTCCTTTCAGATTCTGGGGATGTCTCAATGCAAAGCGCGATGCCCCCCGCATGCTCACTCGATCTGCCACCACAACCACTACACTGCCATTATCTGCCTCGCACGAAAACACGATGTCATAGTGCTCTTCGACCAGCCTCGGACCTCAACAGCCTCCATAGTCGACTGCGATGAACTCCACTGGACTCTTTAATTATCCTAGTCTCTCGACACCGCTGGCCTTCAACGCCCTAGCTGATTCTACTCTCCGTCGTGCCCAACTCTTGACTGAGCGTGTGCCTAGAGCACGGGGATCGAGATCCGAGCTGTTCAAGGTGGTGAAGAACTTGGATACCCTGAGCGACCTGCTATGTGGGGTCATTGACTTGGCTGAGCTCCTCCGCAATGCGCATCCTGACAGAGCTTGGGTTAGATGTGCTGATGGGGAGTACGAAAAGTTGTGTGAATTCATGAATATCCTGAACACCCATGTTGGTCTACATGAAGTACGTATGATCATGACTCGTCCACAGTTGCACGTTGACATCCAAGTTATCAGGTTTTACACGCCGTGCTTTCTGATCGCGAGGTCGTCAAGTCGCTGACTCCGGAGGACCATCAGACCGCACTAATGTTCTGGAGGGACTTTGAAAAGTCTGGAATAGATCTACTACCTGGAGCAGCGAAGCAGGTTTGTTTCGCTGTCGACAGAAATCATGCTACCTGGACGGAAATGCCTCAACGAAACCACAAGCGCACGGCCACCAGCGATTATTAAACCAGTGGAACTGCAGGGGATCAAGGACATGGGAATGGGTGCACGACTGCGATTGCAAGCGCAATTCACTCAACGACATCTGCTCGCACACTCCGGGTCATTACAAGCACAAATGATCATGCGCAGCGCGCCAGCAGAAGAGCCTCGGAGAAAGCTGTACATGGCAGCCAATGCAAGTACCCCCGAACATATAGAGACGTTAGAGAAACTGCTGCATGCTCGAGGTGGTTTGCCCGCCTGGTCGGGAAGAGCAGTTTCGCACATATGACTCTCGCCGACAAAATGGCAAAATCACCGGGTACACGCAAGTCCTTCTCATACTCATCGTCATGAGTGCTGAAATGATGTTTAAATTCGTCTCTGTACGGTTTGCGCAGAGAATGTCCAGCGCTTTTTGGACGCACTCATGGATTACACTCGACCGTACGCGAGAAGTGCGTTACGCACGCTTAGCATACGTAAGCAGGCACATCTGAACACTGCCCCCTTCCGGATGGTCCAGGCTTGGGATTGTGACTACTATCATCCTCCGGAGCCGCCAGCACCGCCAGCCAAGCTGCCTCCTCTGACTCTTGGCAGGGTATTCATGGGTCTATCACGCCTCTTCCAAAACCTGTATGGCGTCTCACTGCGTTTGTCCGACGGCACCCCAGGAGAAGCCCCTGGCCCTGATTTTGGCTCGTACGTCCATTCCTCTTCCGTTCTTCCCTGCTGCAGGTGATCGACGGCACAGATACCACCCTCGATGCGATGGAGCGCGCTCTGGTCAACGCAAAGGACAGACCACCCACTGAGATCAAGTTAACATACGTGAGCCTCTCTTCGCCATTTTACTTTCAATCTTCTTCCACGATTACCGTCACAACCACATTTTCATCTCCTGTCAACCTATGACCTGTCCTTTCCGGCATATGATAGCATCCACCCTTATGCTGCGTACGAAGCGTCTGTTCGGCTCCCATGCGCGAACAGAACCCCGCCTCACTTCTTATAGTATGTTGTGCTCCAATACCGGCTCACCGCAGCAAGTTCGGGAAACCGAACAAAGTGCGCCTATCTCCTGAGACGCGGAGGCTGACTGCGTTCTATCTCGTGTCCGAAACTTCTGTGAGTCGATGCTGACTCCCCCTCTTCACTTCCCCAGGTCGCAGTCCACGCAAAGATGCCAAGCTCGATGTGCACCATATATGCCAATCCGTAGCATGTCCATTATCCGAGCTGTATTGGCACATAGGCGACCAATGGAGATTAGTTGATAGCGCGCTCCGGACCCTCTATGTTCTGTCTTCCCTGTTGTCTATGCTGCCTGTAACAGTATGTTTTCTCGTTCTTCCATCAACCCGTTACACATATGCGACTCGCTCATGGCGGAGCTATCTGTGACGCCCTTTGACGACAATATTGGCCACGGGGGTGCGGAATCCCTCGGCGGCCGCTTCGTAGGCTTCTGTAGGAGAAAGAATTGATCGATGAATCCATCTATTTTGACGTCTCGTTGAGATCCGCTGACCTGATGCCAGCCCATGACCTGCAACCAGCGTCGAGCTGCTTTGGGGATCTATCTATGTTCTATCTAATATAATGAAAAGACAGCGGGTCGTTGAAGATGCTGCGGTTAGCTCCGCGGTCCTCGTCTCCCCCCCTCTTCTCACTTTTGGAGGAAGCACGCTCTTTGCGCAGGGGGAGTTGAGCTGCACAATATATGTCGATTCTCCCACCACGGTTGTATAGGGACGGGCGAGCAACACGGGCCTCATCATCGAGAATCGTGTGCTTATAGATGCGCGATTCAAACTACCTCCTCCCAACAGACTCCTGGCAGATCTGCACACACGATGACACCGCAGACGCATGGAATGAATGACGCACTGTCATTATAAGTACACTGCAATATCCATCCAAAGTAGATGTACATTCACTCATCGGTGACAGTATCCGATACGAAGATCAATGGTCGTACACTGAAAAATACTTGGTCGTACATTTGAAAACACCTGGTAGTACACGGCGAATCAGCGAGCTGCGACGATGCTTGAGATGAATTTACAGCTATCGGAACAGTTGCAAGTCCAGGCAGCGTGAAATAAAACTGAACTTCCCCATCGGGCGAGCGGATGCTCCCAGACAGTCATACAACGTGATCGAGGGCGATCCGTGCCGGGGCCGATCCGAACTCAAAAACATGTCTACTGCTCCTGGCAGCTTGATACCACTGGTACTGTGAGTTCAATCACACAGTTTCGCGAAACATGATCGATGAGGACGTACTGCTTCTGCGCGATGTGCTTAATCGCCACCGTACGATTCATAGGAAGAGACTCAATCCGTTCTCTATAGCAACGTCTGCATACCCATGGTCCTGCCTCATGACGTTCTTCACTAACCCTCCAACTCGTTGCGCATTCCATTTTCTTTGCTATCGCGGTTTCTTCAGTGTCCACGATATTCCAAATGAGTTGGTTGGCGTCCTTCTCTAGATGACTAGTGACACAATGACGGACCTACAAGAGCGCGCCTTACGTGTCAGCGCAAGTAGTCGGCAACAGATGTCCATACTTACAGCATTATTCCAATCCATCACAACCTTTGCTACTGGACTTCGAGAACGGCAGAGAGTGCACGAGAATCGAGCGTCCAGTGAATCCATCTCAGCAATCGTTACCAAGTCTGGATTCCGTAGCAGAGATGCTTCGAATACACCAGCTACACAGTCGCCACAGTATCGAAACCCATCTGCCCGCCATGGGCTGTGGTCATAGCGCATATACAGTGCAGCTTTGTATACAGAACCAGCAACAGGGGTGAGCATCACGTACGCACGATTCTGATACTCCAGTGCTCGGTGTTCGTAACATGCGTGCATTGCACCTGGATGGTAATGTGACGTGACATCGGGCCAATGTCTGATTTCGCCGCAGAACGTGCACTGAAACACCAGTTTAGCAGGCTGCCTGCAGAACGAAAGATCATAATATTGCAGCCTTTTGACTCCCGGCTGCTTCGTCTCGTCTCCAACCTGCTTTTGCAATGCAGCCTGGACGTGCCATTTCCAATTTTGAACCAACTTCGGCAGAGCATTACGCAGCATCTCAAACTTGCATTCTGCGGACGTTGTAGATGCCAGTATCTCATGGACCTTCGGAAGTTCCGCCATGTCGATAGGATGCGGAAATGGTTCTTCGTCCTCGGTGGTGGCCTTCAGATATGAGAGCGTTTCTTCTAACAGAGGAAGACCTTGTTGATGAACCACGTCGACGCATTCCCAGAAGAGGCGCACACTCCTCCTCTGATCCATCAGCTCGACAATGGTGGGTTTTATGTCGGTCCATTCTACCGATGATCAGCATCATCATATCACGAGTCAAGACAACACGAACATACCTGAAGGATCCAACACCGCCGGTATGTCCACCTCCGGCAATTGAGATAAGATGTAATAATCTTGACCCATCTGGTCAAGGTCACGTTCAAATCCTAGCGACCTCAGGTGGTCTACCATGCTATGTTTGTACGGCTGCTCATTGGCAACTCAACGCGTTATGAATGTGATGATAACTCACGTGGTCAAGCATTGGCTCTTCAAATTAACGGCCTCTTCTTCATATACAGAGTCTCTCTCTGCAGACCAGGTTCGCAGACTAGCTGTATTCTGTGACATAGTTAGTGGTTCCCTAATGATATAAATGACGTAGTACAATAACCTGACGCTCGGCTTTGAGACGCTTAAACTCGATTAGGAGTGTACTTATTTCTTGACGCGTTTTGCAAGATTGCAATCGCGTAGTCAAGCATTGAATATCTATGATATGAGCTCTTCTGTTATGCGGTGACAAAGAAATTGAGCTACGGAAATGTTATACATGTCTTAAGTACGTACTACGTTCCTGTAGAACTGGCACCAGGCCTCTTAGATCAACCCATGGTTTGCAATGTGACGGTGGTTCCCACTCATACTCCATTAGATTGACTGTCCTGCAACGAGCGATGTCAATGGATGCATACAAATGTTCCGATCAAGAATTGAGCTTACATTGACTTCAAACAATTCCGACAGTACCTGGCAGCGAACTCCCATTTGGTATCCGCAGGCGTGCAGTGTGGCTTGCCGCACTTGTAACAAGTCAAACCGTACAACAGATCGACATAAAGTGGCTCGCAGAGAAATGGCGGACACGGAGGCAGATGCGGTTGTAGGGCTATTGACTCAGTCCAGAGTGATCGCCTTGATTTGCAGAGGGAAGTCCGTCTCAGTCCTTTGGATGTCCGACAGAGCTGCAGTAGACCTAGAGGACACAACCAAACGACGATCTGCAAAATGTGATTGACTGTTAGTCTGGATACCAAAATCACTTTTACTTACTGCCATCAGTATATCATATGGTATCTCTTCAAGGTTCATCGCAGCTGAAATTGTCATCTGATCTTCTTCATTCCTACGATGTTTGGTAGGGGGCTTTACACTATCTTCGAGTTCAAGAGACCTCTTGTTCTGTGGTCTTTCTACTGCCTGGCTAGATGCACCTTCTGCAGCCTGTATGACAACTACTGATATTCTGGTACGCTTGCCAGGCGGCTGGTTTATGTCATCGCCATGAATACGAGGTCGCTTCAACTGTTGACGATCGAAATGCATGGATAAGGGACAAATGACGGGATGCCTGAGGAGGTTGTCAGAGTTGATCCTTCTGGTGGTAGGAAGACCTGGGGGAACCTTATCGTGTACAAGCAGAAGGGGTATGTAAATGTTCAACCGGTCGCTTGTAGCGGTTGATCGCATTCGCGAAACTTCGAGCCGGAGAAAGCTGGCATGACAGCTGCAGCCTCTTTCGATGAGAACACATTGCCATAAATCTTCTCAAGATCCGTCTTCCGCCATACGTCGGGTTCTCAGAATCTATAGCCTAGAAAGGGTCCTGCTTCAGCCATAGGCGCCTGACTCGAGCAATCGGACATCTAATTGCGACCGATCGATGAGGCGCTGATCTCGGTAATTAGGCTGACCATCAGCGCCAGTTTTATCAGAGGGAACTCGCCTTCTATCAGCACCGTATCATGACTGGTAACGAATCTTAGTCATGTGGATGTTTCACAAAATGAGATATCCGCAAATTTTCACAGCAGGAATATCAAATACACACGGACACAATGATCCTATCCTCATGTACGGTCGCCGAAACCTGCCTTTGAGGACCGCTATCATGCCGACATCAGAGGAAGAAAGACTAGCCCAGAGAGGAACTTAGCGTGACCCAGAACTTTGTACCGAAGTTCGCCGAGCAAGAGCTGTCGATGATAGCTTTCTGCGAGAACCGGATTATCCAGGGCCGCATGGCCAGAGTGCGGTTCACATACACCCTGAAGGCATCTGAATTCAATTGATCGGTAATATGCGGTACCGGCGGTCGTGTTCGCCTTCCCCGATTCCATGGCGAATATTTCGCACGTCCGAAAGAGACCGTTCAGTGAATATTGACGTCTCAATAACATTCCCGAAATTTAAGCCGCCTGTGCTGTGGAATGAAGACGAATGACCAGATTCGAAGCATCGCTACCGTCTGCTCCAATCCGGCTGTTCAACGAGTATGATTCACATCAGATAACGTGATGACGTACTAGGCTGAGACAAGAGGGTCGGCCGCAAACAGACTTTGAGATCGCGAGGTCCCAGCCATCTCGATCTCGCACAATACTCTGATCTATGCCACCTTCCGTTCGACACGTTCCCTACTAAACCGGCCACCCGAGCAAGTCCATTTATTCTTGAACGTACTATGTCTTGGGAATTTAGCATGGATTTCTTGTCTTGATACAGCTGTTGTCCGGCTCGTGCGCAACAGATTTTTCATTGCTATCCATGAATTCAGTCGTAAAGCAACAGTATCCGCCCGTGTTGCTCTTTATATATCAAGGGCAGCCTGTCTGGGACAAGCGGAAGCACGCAAGTTCTCTAAGCACGCGAAGGAGCATCCCACACTCTGCACAGAAGTCCGCCGAGCGGGAGCTGTCGATAACAGCTGACTGCGAGATTCGGATTCTTCAGGGTCGCACAGCCGTATTGCGGCTCACGTACACCAGAGGCGTCTAGTTCGTAAACATGTGGCACCGGGGGTTATGGCCACCTTCCCGATACGACAGAAGAAGTGTTCCGTAAGAGTTGTCTCCCCAAAATCCCCGCTCGGAAAACTACAACCCCCATCCAGCATTGCCGAATGAAGACGAATGCCAGGTCATGAATAGCGGGTATCGTTTGTCCTGTATCCTATAGTCTGTTCCCATCTGGCTATACTCTGTCGGCAAGCTGAGGGTGGTTTTTTCATTCAAATTAGCTTCTTAACGATGACCAACATCTCATGTTGAGCATCAAGACCTCCGAGGCGATGTTCTATCTATGCCAACCGCGGTATCGAGAGGTGCCACTAGATGGGAGAAATATACGCTAGCCATTTCGCCTCTCCTTGCGTTGTAGGGAATTTTGAGCAGAGGGAATCTTCCGTGTGCTTGCTTGCATTCAACTGCTGTCGGAACAATACGAACCGTGGGCGTGACGGTACAGAGGCCTAGGTTCAGGAGTTCGATATCATATGATGGATGTAACAACAGGAGGCTAGCTAGAAAAGAAGTGTATGCGCGGAATTTGTTCCTGGAAAGCGTTAGTTATGAAGAAAGGCGATGTTTTACGATGACATACCAGTTCGTGATAATTATGACTGAATGTCTCGCGGTGACTGTGGAATGAGCTCCGGCATAATTATGCAATTTGAGGCCTGGCGGCACATTTCACGATTGCTTCAGGCTGTGAATATGAGCGGGCGATGACAGTCCATGGGCTGAGACATCCACCACCACTTTAATTTCTTGCCGGGGTTTCCGCCGGTTTGCGAAAGGGTCTGTTGGGATCATAATATGCGAAGAGTGTGAATAGGAACGGCCGTATAGCCACGAAGCAATGTTGCCGATGTAAGACGCAAAGACGATAAATAAACACCGATATTTAGACTTCCAGGAGCGCAGCCAATTGCCTTACGCTTTGACAGTTGAACGAGCTTTCCCCCGTACTGATGAACGACGAACGTAGCGAGGATTGTCGATGGTGGTAGCGTAGAACCTTGGGTGTACGGCGTCCATGGACAGTGGTCGTTGACATCTGGGCGCGGATTGCTGCGGCACAAGCATTCTGTCCCAGAGAAGAGGTATCGCCGTCCAGCATGCCATAGCACCTGAGCCGAGGACTATGAGCAGATACACCGGTCAACAGACCCGCGAGTCCAAGGTCAACGTATGCTGCCCCAAGAAACGTCGACTGTACAATATTCGCACGATGAGACAGTGCACGTTTGACAAACTCCATCACTCCCTTGAAGACGGAACTGGCACTGGCCGCCACCGGAAGATTCTGAGAACGGCTAAGCTGTCCTTTAACTATGAACAATGACCCATTCTGAACCCAGTCGGTCATTCCTTTCCTGCTGTGGCCTCCTGATGTGGTTCGTTAATATGCTCCCAGGCGTCTTGTGTGATGACTATGAATTGGCGATGCAAAGACGGGGACGATCAAGAAGTATATCCCGCTCCACGATCGTAAGGGATGTGAATCCAAATAACCGGTGGTGCACAATCAGACCTTGCGAGAAGACGTATGACAGCGCAGAGGAGTGTACGGAGAAGCCTGTGCGAGAGGATGGTCAGTGCATGCCAACAGTCTGTAAAGGTACGCACTTCTGCAGCGCATTAGATGCCGTACCAAATTGTTCGATCGCAGATACGAGTAGCAAAGCACCCTTGAGCGAGGTAGCGAGCAAAGCTGGGCGCCGCTATGAATGTCATGTTGTCGTCGATGGAATTGCAGAAGATTATGCAGACGTGATGACATTCGCATCTGTCAACGAGACGCACCGGGAGCTACGCAACATGCCACATCCGACAATGGATCTGGCGAATGAAGGGTATGAATTCAACGTAGCTTGCACACATATCGAAATTGATATGCATGCCGTGAAATCACAAGGTCGACCCTCATAAGCTCATCAGAGCTATGCATTGGACCTGGACGAGAGATGCCGGAGATGGCTGCGGGATGGCAACGGGCACCACAGCAAGATTCAACTACGAGTGTGATATCTTTGGGAACGAGGGGTGGAGACGGAGAACTGCAATCCAAGATATTTGCCGTTTACGATCGCGCTGAACAAGAACGGGAGGCCTGGCATAAGAAGACTAGTGCAGAAAAGGGATTCAGACCAGGTATTGGACCATCCTGCAGGTCGGAAATGGCCTTCAACACGACCAAGGCTCCGCTAGATGATATTGACATTTTCTTCTGCCGCACTCATGGCAATCGCCACGACCGCATCCTGGTCCATAGAGCGAATGAACACAGAGGACTGCGATACCAAAAGTGGCGAGACGAAACAAGAACGTGCTCTTGCAGACTATCTGAAGGCTGTGACTCGGGAGGCAAGGGTAGGCACCACGCTAGCTACCGGATCGTACATGGCTGAGGTTGACGAACAGATGAGACTTGGAGCGAAGCATCAGTGCATAATCCAGACACTGGAGATGAATCGCTCTCACCAGTCAATACTTCCCTCTCCCTATGTCCATCTTCCGCATACCACATCACTGTCTCGTCCCTCGCCATAGGGCCCGTCAGTCGGATTGATCTTCCTTCCCGACATCATGACAACGCTGCTCAAAACGTTTGTGCCCACCCAGCTCCTCCTGTAGTCCGAACTCTCCAATGTGGCCAGTCACATACTACGCACATCAACAGAGAAGGTTGGGAAAAGAGATGCCTTTGAGAGCCTTCTTGCTGCTAAAAAGCGACCAGCAAAGAGCAGACTTTGTACGGGCAGTTTATGGGAGAAGGTTGTGCGAGTGCTTGGTGACGTGCTCCAAGGATGCTCTTCCGCATTGCCAAAGCCACTTCGCAACTGTTGGAAGGCACAGAAATGGGCAATAATTCCTGTTAACTCAAAGTGCACCGCTTCATCGACAACACAGCTGGGACTTGTCAGCATTGGGGAAGAGCGATGCCATGAAGCCGCAACGGAATGGCGAGAGAGCCTATACATACCGTCTGAAGACATCTTAATCACTCAACCTCTGCTCGACGTCACATCCTCGACCAATATGCGGCGAGACTTCTCCAGCCATGTGCATGTTCTGTTGCGTGCGTCGGGATCCACAAAAAGCGGTATACCTGATCCTCTCTTGGAAAATTCACGGGCAAGTATTGACAAGCTGCCTGCAGATCTGGCTGGCATGGAATGTTTACGACGTCCGCTGAAGGCAAAGCCAATGGAACTCCGGAGGATGGCCTTCCGAAACATTGCGCGACAGTATGGAGTGGGAATGAGAAGTCCACAGACTAAGAACCACAATGAAGACATACACCAGCGCAATTGCTCAGAGTTTGTTCCGCGGCAAAGCAACTTGAGGTACGAGCTCTGAAGTCATGGTGTCTGGCCATCTCGATCGCGCGCGATACTCTGATCTCTGCCACGCTCCGTTTGACACATCCGTTCTGAATCGTCTTGATCGTACTACTCCTACTCGTATACCTTTCTGATTCGTGGATAATGGCTGCGTCAAAAGTATATTTCGTCAACCTCTCGAGTCTAATGCGCGATACATTTCCTCCGCGGATCGCATGGATCGAAGCTGCACCGCTGCTGATGAATTGAATGATTGTCTCCAATCCGGTGTCTGAGGAAGTTGCGATTTTGATATTGTCGTTTTACCACGACAATTTTGCGTGAACTGCCTCTTGGGTCGCTGGGCTTAGACTTGCGGGTGCCGATCTTCACACTCATGCACTCGTGTGCGCTGAATTCGCCTTACAGGTGCGGATCTTTATCATAATGTTGCCTTTCACTTTGGATAATATCCATTTGCAGCTTCTTTCCGTGCATTCATAGCCATAGGATTCGACAATCTTGAAATTACGCTGCGTGATGGCGGTGACTCACCGACACCTTATCTGAACGACCGAGTAAGACGGCTTACCTTCCTTTATAACTTGGTATCTCCTCTCTGAGGTTGACTTTGATTCACGGTGCATACTGCAGGCTCTCCTGCTCTTGCCCATACAGCCGCCAAATACAAATATGATGAAAGCGGAGACAACGGTACAGAGATGCAACCCAGAGAACTACTCGTTTAATACCCAACTGCGATAAACTTGTGACGAAAGCTCTCGACAGAGCGAAGCTAGCCCGAGTGCATAGCTTGTCTCGCCTGCCAATATCATAAGCATGATTCACTTTTGTATCTATTATTGCCACGGAAGACCAAGCAGGCTAACTGTAAATATGTGATGCAGCATGCTCGATCTTTGTGGCCAAGAGCCGGGAACGTTAGCTGGATTAACGACTTCCCACATGAAACTAGTGATCAGCGCGTGCAGAAGGAGACTCTGTCCTATCACGTAGAACTGCCACGACATAGGTAAGCCAGCCAATCATTGTACACTGCTCATAACAGGATCGCGAGCGCAAGTGCGCGCCCCTACGACTTAAAATGGATGAGGTGGTAGCCAAAGGCGTCGGACATCTCACGAAGGTAAGCCTGTCCATCGATCGACCGCATCACCACATTATGATGCCGTTCGCCAGAGTCATTGGCTTTGGGGAAAAACAGAAAGAATGGGAGCTTGAAGTCCTTCCGACTGCCCCGCCGGAGGAAAGGTTAGTTACAGCCTCATCTTGAGCGAAGTGAAACTCACAGCTTCTACCCGAATAGGGTGCAGCTCGTCAGTCGGATTGAGTCCATACTACTAGAATGCTTGCAGCAGCCTCATACTGGTATGTCTGACTCTGGCTGAAATGCTTCATGGTATCCATTATGTATCTTTCAGCCCAGGATTCAACGTTTCAAGCATATTCTTCAATCACAACCAGTTACAAGCCAACTGGCTAGTTCGAGGCACTGTTTGTCAGCGCCTCGAAGCCCCGGTCACAAGCGAAGAAAGCATTCGAGAGATGCGAGCAGTATGAAACGTCTCTTGTAACTCTACTGATTATAGCATGAAACATATTGGATGAACGGTCGATATAATAGGAACAATCCGGCTTATTGTTGGAAGCATATGCCTATTACATCACCGTTGAGCGGCGCAGACAGAAACCTGATCAGTTCATGTTGAAAACCTTGTACGAACGAGCTATCGCAGAGGCAGATAAGCGTCGCTGGGAGGGTGATTCAGTGGCGGAGGACGCTCTTAGATCATTCTGGATCGGTCTCGTTGACTTTCTGGTCAGTAGGCTCCTTTGCTCGAATGTTCACATGTTTACCCATCTATCAGAAACAACAAGGTGTCGATGATGATCTGCAACTGGCCGCGTTAGAACGAGCTGTACGCAGCGTACCAGCGGCCGGAGGAGTATGGGCTCGCTATATGCGCTTCTTATTCAGTATCCATTGGTATGCCACGTGGAATCGCTCTTATGAGATTCCCATTTTGCAGGAGTGCATTACAGATCCGTCAGAAGATGATGTAGGGGCTGAAATCCGAGGTAAGTGTCTGATTATTGTGCCATTCTCATACTCATTGCAAGAATAGCAGTTGCATATGAAAAGATGAAGACCATTACACCATTCCAGTCAGACGTGGAGCAGCTGGTCCCCATCGTCCTTGCTCGTGCACTTTACGAGAAGCGGCAATTCGAAGCAGGGGAAACAGGTGAATTGTGCACATGCGATAGCGAGCTGACTCTTACCACTGATCAAGGACAGCAAGGTTTTAATACCTTGAGTGAAGTCGTCATGGACGGTGTCACGCGAGTGCGGAAAGGTATGCTTACGTTCACGTTACGCACATAAGAGCCATAGTTGACTTTGGCGGCGTCACCGTCTGGGGACCTAAGACTTCGGATAGAGAAGTTCTTCTCGTCGGTCGTATGTATTCCACCATGTCCAAGTGTACATATTCTGAAATATTCCTTACCAGTGTCTCAAGCTGTCCGACCTCGCTGAGCATGCTCTGATACTATGGGAAGATACTGATACTACAAAGAACTACAAGATGATGTATCTTGCCTTGACGTCCTACACGGAGGTGCTCGTGTACGCTTTCCGTCTGTTTTGTGAAATTGCTGCGCTCATCGACACATGATGCCCGCAGCAAACAAAACGTCTATGAGGATGCAAGGGAGGTTTTCCATGACATTTGCATGAAAAGCCTCGACTGGCCTGAGGCGAGATATCAAATTTGAGCGATTGTACGGCACAGTCGATGAGATTGATCTTTGTCTCGACAAAATCCAGCATGCGCAAGCCCAGATCAACGCTCGGCGTGCGAAGATGTGTTTACTTCTATGTGGAAATGTGAGCGTGGACTGATTGATTTGCAATAGGAGACAGAGAAAGCGCAACATGCAGCTATGCAGCTTATTGCTGAGCAGCAAGCGAATGCGACATCGGTCTCCGAGATACCACCACCTGCATCAAGTCAGAAAGAAGGCGAAGTGGTCCCAATGGCTGTCGATTCCACTAAGCCATCTAGCACAGGCGCAAAGCGGAAGGCGGAAGATGAAGTTGCACCTGAGGAGCACAAGAAGCAAAAGATCGATGAGTTAATCCCAGCCAGTACATGTTAGGTTGTGTCTGACGAGTGCTATAGAGGCCACGTTGAAGCGGTGAGCATATTTGCTGTCAATTAATGCTGATCGACTCATGGAGGCCATCATTTGTAGAGATCGCGAGAACTGCACAGATTTCGTGGCCGATCTTCCGTCAGACGCACGGGAAGACGAGCGAGCATCCTTGTTCAAAGATGTACGTAGCTCTAACTGGCACAGAGGCTAATGGCTCACTAGCTGCTTAAGTGCGGCCCTATCCGAGAAATCAAAGTAACACGCTTGCCGAACGCTCTCGTAGCGACTGTCGAGTTTATGGAGCGGGTACGTTTATTAATTTGTATGGCAGGGAGTTGTATGAACGAGACGCTTCAGCAGGAAAGTGTGCCAGCGGCATTGACTAGGGACAAGAAGCGCATACACGGAAAAGAGATCGCAGTTCATCTCACGTGGAAATCGACATTGTATGTCACAAACTTCCCCTCAGAAGGCTGATGATGCATATATTCGCAGTCTCTTTTCTAAGGTAGGCCTGTCGCGTATGCATGAAGTGAAGACAGCGCTGACATAGTCTTGGATCGATTGACGAGCGTCTCAAAGTCGCGCAGGAGTGGATCACACAATGGGAGAGGAAAAACGGTTCAGGACGTTCGCGTCCTTGTTCTACGAAGAGGCTGGCAGACAGTGTGTCATCCGAGGTCCAATCGACGCGTTTCGGAGATTGAAATCGCTTATGTAACTCCCAAATTGCTTACCCCACTGCGATGGTGGTAAATTGAAAAGACTAGGCGATTTGGCTGAAGGTGCGGCATGGAACACCAGAAGCACGGCCCTTTCTCTGAAGATTCTGAACCCCGATGTATGGCGGAACACAGATTTTGAGATGAATTCACGACAAAATTATTCTCATCGCAAGAGGCTGGGGTGTCATGGTTTTCGTCTCGAAGTTTCGCGATCGACGGCTACAAGCGACGGTTGAACGTATCCGTTCTGTTTGTGACGATAAGTAAGTTCCCCCAGGTCTTCATGCAAAGGCCGAGAACAGAGTTGCCGCTGACGTGACCCACGACGTCCGCGAGGCGCATGCACTCTAGGCTGTTACTGCCTTATCTGGACATCTGCGTGCAAATTACTCACATGGCGAAAGCCGGTGATCCTTGTACTTTCGAGATCTCACCGCATTGTTATCCTCATCGCATTGTTATCAGATATGTTATCAATCCATCGGAAGATTCCTTCTGTACGGATACAAACAACAGAATCCCGATCCGATTTAGCTGGTCAAGCTTTACATGTCAAATACAGTAGCTCCTAGTTGGCTGGGTGTTTGCATGTTACTATGCTTAGGGTCAACCAACGACTTTGACTCGACACCCAATTTTATGCCGCGATAATTTTTGATGGAGCTAAATCGGGTTGCAGAAGACTTGCAGCCTTCATTTCGGGTTATACCTCCGGTCGCAATTGCCAGTCCTCCGTCTCCGCTCGATCCTGCACCAAGGCAATGGATAGACTCGGGGAAAGTTACAGTCTAGAGGCTCCTTCGGCGGCGTTCACATCTGGGAAGCTATCTGCTGGAGGTGTCATGCGCGGCAGCGGCACGAGGCATGTGGTATGGTCCCTTCCGAAACCAAAGTCGTGTTTGGGCCTGCATTTGACCAGCAGCATCATAAGGGCGCGGAGCCGCTGCGAGGCTACTCCAGCGATTTTCACGGAACATCAACCAGCAGTGCGGCGTGCCTCCATCTAGCCGTGCATCGTTGTTGACGCAGCCTCTGACGATCGCAGCGTTCACTCAGCACGTTCTTCTAGGTCAGGCAATACTCCGGCAGGGCACGCTGCGTGCTGTGCCCATCTACTCGTGCCCATCAGTACCCATCACCCCAGACCTCAGCTTTACTTCATGTACTGTACCCGGTGTACGACTCGGACCCAATCGCTTGTTGCGTCCGTCGCACGTGTAACAGCGTTGGCGTGCCCTAGTCGCTAGGTGTTCGCATTGGCCGAGTCGGTAAGCTCCGCTATCTGCCATTCTGCATTGACGATATGCATAGCAAACCTCTTGCCTCTGAGTACTTAACGGTGGAGAAATATACGCGAATCTCGGAGGATTCTCTTCATCCACAGGACGATCACTTTCCTTACGGCTGCTTCTCGGGAACACCTCGTCGCAGTACTCCTACCAGAAGTAACGCCAGCACCCCGCGTCGCGGCCATGGGATCTTTAACCTAGGACGGGATGGGCCAACTGTGCTCCCTTCTCTTCATCTACCGTTTCGAGCCTCACGTTCTCCAGGTCCGTTTTTATTCAACACCACTCATACTGTATGAATGCACGCTCAATATCTAGCATCTACTGTAGTTCCTGACCTCTTGTTTTCCTCTAACCAATTTCGTCACCGAGAACCCACGCAAGCACGTGCTGACTGTACTGCAGCAGCGTTCAACCAAGCGGGCTGGCCCATAAATTCATGTTAGTAGTGTACGAGACAGCGTAGACTACTACTCACGCGTCATCCACAGAGGCTGCGCAGCAACAACCGACATCATATGCAACCGATCCTAGATATCCTGCTGCGCAACAGCCGTTTGCCGCATATCCTGCCAGGGGTCAGTCGACCATGCTGCAGGATCCACATGACTCCCGCACCTTACCACCACTTAATATGCCACAAAGGCAGGCTCATGCCGGCGCTATGAACCCTTCAATGATGGCTGGTTCCCACGTCAGACCACCGAACAACGCCTACCCTACCGCCTATAATCTATATACAGAACATCCACAGCAGCCTGCTTCTTATTATCCCCCTCCGGACCCGCGCAACCTCCCTCCTCCCATTCCCGCCATGGGAATAGACCCCGCTACTGGCGGCATACCAAGACGCGCGTCGATGTCCGTTGATCGTACTGCGCCGTCATGGCTGTCAGTACATGGGACATCGCCATATCCACCCATTTACGGCATGGCATCACCGTCGATGTATAACCAAGAATCTTCCGTGTCCGAGCCCACTGTCAAAAAGAAGCAGAAGCGGGCCGATCCGGAGCAGCTGAAGGTTCTGAATGAGACCTACAATCGGACTGCATTCCCATCGACTGAGGAGCGGGTCGACCTTGCGAGACGGCTAAATATGTCTGCTAGGAGCGTGCAAATTTGGTAAGTGATTGCGCTTGGTTTGGCAAAGTCATCGTCGTCTGATATACAACCCTCCCCTGCTCGACGTCGATAGGTTCCAAAATAAGCGGCAGGCCACACGGCAGGCAATGCGGGAGAGCTCACATCAAGCCTTCAACACTGCACCTCCCACGACCAGCGACCCATTCCTTGCTGCTGGCAGCGGACCTTATGGTGCTCATGCATCGGGTACAGCCACTGTCCCTTGCTCGAAGGTTAGGTTCATTGGTCCGAAGAGTCTAGCTCATCTATTGATACCTGTGAAGACGTCAACGAATGATGATCCCACAGGAGATGTGCATCATATCTGTATAAAACAGCATTAGTCCATGTTACCCAAAGCCAGAGATGTCAACGAAAGGTGATCCAACAGGAGCCATGCATCATATCTGTATAAAGGCATTAGTCCATGTTACCCAAAGCCAGTCGCTGAATGAGAAATTCCTAATTATGGCTCATCAACTGCTGCGCATGGTCCTCATCAAGCTCATCGATTGGGGCAGGTTCAATTTCGCCACTTCTCCCACTTGATTAGGTCACCGCCAACGCGTATACGCTGCTTCTCGTCCTCTTCATAGTAGTCGACTTCCAGCGATGTCGCAGGGGGCTGCAGCTTGTGGTTCTCATACCAGATCAGCTTCGTGGGCCTGGATATATAAAGCAGGATCTTTCAGAGGGAAAGTAGTCCCCTCCGCATCTTCGCTAACCTTGCCTTGATGAGGGATGTTGTGCGACCTGTATTTACGTTAAGCCTAATGATGGGCTAGCGAAGATAAGGATTTTGTCGCAATCCGGGATCGGCAGGCCACCTCCTGCATCGGGACTGTCGGCTATGCTAAGCCTGTATGGTAAAAGTATTTCCTCTTTCATTACATTCGTCCTGCCTGTCTTGCCCGATGACTGCACCTGTAGCGTACCATACCATACACGGAAATGCGTAGCTACTAATATATTGCACATCGGACACCGTGGATGCCCCAGAGCTTATACTTGGTGCATCCGCGTACGCACTTCTTCCCTCTCATATAGATACATGTACTTACTCTAAGCACAGTGACGCGATCCTTACCATGTCACTGTAGGTATGAATACAGAGCTTATACTTGGTGCATCCGCTGACGCGATCCTTACCGCGTCACTGTAGCTCTCTGGTCGTGTCCTCTTCCTCAAGCGTACCAGCTGTGCCAACCCTCACAGGTCGTCTACCACCTCACCGTGTTATAGATTGATAGGTTATGAGCCCCGAGCTTAACGCCTGAGGACTCACAAGGTTGCCGCTCACCAGTGTATGAAAATTTTCCGAGACCTCCGACAGACCGTTACCCTCAGCACCAGTTCACTATGCACCAAGACCCGCCGGCTGCTTTTACAGGAAGGCCACGACGTATCTGATCTAGAGGATCTTCCCCCTTACAAATCAGACTCCCTGCTTGCTCACCTATCCTGCATTGACCCATCTGCCTACTCTGCAGAAGTCACCCTGGCTCCCGCAACATCTCCCAGTTCCTCTAACTCTCCAGCCCAACCTTCAGCAGCCCTGCCTTCCCAGACCATGACCCCAGCCATGACGACGTCAGTAGCGAAAGAGTTTGCTGAAGTTCCGAAGCTTGCTGTTGACGGATCGAACTACTGCATATGGCTAGGCCACGTCCAGCGCGCCGCAGGAGCTTGCGATGCAGATGACTTGTTGACACACGCCGCTGACTCGTCAAAGGCTGATGAGGTAAAGCTCAATAAGCAGATGCTTAATGCAATCACAGGAAAATTCACGGACTCACTCTTCCAGAAGTACCTCAATGTCACCGAGTGTCACGGCACTTTACAATCCCTGCCTAAAAGGCAAGGACCTGGCTACAAGGTGTAGCCTGTGTCCAATGACCCATGACCAGTGTTGCATGGTGATATGAAGCAGGAGCGGACTCAAAGGGTCCCTCAGCCTTATGAAGCTTATAGCATGTGCATAATGGCCTGTTAGGCCTCATATAATAGGTGAATGAAACTGGGGAACCCCAGGTTCATCCAAGTCATATATATACATGTAGTCAGGACCCCTGGCACGTGTGCTACTGTGAGACCTCTGGTACCTACATGTGAACATAATGCCAGAACCAGTAATGGTTCTGGTCTCGACCATGACGACTATCTACGAATGGCCATTGCCGGTCCAATGAGATAATCATATAACATGGCACCACTTCTGTGAGCGGCTGTTGTGGCGCCACTATTGAGTGGCCAATGGTGTTGGTCCTATTGGAGGTATCCAATAGGGTTATTGCTATCACCCGTGGTGTGACGTACATAGTCCTTGGTGGTCTAGGCTCCTTATCTGGTCACGTGACCGGGTGTTCGGATCGGGTCCCCGATTGGTCAGTTGGTAGATGCAGGCCCATCCGAGAGGTATGTGGCTGCATCTTGTTGTTTGTGCGAGCATTCGCATTGATAGGCCAATATTAAGGGTTGTGCCCATATCCGGGTATAGGATTGCCTTATATAGGACTTATGTGGTCGAAATGAATATGTCCGGATAAAACCGTGACATCACCCCCCCCTTAGGCTCGTCGTCCCGAGGAGCCATATCTTTTATTGCATAGATTATGTGTAGGCTTGGGTGGCGTTGTGATGGATGTAGCAAATATGGGTTAACAGTTTAGTGGACATGTTTAGGTCCTTGGGCGCCCTCGGCTGCCAATGGGTACCTTTATGCTTCTAATTCTTTATAGGTGATTGATTTATGGTTCGACTCGTTGTCGCCTTATATCTTCTCCCTTTATAGAATTAGGCTTATAGGCAAAACAGTTTAAACGACGTTGTTTAGGTCATTGTGCTTGCAGTTTAATGACTTGCGCTAGGTCGTTGGACAATAAGTTGATTTATGCAAAAAAGTGGCATTTAAGGCCCTGCCGCGGCCTGGCCCCTCAGTACTCTCCGGTACTGGAATATCCTGGTCTTCCCCAGGTGTCGAACTTGGTCGCTGGTTCGGTCGCCCTTTGGGGCCCCCATGCTGCTTCCACTATGCCATGGGGGCGGTGTGGTACCAAGTTCGGATCTTGACCAGTAGATGTCCTTTTTTACGTAATCATTTTGGCCTGTGTGGCGTGCGATAAATCACGTGATGTGCCAATTTGTGTGTCCCAGTAAATGAAAGTGTGACGTCTTCCTCGATCGATCATAATCGAGATCTGATCTTTGTGATTGAGTCGAGATAGACTTTCTTGATCGATCGTGATCTTGAATGACGTCATATATTGGCGATCATAGCCGCCTAGTGGCGCAGTTTAATGACATGCCCAGGTCCCTGGTGGTGCTCAAAGCTGCCAAGTATTAGGTTGCCCTTGGTCAGAGGGTCTTACTTCCTGTAGTGGTGTTGCCTGTTAGGTCTTATGCATGCGTTACATGGCCTTCCTGATGGTGAAAAATTGCCATGTTTGGTAATCTTGTTGCCAAAAAAGGTATCGCCTTTTCCTTTTATGGTCTTGTAGTGAATAGTAAATGTCGTGTTGCCATTTGCGCGTTGCAAAAAATGGTCTTGATGCAATGGGCTCACCAGGCCCTTGCTGGTAGCAGTAGTCTCGTATCTGCTCCATGTGACATTACTTTTGGTGAAAAATTGTTACGCTTTGCTGCGCTTTGCTTAAGGCTTAGCTTCGCTAGCCTTTAGTGTCGGGGATGGGGTGTAGTCGCAGCCGGATCACCCAAAGCTCGGTGCTGTTGCCCTCGGGGTGACTCCTCGCTAGTGTGCTTGCTTTGCTTCGCACACTTGTCGCCAGTGTGTTTCGCTTCGCTTACACACTTGTGTCCTCGAGGGGCTCTATCCCCTATTACCCCACCCTTCGCTGGCCTCGTCCCGAGTGCCAGGCGCGGAGCTCCGAAAAAGATGCAGAGCAAGAAAACAAGATTAGAAGAGCACAGAATGAAGGGTGGGCGGGTGGGAGTGAAATTTTCACTATATCGGGCCAGTGTTGATATGATAAGTGAATACCACTTGACAGAAATCACGTTTATTTGCGCAATCTTTGGTGTGATTCTGAGACTTGTCAGCGGCTGTGGTTCCCCCTGCCTGTATTTGTGCCATTTTGCCCTTCTTGGTTGAAGTCTTCCTTGTTATTCGTTCCACTGTACAAATTGTTGGGTCTTATTTCTGCCTGCAGTTAATAGTCACGTGACTACCGTGCACTTGGATGCCGTCAACAAATTTATTACATGTTGGTGAATGGTGGCCTGTCGGTCGCCGGAAGGATCTTCTCTTGACAGAAAAATTTGTGGTTGACCAAACCAGCTATGTGTGTGCGCTGGGGTCTCATATCCTGATGTAGGAATGCCATGCGCGAGGCTTTGTGTTTCCTCGTAATGGGAACTGCCTTGTATGGTATGCAAGTTGCCTTTATAGGACGTGAGAATTTGCCTTTCTAGGACTTGCATATGTCGGTAAATGTAAGTGTGAATTTATGTATGCTATCCAAATATTAGGTAATATGATAGCCTTTCGCACTAGTGTATTCATGTTGACAAACGCGCATACTGGCCATGGATAGTGAAGTAATGACAACCCAAAAAGTACACTGAGACGCTTCCGAGGTCGGCCCACTCCGGGGCTCACCTATTTGGGCCGCACTCAGTTTTCCAAGGTTTTCAGTGTCGTCCGTGTAGGAACCGGGTGCACCCGACTTCTGTGCTTCCGGTATTGTCCGTGGTCTTCTGTCTTAAGCGCGCGCTTGCTTCTTGTCGTCCCGCGGCTAGTATGCACAGCCAGTGCCGGATAATTTTCCCTCTCCGGGATTCGATCCAGCCACCTGCTGACTTCGACCCCTTTAGGCATCAATCCTCCCGTGCCCCGTGGCATAGGTCTTGACCCCTTAGCCACGGGGTCGGTGTTGTAGTTGGGACTTTAGTAAATATGTTACATTTTCTAAGTAACATGTCTTGTGTTTGTACTACCCCCCCCTTAGACTTCTTGTCCCTGGGTCGCGTAGTTTCCTGGCTGTTCGCCCTCATGGAGGTGCAAAGGAAGCGATCCTGCGCTGTGCCTTTTGAAGGCAGGGAGCGGCTTATGGTGGATAGGGTCGAGGGAATATATGGAGGAAGTGATGATGAAAAAGGCGCGCCCTACGCCGGAATATCTCTGGGCATAAAATGTGACAGTTTTTGATGGACATTGTCAAGGTCCAACAAGCCAGTCCCGCATAGGGTACTCTGGCTGTATGTGCCTGGTCCTCATAGGATCCCAAGGTCACTCCGCGGTCGGCTCGTTGTCGAGGGCAGGTAGGCAGTTTCATTCAAATGTCACGGCACTTTACAATCCCTGCCTAAAAGGCAAGGACCTGGCTACAAGGTGTAGCCTGTGTCCAATGACCCATGACCAGTGTTGCATGGTGATATGAAGCAGGAGCGGACTCAAAGGGTCCCTCAGCCTTATGAAGCTTATAGCATGTGCATAATGGCCTGTTAGGCCTCATATAATAGGTGAATGAAACTGGGGAACCCCAGGTTCATCCAAGTCATATATATACATGTAGTCAGGACCCCTGGCACGTGTGCTACTGTGAGACCTCTGGTACCTACATGTGAACATAATGCCAGAACCAGTAATGGTTCTGGTCTCGACCATGACGACTATCTACGAATGGCCATTGCCGGTCCAATGAGATAATCATATAACATGGCACCACTTCTGTGAGCGGCTGTTGTGGCGCCACTATTGAGTGGCCAATGGTGTTGGTCCTATTGGAGGTATCCAATAGGGTTATTGCTATCACCCGTGGTGTGACGTACATAGTCCTTGGTGGTCTAGGCTCCTTATCTGGTCACGTGACCAGGTGTTCGGATCGGGTCCCCGATTGGTCAGTTGGTAGATGCAGGCCCATCCGAGAGGTATGTGGCTGCATCTTGTTGTTTGTGCGAGCATTCGCATTGATAGGCCAATATTAAGGGTTGTGCCCATATCCGGGTATAGGATTGCCTTATATAGGACTTATGTGGTCGAAATGAATATGTCCGGATAAAACCGTGACACCGAGGTACACAAGGTCATGGAAGGCTTGAGGACCGAGTTTGGCATGTTAACTGCTGCGATGGATGCTGTGATTTAAGGCTCCAACTATTTATACTATTTACACTCCCGAGGTGTAAATAAATAGTATATAGTAAATAGTTGGTATAGAGGCAGTATAAATAGTTTATATATAGTTTATATAGTTTTTTTTGTCTTATCTTTTGGTGAAGTTCTACTCAACTGTGAGCAGCCTCTGTGATTGTTGAGACCTTTGAGAAACTGTGTGCATCAGCGCACACATAACAGTGAGCAGAAAACAAGCATATAAGTTTAACACTTGCACCAGAAATGACAAGAAAATCTCATGTCATACAAGAAATGACAAGAAACTCACATTCATGAGCCTATATAATGATCAACTGTCAGTGGTGGCTTCTGTCTAACACTATGACTTTCAATTGGCTCACTGTTGCACTGTCGAATTGGCAATGTGCACTCAATAGCCTTATGTCATCGTAAAACCATTTATACTATATATATACATCTATTTACTATATACAGCACTGACTATAAATAAATAGAAATAGTAAATGGTTATAACCATTTTAAATAGTATATAGATGAAAATGTTGGAGCCTTACTGTGATTGAGGCAAAGCTCTTCTCGCTCAAGTGTACCGATGAGCGGAAGCTGCGCCAGCACCTTGACTAACTCGCTGAACTGAGGGAGAAGTTAGCGGAGTCAAATATCGTGATTGAGGACTGCACCTATATCAATGCGATTACAATGTCCATTCCCCGCTCATTCTTGCCGACTGTCACTGCGATCATGACTGCCGCTGAGATCTACAACTCTACACTAGCGACAAGCATGACCAAGAAAACAGTTGCACCGGATGAGATCATCCGAGCGCTGCGAGCTGAAGCTGATTCACGTGCAGTGTTGAAATCGGGCGAACAGACAGCCACTGCAGGAGCAGCAGTCCACACATCACGTGGAAGGAAGGGTGGCTGCGGACAGCACAATCAGCATGGCCATGGACAGGGAACATCACGAGGGGGAGCACTGAGGTCGTCAGATGACGACATCACCTGTTTCAAATGTGGTGGTAAGGGGCACTGCAAAAGGGATTGTGCATCAACAAAAGTGCACTATGAACACCTGAAGGTGAAGACCGACGCTGCAGCGAGTGCGAGCGATGGCAAGGCGGTGATCGTGAAGCTGAAGGAAGGTGCGACGGACAGCACCGCATCCTCCACGGCGACAGGCCCGGCTGTGAAGGCCGCATGCATCTCGGAGGCATGGAGCACCTCCGTGATTGGCTCTGTCATGAGTGTCGAAGCACCTGAGATAGACTGCTCTAAGTTAGCGGAGCAGACCGAGATACGCGTGGCAAGCACCTACAAATCGGTAGCCACGGTAATGGAAATGGGTTGCAGAATCAACATCTTCGACTCAGGGGCTTCGCGGCACATGACGCCGCACTTGAATCACCTAACGAACTACCGTACAATTGCGTCGCACCATATACATGCTGTGAATTCGGAGGTATTCTATGCAAAAGGTATGGGTGACCTCAACGTAGAATTCACACATCGAGGCAGCCTGCGATACCTGCATCTCCATGACATCTTGTATGCACCAGCCATGCATGCAACACTTGTGTCACTAGGGGTGTTGGAGGAGGCAGGATACAGCTACATGGGATATCAGGGGGAGTTACACATCATGGACCCGAAGAATGCACTCATCGGATCTATACCCCACGCTGATGGTCTCTATCGCATTTTCCACATGAGCACGTTGCTCACAGCCCCTGTCTCACTCTCGCTCTTTGAGATTCACTGCCGGCTCATGCATGTGAACTACGGCTACATCAAGGTGATGTTGCGTGAAAATCGTGTCGCTGAAATTAGGCTGGATCCTCAACGCACCGAGGAAACTGAATGTCGAGCATGCCTAGTTGCGAAGGCACATCGTGCTTCCATAGATGCTATCCGCCAATCCCCACTCACCCAGAGGTATGGTGAGCATGTACACGTTGATGTATGGGGACCCGCGTCCATAATGACAGTCAACCACTGTCGCTATGCCCTGACAATTGTTGATGACGCAATCTGCTAGCTCGAGATGCCACTATTGCAATCAAAGTCCGAGGCCTTTGGCAAGTACATGAGCTTTGAGGCACGCTTGCAGATGCAGGACGGGACCCATGTCAAGGTTGTGCAATCAGATCGAGGAGGAGAATTCCTATCTAACGACATGTCCACCCACCTCGAGCGTGCAGGAACAGCATGGAAGCTCACCGTACATGACACCCTAGAGCACAACGGCATTGCAGAACGAACACATGGGATGGCCTTCAATGGCATCTGTGCAGCCCTCGCTGGGTCCGACCTCCCCAAGTGATTGTGGGCCGAAACGCTAGCGTAAGTCATGTACGTTTACAATCGGATCACGTGTCGTGCTTTAGGAGGCAAAACACCGTATGAGGCACGATATGGCGATGCACTAGACATGTTGAATCTGCACCCATGGGGGTGCATCATTTTCGTAAAAGCTGATGCCGCGTCGAAGCTGGATGCACGCGGCATGGAGGCTCGATGGCTTGGGTTCAACAGCTCATTGAACGGTCATTGTATCTACTGGCCGATGAAGTGGACAATCACGGTCGAGCATGATGTTGTCTTCAGCAAGGAGGCTCTGCACGTCAAAGGGAAGCATGATATAGATATTGGACCTACCTCAGAACCTGAACTTTCTGATGCTGCTCCGCCTCCCTCACCACCTATCCCGCCCACTCCACTTGAAGTTCCGAGGCCACCAGCAGAGATCTGAGAGCCAAAGAATCCAAGCATAGCACCAGGCAAGAGAACGCGCATGCCGAGCACAAAGATGTGAGAGATCGCGTCAGGACGTGCTGAGGGCGCATTAACCGAGGTAGCCATCGATGATGAATGCTGCGAGGTGATCGCATACTCTGTCCAGGATGCAGCATCTGAGGCGACGGGCTTGGGTCCAAGGAATGTCACTGAGGCAAAACATCACCCAGACTGGCCGCACTGGAATGAGGTGATGCACGAAGAGATATGTCGCCTAGAGGCATAAGGAAGCTGAAAGTATGCAGACCCGCCACCACGCATGTCTGGCAAAAATGTCGTAGGCTTGACTTGGAGCTTTCACACAAAACGTGATGCGCGTGGCCACATCTCAGGTTATCACATGCGCTTGTGCACTCAGGGCTTCTCGCAAGTCGAAGGGATCGACTTTCTCCGCAACAACACCTATGCCACCGTCTGCAAACTTGCTTCTGCTCGTACCATCTTGTCTGTGGCTGCCCGGAACAGTTGGCACATCCACCAGATCGACATCAAAAGTGCATACCTCTACGGAAAACTGCGAGACGATGAGGAGATCTATATGCAGCCACCATCCGAAGTCAAACTCGAAGGTCTCTCCCCAGGCCAAGTCCTTCGACTTCTTGTGTCTATCTATGGCCTTAAACAGTCTGGTCACTGCTGGTATGAGATACTGCGCAAGATCCTAGAGGGCTTTAAACTAGCCTGACTCGAGCATGATCACGCCGTCTTCTATCACCATCACCCCAATGGAGAAATCTCAATCATTTTCATCCACGTTGACGATATGACTCTGGTCTGCTCAGTCTTGGCCAACCTCCTCAAACTCAAGGAGTTGATCAAGTTGAAGCTCAAAATAACCGACAATGGTGAGTTGCACTGGTTACTTGGCATCGAGATCAAGTGGGACTGGACAAGGCATACAATCTCACTATCACAACGCACATACATCGACTCGATTATCGTGCGCTATGGCTTCACCGATGCAAAACCACTCTTCCAGCCAATGGACCCACACGTTCACCTGTCGACTGACCAATGCCCCATCACGATGGAGGAGTATGCCGTGATGTAAGATAAGCCATACTTGGAGGCATTGGGAGTGCTCCAGTATGTGTCTGTGGCTACACGTCCAGATATCACCTTTGCGGTGAGTCAACTGGCGCAGTATGGGCAGAACCCTGGCACTGCACATTGGAATGCTTTAAAATGCATCTACCAGTATCTCAAGGGCACCGCAGACTTCTGGCTGGTCCTTGGTGGATCAGAGGGTGAGGAGATCGTTGGATATTCAGATGCGGATGGGATGAGTACCGAAGGGCACTGCGCTATATCAGGGTACGTCTTCATGCTTAATGGCAGTGCCATCTCGTGGTCTTCTAAATGACAGAATCTTGTCACCCTCTCGACGACTGAGGCTGAATATGTTGCGCTCACTCATGCGAGCAAGGAAGCCATCTGGCTTCACTCATTCATCATCGAGCTCTTCGAACGATCGGAGCATTCCATTCTCTTATGCTCTGACAATCAATCTGCCATTGCATTATCAAAAGATGACCGCTTCCATGCCCGCACCAAACACATCGATATCCGGTTCCACTTCATTCACTATGCTATCGCCGAGGGCAAAATTTCAATCTCATACTGCCCTACTGAAGACATCACTGCTGATGTCCTCACAAAAGCGCTCCCATCGCTCAAGACCAAACACTTCGCCACATCTATGGGACTAGCGAAGGTTTGAGGGGGAGTGTCGCAATTCGGGATCGACAGGCCACCTCCTGCATCGGGACTGTCGGCTATGCTAAGCCCGTATGGTAAAAGTATTTCCTCTTTCATTACATTCGTCCTGCCTGTCTTGCCCGATCACTGCACCTGTAGCGTACCATATCATACACGGAAATGCGTAGCTACTAATATATTGCACATCGGACACCGCGGATGCCCCAGAGCTTATACTTGGTGCATCCGCGTACGCATTTCTTCCCTCTCATACAGATACATGTACTTACTCTAAGCACAGGGACGTGATCCTTACCGTGTCACTGTAGGTACGAATACAGAGCTTATACTTGGTGCATCCACTGACACGATCCTTACTGCGTCACTGTAGCTCTCCGATCATGTCCTCTTCCTCAAGCGTACCAGCTGTGCTGACCCTCACAGGTCGTCTACCACCTCACCGTGTTATAGATTGATAGATTTTTCATGCTAAGTTGTGCGTGCTTAATTGTTTCTGCACAGTGTTCTGTCAGAACCATCATCAATAGTGGGATAGAGTTCGAGAACATGGATTTCAACAATGGGTTCACATCAGAAGTTGTTCACATCCTCAGCACCTTTCAAGCATTCTATGAGGCACTTGGCTGGAAGTTCACACCATGAGTTGATGATGCTGTGGAGAAGTGCTGGTCAGAGTTGTGCAGAACCAAACACGATGATGTAAATTCTATCTCTTTTTCTTGTCTCTGTATACTGAATATTGTCCAGGTTCTGGCATACATCAGCGAGATCGTGATCTACAGCGGAAAGTGATGATATGAAATCGTAGTATTTCTTGTACGCTCATGCTCTAAATTGAACGTGAATTGGTGGGTACTGAGACCATCTACACCGACTGCTGATATGTTCGTTCGTGAATGCCGTATCCTTCCTTTGGATTTCGATGGAGCATCTCACCAGAGTCGAGCATTGGACCTCGTCAAGGAGTTCAAAGTGTGGCGTGGACAGTGGTCACCTAGTTCTCATGCATCCTAGTTGACATATGACAGGTGAGCCACTGCTATCAAGATGCATCACATTGCAACTCTGACGTTCCTCTTCCAGGATTGGTGTGCTGATTTGTGAATGGCTATTTCAGATGACACATGATGTCAATGTCGTTGCTGTGTTCGATTACATTCTTCCTCTAATGGTGCATAAATGTTTACTGTCTTGGAGCTCTGTCGCTCAATCACTTGAACAGCCTGGACTTTTCCGCTTCATGGAAGGTATGCTTATCTCCACCTCGATCTCAATATCGAGTGCCCTATACTGACTTTTACTCAGTGAATGACAATAATGACCTAGCACACCGTGTGCATTTAATGTAAGTGTGGCATAGTTCCCCTGTGGCCTCTGATAAATCCGATGCTGGATGCTCTCTTTGCAGCAATTCAAACGTCGCTGGTAAGCTCACGCGATTTCCTGTAGTGCTTACAGTGACATCCAATCAATCAAAAGTCTTGGAGAGTCCGTTTCAAGGTCCTTCCTCTTGTTCAAGGTTGTTTGATTCATTTTGCCTATCTACATCTACTGATCTATCGCAGTATTCTACTTCTGTCAATTCCCTCTCATCAGTGATGTCAAAGTCATAGAGATGATAGAGGTGAGCTTTTACATCTCTCCATTCACATGATAACTGATTCAACAGTGGTCCTCGGGTGTTTTGTAGATGTTTGGATGATGAGGTTGTTGAAGTACGTGAAATGGTTGCAACGTAGGTGTATCCATTTTTGATTACAATGACTCGATTGATAAACCTTCAGAACATTATCAGGCATTCTGCGCTTGTCACCCCGTTGGAGTGTGCTTCACCTAAGGTGAGCTAGCATGTTTATAATGTTCATTGCATATTGATATCAATGTCACGTTCATAGGATCGCATTGTGCGACTTCTCAAGAACAGCAAGTTACTGGGCAGGCGTTCTCCCACATACACGTCTGCGCTGCCCCAGCAACATATAGCCATTCTCGATGTCTGCACCTTGATGGATAGCTATCCCTATGCAGTTGAGAGGTGGCTGCCCGATTTGCTCACTAACATGCTGGCAGAGCACACATATGATTCCATGGATCGCAATTTCCTTTTAGTCAAAATATATCATTGATCTGGCATCTGAACAGATCCCAATTTCTACAACAGTCAGAAAGTGTGCGAGTGTCACGGATCGCCGCAATGAATAGATATAGACTATAAAAAGCTAACCCCTCAAAGGGTACTTAGCTTAGCCACGTAGGCTTTATGCGACGAGCCCGCTGATGAGCCCACCCCGTAGGTCAGGACTTATGCTTACTTGCTTATATCTTGGAGCGTGGTGGTGAGTGAAGCTAAGGATGTATGGATGATAGTATTGGTTAGGGGGTTACCCTGTAGCTGTTGCGGTGAACGAAGGAGAATAAGACTGAGGTCTGTCTCCCGTCCACCCTGGTCTTATATATATGCAGGGAGTGCTACTGTATAGTACTTACATAAGTACCTTCCACGCTACCTATTGGCTAGCTCTTTCCTCGTACAATGTCCCTGTATTTACTTGATTGGCTGCCTATGTATAGTGCGGCATGATGAAGCTCCATCTGACACTGACTGAGCCCTTCGAGGTAGAGACCTGGGGCCGAGTCATGCTGACTGTGCATTAGTCAGGGTCGGGGTCAGAGCCGATGGCCGTATGGCCGAGTCATGTGATCTTGTAAAGTATTTACATAAGGCCGATGACCGACCTTGTCACGTGACTTGATGAAATGAAATAAATGTGATAAGTATTATCTAAGTTTAAATATGTATGCTCCAAATATGGGTTATTCCTAGAAACTGTTACAGTACCCCCTTCTCAAGGTTCACCGTCCCGATGAACCAAATCCCTTGAAACCTCATGTCGCCTTATTAGAGTCTTTCTTTTGAACCGTGCCTTCTCGCCCAGCAGCTGGTTCCAAGAATTCGCAAATAAGCTGCGCAACTCTGTCTCCTTCCTTGACTTCGAAGGGTTCTGAAGTGTTATTACAAAGTATAATCTTTACTTCCCCTTCATAGTCTGGGTCGATTACCCCTCCTGCTACATCAATGCCTTTTAGTGCGAGGCCACTATGGCTCGCTATGCGTCTGTAGGTTCTGACTGGTGACGTCATTGCAAGCCCTGTACTAATAAGTGTGCGTTTACCTGGCTGGATGACCGTAGTCATTGTAGAATATAAATCCCAGCCGGCTGACTCATCAGAACCTTTCGTCGACCATCTGGCATTTTTAGCTAGTGGTTCGAAAAATAGGAAGGTGTTTGGGTGTTCACTGAGGCAGATTTTATGCCTTCATCGTTTGTGCGTTGCCGTACAAGGTGCGTCCGGGTGTACTTTGTGGAATTCCTCGATCATGTCCTTGACTTTGTCGAGGTTCCCTACTGGTTCCCAAGTGTTATCTTCTTCGCCGTAGTCTAGCCACTTGACGAGATACTGTGTTTTTCCATATTTGACTCGTGAGTTCAGGATTTTCTCGACATCCCATTCTTCATTTCCGTCAATGATGACTGGGGGATTGGGTGGTGGTGTCCTTCCTGGTACCGAGTCTTCATGGAACATAATTAACTTAGATGCGTGAAAAACCGGGTGAATGTTCATGCTTGGTGGTAATTGCAGTTTGAACGAGGTGGTACCTATGAGTTCAAGAATCTTGTATGGCTCATAGTTCTTAGCCGCCAACTTCTTGCTCTTGGTCCTAACCCTGAGGTCAGTACCCTTCAACATTACAAGGTCTCCCTTTTTGAAGGAGATCTTCTGTTTGTTGAGGTCATAGTACCATTTCATTCGTTCAGATGCCATGATTAATGAAGATCTTGCCTGGCCTTTCGCTTCTTCGCGATTCCTGAACATTTCTTCTAGTGACGGGTGTTGTATGTCCCACAGTACATCGTTTGACGTTCGAGGATGTCTTCCATATTCGATGAAGTACGGAGACAAGGTAATCGCTTCAGACACTTGGTTGTTATATGCGAACTCTGCTGTGGGTAGTAGATGTGCCCAATCATTCTGTTGATGATTGCAATAGATTCGCAGATATTGCTCCAGCGTTTGATTCGTGCATTCTGTTTGTCCGTCCGTTTCCAGGTGGTATGCCGTGGACATTGTTGAGTGTATATGCAGCAGTTTACAAAACTAATGGAAGAGTTTTGCTGAGAACTGAGTTCCTCTGTCTGATATGATTTGTTCCAGCATTCCATATTGTTTGAATACTTCATTATAGAAGATCGATGCTACTTGAATAGTCGTGACTGTGTCATCTACTGAATAAAAGTGCGCTCGCTTTGAAAAGCGGTCGACTATCACAAGTATCGCTGTCTTCTTCTCTCCTCGTTCGTCTGGGGATGGGGGTAGTTGTGTAATTAGATCACATGTCATGACCTCCCATGGTCCCCATGGTACTGGATTAGGCTTTAAAAGTCCGTAAGGCTTTTGCCTACTTGTCTTGTTTCTTTGACAAGTTACACATTCTTGTACGTAATGTTTGACTTCTATATTCATTCCCAGCCACCAATAGTTCCTTGTTAGGAGCTCCAACATCTTTGCTCTGCCTGGATGTCTGGCGAGCAATATGTCGTGATGGAGATGTATGAGTTCAGTTCGCAGTTCGGGGAGTTTGGGGACGTCGACCTTTCCTTTTCGAAGTAGTAGTCCGTGTTTGAAGTTTCACTCTTGGAGGTCTTTTCCAAACTCTCGCTTTCCCGATTTGAGTAAGGATCAGTATTCCTTGATCATTTCATCATTTTGTAATGCACGTTTGATCTTATCCACTAGTTTGGCATCATCAAACTCAGAGCCATGAGTGGACGAGATGGCATGGATGGCGAAAAATTTGGGCCGCAGCATAGTTTGCCCTGAATTGTCATTGTTTACCCTCTTTTCATGGTCTGGCCTCCTGGACAGAGGATCCGCACATAACATCATCTTGCCTGAGCAATGATGTAGTATGAAATTGAACCGTGTTAGGTAAAGGGACCAGCGAGCTTGTCGTCTGGTCAGCTGTTGTGCTTGTCTGAAATAGGTGAAATTTAGGTGATCCGACCATATCTCAACAGGTTGTGGGTGTCCCTCAAGGTAGTGCCTGTACTCCTTTAATGTCCGAATGATCGCTAGCATCTCTTTGTCGTATATTTGGTAGTTTTGCTCGTGTTCGTTGAGCGACTTAGAGTAATACGTGACAGGGTGCCATAGCTTGTCTTCCCCGAGTTGTTCGAGAACTGCACCTGTTGCGTAGTCAGACAAGTCAGTTTCAAGCCTGTATGGCCTGACATCATTTAGCATTGCCAATAGAGGTGCGGTGGTAAAGGCTTTCTTGAGGTCATCAAATGCCTTCTGTTGAGCTTCTCTCCATTCGTAAGCTACGTCCTTGCATGTTAGGAGTGTTAAGGGCCTGCAGATTTTGCTAAAGTCCTTTATAAATCTCCTATAGAAATTTGCTAAGCCCATAAAAGCTTGTACTTGTTTCAGCTTTGTGGGCGTCGACCAGTTGAGAATGCCATCAACCTTCTTTGGGTCTATTTGAATAGAGTTCTTCGAGATTATGAGTCCTAGGAATTCCATAGACTCGCCAGCAAAAATGCATTTTTCTGGTTTAACGAACAGATCGTTGTCTCGAAGTCTCTTTAGGACCTCCCTAGTGATGTGTCCATGTTCTTCCTTGTTATCGGTGTAGATAAGGATGTCGTCAATGTACACTGCTACCTTTTCAGTTCATATTAAATTGCCTAAGATGCTGTTCATCATGGCTTGGAAGGTGCTGGGTGCATTGCAAAAACTGAAGTACATGACCATTGATTCGAACAGTCCTCGGTGCATAATAAACGCTGCCTTTTCCTCTTCTCCATCTCGTAGGCAGATATTGTTGTATCTCCATCGAAGATTTAGCTTCGTGAATAGTGAAGCTTTTGATAGTCCATCAATTAAGTCAGCTATCCTTGGGAGCGAGAATTTGTCCTTCTTGGTTATGGCATTAAGGCCTCGGTAATCTTGTACCAGCCTTAACGAGCTGTCCTTTTTCTTAACAAAGAATACAGGTGCCACAAATGATGACTTGGATGATCAAATATATCCTTTAGCTGTCTCTTCGTCTATCCATTTGTCGAGTGAATTTCGTTCTTGCAAGAACATTGGGTATACCTTAGATGGTTTCGGTGGTGTCGATTCAGGATTCAAATTGATCGCATGGTTATAGGACTTACGAACCGGCATCCATTCTGAAGTTTTCTTGGAAAACACATCTCCATACTCGTGGTAGATTTCGGGGACAAATTTAGATCAGTAATCTTTGTCCAAGTGTTCTTTTCCAAGGTCTTCTTCCAAGTACTCCTTTGCCTTGTCTCCTAGTCCAAGGATGTGATGTACCATGGTGCGTATCTCATCGTCTTGCATGGAGACCCATCGAATGAAGTTGTCTATTTCCCTACTCTGATTGTCATCGTTGCTGGGGTTGTCTAATTCGGAGCCTGGGAAGACGACTTCTTTTTCAAGTCACTGCTGTTTGAGTAAATTGACTTCTTCCTCACATACAGCGATCTTGTGTCGTTGCGAATGGTTACATTGGGTAAACGCTACATCTTGTCATTCCCAATCGATTTCGGGATTATGTTGGTTAAGGAAGCTCATTCCTAGTATCATTTTGTCTGCCAAGATTGGTTACTAGTAAGCTTTCTGAGGATCTATGATTCCAAATTGACATGTAAACCTTCACACGGTACTTAATTGTCCCTCCCTTGTTGGGAGTGGCATCTGCGTTGAACACTCTGATCTCCTGGTGTAATGGGAGGAGTTTTAGCCCCCTTCTCCCTTGCAAACCTTTCATCGATGTAGCACGAAAAGGCTCCTGAGTCGAGTAGTGCTGTTGTCCAGATTTTGAGTGTGGGTATCCTTACTGGTAGTTCCATCGAATGTTTGTTTGAATCAGCTGATGCAATATATAAATAGTCTACTGGTACATTCGATCTGACCATGCTATTGTACATGTAATTGTCCTGATCTAGCAGTGTGACACTGAACGCGTCTACACTGCTGCTGAAAAATCTGACATATCGTTGAATTTCACGATTTAAGCATTTTGCTCTTCCTCCTCCTCCGATGCATGAGCCTTGCCTTTTCCCTTGCCACCGATATTTGATCCCTTGCCTTGTGAGGCCCTTTTTGCCTTCATCACATAAAGAGCTTCTTCCAGTGGTCTAATTTCTGGCGATGTGTCATCATCTGGGGCTGGACTCTCTTTCTCGACTTCGCAGACCACTTGCCTTTTCTTGCCTGGCACTGATGGCATCTGAAATTTTTTGCCTTTGTATTTTGGGTCGGGGTTCTTGCAGAACACCCCCTTCTTAAAGGCATGCTTTCTGCAGTAAATGCAGAGCTTCTTTTCAAGCCATCCCACCTGTTCCGAAGAAAGGTCCGTTGCGACCCTTGCCATGGTGTCCATTGCATTGGGATCCTTTGCCAGTTTGGATGTGCTTGCTTGTGCCACTCCTTTTCACTGAGTTTGCTATTGCTTATACTCCGATTCGATACGAAGTGTCATGTCCAGATACTCTGTCCATTTTTCAGAAATTTTGTCTGGCATCATTATGTAGACATTTGACATTACTGATTGAACGTATGAGGGCCTGTGTTCTCTGACCTTGACAATCAGGTCCTCGTCTGAGTATCCAGATTGAGGGGCGTAGGAGCGAAACTTCTCCGCGAAGTCAATCATTGACGAGAATTTCTTCTCGCAATGTTCGTCCAATTTTGCCTGTGCTGTGCGCTTGGGGTCAAGCATCTTGTAACCCATTTCTAGCTTCTTGACGAAGTCTGCCCATGTGCTGGGGTTCTTATCTTTTGACAGAAGAGTGTTGTACTCTTCCATATAATCTGCCACGCCATTCTCCACTAAGGAGTTGGCTTGCATAATTCTTTCCTTGTCGGTGTTGACCTTGTTGTAGTTCAACCATATTTGAACCTTTTTGATCCATTGCTCTAGCGAGAGACTGGATCCTTTACCCGAGAATTTGGGTGGTTCGGCCATTTTGGGGGGCTTGAGTTGAGATGATTGCTGTGCCGGGGTGGTGCCTTGTGGTTGTGCAGCTTGGCCCGACATTAGCCGCTGCTCCAACTGTTGAATGTATGTCGTAGTAACGTTCTGCGCGTCCTTCAGGGTAAGGAGATGTGCATGCAGTGTGCGCATGTTGTGGTTTTTGAGGCCATTGACCTCAACCTTCAGGGCTACGTTGTCCTTGAGTATGTGTCACAGTATTAAGTGGCACCTTTCTTTTTGCACCATTAAAGTCCTCATTTGAGTGGTTATTCGGACGCCAACCTTCATATTTGTCTCACAAAGTGGATACTTGGACAAACAGCACAATGCCACCACATACATCACGGACATGACTGTGTCTACCACATGACCACCAAGCGCCCACGATTCAGCCATCCAGTCACGTGACACTGGCCACTTGCCCTATTCGGAAGTTGTCAGGTGTTGGTCACGTGACACCAGGCCACTTGCCCAGAAAGGAACCCATTGGACCATCAAGCTAGCAAGCACCCAATTCGCCACTCAAGATAGTGGCACCACTTTGCTGCCTAAACCAATAGGCAGATA